CAGATATACAGATATACAAATATACAGATATACTACAGTTATACTGATATACAGATATACAGATATACAGATATACAGATATACAGATACACAGATATATACAGATATTTACAGATATACAGATATACAGATATACAGATATACAGATAAACAGATATACTACAGTTACACACATTTACAGATATACAGATATACTACAGTTTTACAGATATACAGATATTCAGATATACAAATATACAGATATACAGATATACATATATACAGATATACAGATATACAGATATCCTACAGTTACACACATTTACAGATATACAGATACAGATATACAGATATACAGATATACTACAGTTACACACATTTACAGATATACAGATATACAGAAATTTACAGATATGCTATAATCATTATAACTAAAAAATGCCAACGTAAAGTTAAAAACTCAAATATGTATGTATTTATTATCTATCTATAATGGCAACCCTGGTGGGCTGTATTGTAATCTAAGGTATTTATATTAAGTGTTGAAAGGGTGTGAGATATGAAATATTTCTCTTTCTCTCGCGTTGAAATCTCTGGGGCAGGTGCTTGGTGCACTGAGTAGTGAAGGGTGTGAGGTCTGTATAATCCCTGGAAATTACCTTCAATCTATGATCAGGAACATTTTACTTGGCGCCTAGTCATCTCGACAAAATAATATGGATACATGGATAGAACATGGGGGGGGAGGGGGTAAAAAAAGAAATTTTGTAGATATTAACATTTTTTCCTTTAAAAACGTAGTATTTTTCAATTTTTATCTTTCAAAGATATTTTGAAAAATACGCCCCCCCCCCTGTGTAAAGTTTAATTGAATTATAAGTTATTGTGACTGGACGTGTCTGAGGCCTGATTGCCTGAAATACAGAGACATTTGACAAAATATGAACAGACATAATAGTTCTATTATACAATAATAAAAAATAAAGTTAACAATATTTGGTAGCAAGAGAAGGAGGAGGAAATCTCACTCTATTTGGATTATCTCCATGCATTTAACGCAAAGAATACTCAAATAATCTTGAAATTATGCACATTTTTATATAGCCTTGAAAAAAATTAAATCTTCTGTTTTATGCTCAATCCCATTTTTAAACCAAAATTTTAATGATAGGAGTGGTTGAGATTAATTTTGAAAATTTTGACTTATAACATTTGCTTTGGTATTGAAATTTTCTTATCCAGCGCACCCAAAAAGAATTTATACAAACAAACGTATAATTACTTTTTTATCAGGGGCTCTTCTTATCTCATTCGTTATCTTTGCATATAAAGTAATATTTCTTCCTGTTTATGTTAAGTTGTACCAAAAATACTTACTTAAAAGTGAAAATACTTACTTACAAAAATAGATTATTTTTAAAATCTGGTTTGATCAATGCATTTAGTATGGAGGTAACAGTTTAAAAATGTAAATTTAAAAAACAGGAATCATTTAAAAATTAGATTTATAAATGTGGTTTAATATGAAAGACACTCTGAACCGGATGCAAACATATTGTCCCAATAAGCATAGAGAATTGAGCGAAGACTTCTAGATCGTCTTTGTGAATAAGTTTTGAAATAGTACAGTGCACTATAGTTTCAGTAGAATTAAATATTTCCATTTACTGATATCGACGATTGAAGGATTCATAACTCTAATTGGATATTGAGATAGATAGAAAGACAGATGTTACCGCCATGCAATTTCTATTTGTTCAGAATAGACAACAAACACATTACTGAACCCTGATTGGATGAGGCGCTAATGGAATCGGCAGTGAGTGAGTGATGTTCTAAATAAGCCGGAATTAATATCAATTGATTGAAGACTTCAAGTCGTTATTGACCTAAGAAATAGTTTGGCATTTAAAACCTAATTTTAGAAATATTTTTCATGAAACAATAACCACAAAATAGCCCCTGCCAGTTCTAAAATGTGGTCTGCCATTTTTTGCTTTCAAAATTCAAGAGATATTGAGAACTTTGTTAAGATTTTAATTTATTAAATAAAACCATGTAATTGTCTCATTCTGAACGAAATCAGTCATATCTCCAGTATTTCTCAAAGCAGGCCCCATTTTCTAAAAAATTGCAGGATTAGGGTTATTTTGTGATTATAGTTTAATGAAAAATATCTATAGAATTAGGTTTGCCAACATGAATGCCGCAAACTAATTTCTAGGGTCAAAGACGATTTGAAGTTTTCAATCAATTAATATTAATTCCTGTTGTACAAGCTGTACATACATAGAAGAAATTGAACCAAATATTTCGGCCCCCTTCCTGTATTAGTAGAACCCTGGAGAAGGATGAATATACAGAAACCTGATTACTAAAATAAACATGTACTGTATGCACTGTACACTGTACTGCAGTATGCTCTGAGCCAGATTTAGGTCTCAGTTGACAAAAGTCTGCTGCTTGGTAAATCAGAATTAATATTCAGGTATATAATACACTAATTAAAGCCTATTTCACATAAATCGATATTACAAGATTACATTTTCTATTCTTGATGTTTTCTATAGTTTCAGGGTTTACTATAAAGTACATGGCCAATCGTCGTTAATATTATTCTATTATTTAGAATCTCCGGTAGAGGCTGAGTGGGCGTTTCCTCTCTCCCCCTCCCCCCCCCCTTCATACTTCATCTCTCTGCGTCCTGAGAGGTTGATGTATAGGAGCAATGACGACCTCGCCAACCCTCTTGGAAAGGTCAAAGTCGTTTTTATGTTATTTTACACTGAAATAAATTATTGTACAAATTTATTGCACAGCTGTATTTTCTCTACCAGTGAATGCACTGAATTATTCTGATTTATTAAAGAGGTTTTTTACGTATAGAAATGATTATCCTCTATAAACTAAATCTAGTCTGTACGACAATTCCGGCTTATTTAGAACAACATTATATTGTTTTTCCAAATAGGAAAGCTGTAATATGTAGACTACTGTTAATTCTTAAAAAAACAATCTCGACAACGTAACTCAATTCCCATGTTTATTGGGACACCATGTAGTTCAGCTGCACCTATGTGTACTTTATTACATTTTGAACTGCATATCATTTATATCTTTAGAAATTTATCAATAACTTTGTGAATATTTGCTAAATCTGTTAAGACGACTGTTACATTTCTAACTGCAATACATGGTCACTATTTAACCAAACCAGCTCTTTGATTAAATTATAACTCAAACAACGTAAATAAATAGTATTTTATAGAAAAATATTTGTTAATTTTTGGAAAACTCTGTGAATAAATTTAAAGTGTAATATTACGAAATCCTTGATTTCATCTCGTACATCGCCTTGAGGGTCGAGAGAGAGAGAGAGATAAGAAACTAAATAAATCCAGTCCTACATAATAATTATATACAAATTAGTACGCTACGCTTTCATCAAGGTTCCAACACTCAATGAATTGAGAGAATCCATGCTATTCGAACGATCTTGTGTTACATAAAGTTACGTTATGTTAGTTTCGCGACCAGTTATGGCACCATTCTTGAGAAAAATCCATCGTAATTAACAGTAGGATAATTTTGATCTTAGAATCTGGAGATTAATAACAAGAGGATATAAACAAGCATTATTCAATCTGAGCTGGGCGCTTTTGAATGGTGAATACTGGGATTAATGCTTGATCCACTCTTTTTCTTAATATCCAGACAAAATAACGCTTGTCTCCAATTGTTATTAATCTCCAGATTAATGAACAGATCGGGATTAAGGATATCCCATTCTAAAGTTTTCAGCTCTGAGCTGAAAACTTTAGAATGAGATATCTTTAATCCCATTCAAAAGTTTTCAGCTCAGACAACTTAGAATAAGAAACAAGAGATCTAAGAATAAGAAAACACTGAACAACTAAGGATAAAAAACTAGATTAACTAAGAATAAGTGAGCTTAACAATGATACAAAGAAACATGTAGTTCTAAAATTATCTGCATAAGAAATTGAAACATGAAGTAATTAATGTAAACCACATAAATATTGTTGCATCATAATAATTTGAGGTTTTCCTAGCTAGGAAATAATAATTTCTGTTGTAATCATGTTGTTATGCAGTAAGAGTTAGTGGTTCATCATTAAAAAAACATGGTGAGAATTTCGCTTAGGAACCCAGCGCTTGGATTCAAAAAGTTACTCCCGCCGTTTACCCGCACGTGAACGATTTCACCGGGAAACTAAATTTTCGCTATTAATGACGACCCACTCAACTTAGAATCTTAAAACCAAACAAAAACATTCTCGTGGGCATCCCGAGTTCCCCAATCAAAATTTGAGGCAAATCGGCCCAGGGGTTTCTAACAAACAAACAAACAGATAAACAGCAATTACAACTTTATATAGGTAGATGAAAACAAATTATCAAATATAGAAAAAATTATGTTTCATAAACATTGTTCATATCATATCTATTTAAGATATTATTACAATTCTAAAATATTTAAGAGAGAGGAGTGTTGCCCAGAGTTTGTACAAAGCACACAAATCTGTAGTAGATATATTTTAATTTCTTCAAAAATCAAAATAATTAAAAGATTTAAGTTTTGAAGAGCATGGATAAGGAATTTTAAATAATTGAACTCTCCCTATTAACTACAAACCTATTAACTACAAACCTATTAACTACAAACCTATTAACTACAAACCTAAATGAAATCTTAGGAAGCGTCTCCCTTTTTCATAAAATCACAATTTACTCATATTTTTCGTCAAATATATAACATCTTTATAAGCAACAGTTTTCAGACAAAAATTAAAAATATTTCATTATTTCCGATCTTTCATAAAGGTACTGTAGACTTAATTTAAGTAGCTCTCCATTTATAGATTGGCATTTACATTTCACAACGGTACCCTTAAAGCTTGCCCCAAGTAAGGATGCTGTAAAATTTGTGACCCTCTGATCGATAAGTTACTATAGCACACAGCATCAGCTGATTATATTTCAGATAAGTTCCTATAGCACACAGCATCAGCTGATTATATTTCAGAAGAATGAAGCATATTTTAGCATTACTTTTGTTAGTTAACATATCATGTGGATACAGTTATAATATTCTATTTTTTCACGATATTGGGACAAAGTAAGTAAATGTTTTAACAACCACATATTACTAAAAAATGATTAAATTTTTTAAATATTTTAGAAGCCATTTACATCTCTATTATCCGTTAGTTGAAGTACTACTAGAACGAGGCCATGAAGGTAGATTCATGAAAGAGACTGTTCGTGTAATTTCAGATCATCCTTCAACGCAAAGAGGGGAACGCTAAATTCACTCTTAAATCCTTAGATTGGCCAACGAGGACAGAGAACTTTGTTTGATTATCTCTAAAATGGTGTCCAAATCGTCGTAAAGCAGGGGGGTAGATTAGCGTACAATGTGAACTCATAACAGTTGATTTTTAACATATTCCTCTAAAATCTAGTAAAAGAATAATTCCGTCATCCTTAATCAGTCCAAGTTTTAATGGGTACGCCACTCAGCACTTTGCAAATGGAGGTTCAGATGAAATAACGCATAATTTAAGTCTCTTAATTGATAACATTGCGATTTAAAGCATAGCTTAATGTTATTAACAACACTTTAACCAGCGTTTAAATCTTGTACATTTTACAAGATTATTTTACATTTTCCGAAATAATAATGATATTTTTGTTTCCATTAGTAACTGGTGTTTATTACGGATCTGCTAAAATCCAACATGAGAACTACACTGAACTTCAAATACCAGATAATTTGGTAAATATTTAGACAAATTTTTACATTTCATATAAAAACATTTAATGTTTACAGGGGAAACTTATGAAAAATTTGTCCTCCCTGTATATGGAAGAAGGAAATTCAAAGTCTAATATTATCAGTATTTCTCGTTTAGCGTAAGTACCATTTTATTATTACTTTTCATTTATAAAGGCATTTTTTACTTCTGACGGGTCTAGCTTCCAAAGTGTCAAATTATCTTTATTGGAAGGATCTATATTAAAAGACTTTTTCAAATTTTATTACAAAATTTATACTTGTCACGTAATTTCCGTCTGTATCACGTGACAACGATACTGCACTGCCATTGGCTGAAGTTCTGATGACGTAATACGGACTACACGGACTATTTGTAATTATATTGACAATTATATCTATTGAAAATGCAAAATAAAAATTCAAAAATTATAATAAGAGCAAACCTGAGATTCTCAGGCTCCTGTGGGATAAAGTCGTTTTCAAATTGGTTGTGTATTTGCTGAATATGATCTGTTTAAACCTACTATTTCCATACACAATTGTATATATATGAAATTTCGTGTAAATTTGACACCTTTTCTATCAATTTCTCGAGACAGGAACATCAGATAGATGTCTAATATGTATCGTTCAACGCCTGAGATTCTCAAGGTTTCATCCTACACCCCCTTTCATTTTTCCTTTACAGTCTATTTAAAGGGACTGTACTGCATAATTTAAAGTGACCCTCCATGCAAAGATGGCAATGCCCGATTATCAACGTTACCCTGAAGCACATAAACCCTTTATCTGATCAATGATGTGGAAGATATTGTCGTTTTCTCTGGTTTAACTTGAAATTACGCTGATAATCCCTGTAAGCGGTGTTTGAATTCTTGTATTTTAGGTCAACATGGCATCTTTTACCGAAATATGTGGAAGATGTTATTTCTACATTTGAAAGAGAAGATGTCAAAAAGATACTCCAAAAACAATTTGATATTGTTATTTCATCAAGTAATTATAAATCAAATTATTTTTTATTTTTAAGCTTTCAAGCAGCATGGATTCACATTGACATGGACACAAACAAAGAGAAGCACTTAACCATTATAGTTTCATTAGAAGTACATATTTCTTTTTGCTGATAGCACCGATTGAAGGAGTCATATCTCTAATTGGATAATGAGATAGATAGAAAGATAGATGTTACCGCCATACTGTTTCTATTGGTTCAGAATAGACAACAAACATGTGACTGAACCCTGATTGGAACAGGCGCTAATGGACTCGGCATACAGGAGTGTAACAGCTTCTCTTTGTTTACTTGTACGTAAACAAAAAGCTTGTTAGGAATCAAAACTCAAATAGAAAAGTCGTCTTTATTTTAGGTAATTAGCGACCACTGTACTTTTTGAAACTTTATTTTTATAATTGTTATAGGTAATAATGTTGGGTATGTTGCGCATGTAACAGATTCCAAAATTATATTTATCAGTCCTCCTGGACCTATCTCAATGTTTACATCTCCAATTGGTAATAGATTCTACCCTAGTCTGTCTCCCGCCTTGGGGTCAACCTTCACTGATCCATCATCTATGAGGAAACATTTATATTTAAGAAATTTTTCTAAACTTTTTTTTTACCTAAAAGCATTTAACTTTGTAAATACCAAAAAAGAACAAACTATTTTTTGAAATAACATTTTTTTTTATAATTTCAAATAAAAAAATTCTAGTTGACATTTTAATCCTGATCGGTTATAATCCTTGTCCTAGGGTCATATAAGACCCCACAAAAAATGTTGTCAGTAAATTGTACGTATAAAGATTGAAATCTTAGATTTTTTTGATCATTACTCTGCTTATTGAAAGGAACAAAGTAAGTTACAAGTAACGTCGTAAACATTTTACCTTCTCCGACTGTCTGGTTCATGGTATCTGTAAACTTAGACAAGCTAAGCTTATTTCTTTTACAAAATAAAATATGAAGATTTAATTAGTCAGAGGTTTAACAATTGGTTTGCATCAGTCATGATAGATGTATGGACTATATTTCACAATGAATTCCAATTATACCCTGGATTAGTTGATACATTAAACTACAATGGACCAACATTGCTTAAAGTAATTAGTGAGCGAAGTCAGCTGGTGCTGTCCAACAGCCATTCAATAACACATGAACCACAACCATTCCTGGAAAATGTGGTTCATGTTGGTGGATTACATATTAAACAAACTAAACCTTTACCACAAGATCTTCAGATATTCATGGATTCTTCTCCACAAGGTTAAGCATTCAAATAATGATATTAAGCATATATTTAATTTTTTTTTTCAAATAAAAACATAATAGCTTAATAAATTATTTTTTAAAACTATGCATTATCTTCGAAAGGGACTGTAAGCGTACTTTTAGGACGTATTACACAACATGATATTCACTAAATTCTCTGTCCTTAATAATCAGTCAAGGGTTTAAAGGGTACCGTTGTGAATCAGTAATGTCCTTCTTTATATGGAAGGTCACTAAGAATCACGCTTACAATTCCGTTTATTTGGTCGAATGATTAATTTCAAGGTGTTCTGCTGGTTTCTTTCGGATCTTCAATAACTCCAAGTTCGATGTCAGAAGAGAAAAGAAAGGTAAACGTGCTATAGAACACAATTTTTTGATGATATATGTATTTAAAACTGTTAATAAACAAGTAATAAAGGTTTTGAATCTTTGCCACAAACTCTTTAAAAACTTGATATTTCAAACTTAGATTATTTGATCCAACAGAATTCATAGTTTTAAATTTCTAAAGATATTTCAAGATTAGAAAATTAGAGTTTGTGGCAAAGATTCTATTCCTTTACACAAAATAAGAATAAATATTTACAAAAAATCTGCGTGTAGGCTAATCAGATTGTCTTAATATGCATTCTGTCTTAATATGCATTCTGTTTCTTCTATTTGAATTCTATCGCGTTTCGGTCTATAATTGAACAATCTTTAAACTGATAGAGAAGTTTCGGTTTATAATTCAACAATCTTTAAACTGATAGAGTAGTTTCGGTCTATAATTCAACAATCTTTAAACTGATAGAGTAGTTTCGGTCTATAATTCAACAATCTTTAAACTGATAGAGTAGTTTCGGTTTATAATTCAACAATCTTTAAACTGATAGAGTGGTCTTTTTTACACTTCATTTAAAGCGCATTTTCCCAAAAAAGAGAGTGAAGAAAAGGCGAAGAATTTGTAGTAAAAGGTAATCGAAAGTTACAGTTTGCTGGAATAATAATCAACATTTAAAATCCGCATTTCTTTTGCACAATCTATTTTAATCTATGTTAAAAACTAGGTATTTTTGGAAGTGTTTGAGAAGATTAATATCCCAGTAATCTGGAAATGGGATACTGGAGTTACAGCTGATGTACCAAAGAATGTTCTTATTAAAGACTGGCTTCCTCAACAAGACTTACTGGCACATCCCAACCTAAAGGTAGAAAATATCCTGTGTACTTTTGAACAATATCTAATCTGAGGGCCGTTTTTTATTTTGCTGCAGTAATTTGTATAACCTCTTTTTTGCAAGCGTAATTTATGATTTAGGCCAAGAAAACAACAATTTTGCTATTTCAACATTTTTCTACATGAAACACTTACTATATTACATTCATTAAATAAAGTCATGTTTCAAAAATTAAAAAATTGAAATATGCAAATGAGACACTTGCAAATATTTAGTGTGGATATTGTTAATCTTGAACCCTTGATCTTGATATCTAATGGGGGCACTATTAAATTTGAAGATCAACGCTGGATTTCTCATTGAAAGTTGTCCTTGTAGAGATATCGAAGAGAAATTAAATTAATCCGTAGATCTGTATAACATGGAGTTCAATACTTGATCCCGAGATAAACAACGCATAAGTTGTGAATTCTGTTCAGGTTTTTGTAACACATGGAGGTCTACTGAGTATTATGGAGGCGATCTATCATGAAACCGTCCTGGTCGGTATACCCCTTGGTAATGATCAGGTATTCCCTTTGGAAATGATCAGGTATTCCCATGGTAATGATCAGGTATTCCCTTGGTAATGATCAGGTATTCTCCTTGGTAATGATCAAGTGTTCACCTTGGTAATCACCTTGGTATTCCCTTGGCAATAATCGGGTATTCTCCTCGGTAATGAGCAGGTATTCTCCTTGGTAATAATCAGGTATTCTCCTTGGTAATGATCAGGAATTCTCCTTGGTAATGATCAGGTATTCACCTTGGTAATGATCAGATATTCACCTTGGTAATAATCAGGTATTCCCCTTGGTAATGATCAGGTATTCTCCTTGGTAATAATCAGGTATTCTCCTTGGTAATGATCAGGAATTCTCCTTGGTAATGATCAGGTATTCACCTTGGTAATGATCAGGTATACCCCTTGGTAATGAGCAGGTATTCACCTTGGTAATGATCAGGTATTCTCCTTGGTAATGATCAAGTGTTCACCTTGGTATTCCCTTGGCAATAATCGGGTATTCTCCTTGGTAATGATCAGGTATTCACCTTGGTAATGATCAGGTATTCCCCTTGGTAATCATCATGTATTCACCTTGGTAATGATCAAGTATTCACCTAGGTAATCATCATGTATTCCCTTGGTAATGATCAGGTATTCACCTTGGTAATGATCAGGTACTTCACCTTGGTAATGATCAGATGTACCCCTTGGTAATGATCAGGTATTCACCTTGGTAATGATCAGGTATTCACCTTGGTAATGATCAGGTATTCCCCTTGGTAATGATCCGGTATTCACCTTGGTAATGATCAGGTACTTCCCTTGTTAATGATTGGGTGTAAAACCAAACCATCGAATGTAACTTTAGAATTGGTCTTTTTAAAAGCTTAAAAGAAGGTTAGGTTAGGTTAGACCTCAACTCTGCAGATTAAACATTATAGTTTTCATTGAAAAAGTTTAAGTATTTGATTGCAGAAGTTTAGAAGATTTGAACATACATTATAATGCATTATATTAGAAGATAGAACGGGGAAAGGGATTGTTGTAAATCTCTATCTTTGTTTTCCTAAAGACTAATATGCACTACTTTAGCGTCCAAACCTTGTTCGTCTTGAATCTAAAAACCTTGGAATAATGCTGGATTGGGATAATTTATCTGCTCAAGAGATGATTCTAGCAATTCAGAAAGCAATGACGGATGTGTAAGTTTTCTAATTTATTGTTTGAAAAGACAATCAGTCTGTTCAAATGAGGTTAAAGCATTATATTCTAGTGAAATGGCAAAATCTATGAAGGAGATGAGCCGGCTGTTTAAAGATACGCCTGCTAGACCAGTTGAAAAAGCTGCTTGGTGGATTGAATTCGTGATCAGGAATATATCTCAATTTCATATTATCATTAAACATTTTCATAATATCATTGAACTTTTTCATATTATCATTAAACTTTTTCATATTATCATTAAACATTTTCATATTATCATTAAACATTTTCATATTATCATTAAACATTTTCATATTATCATTAAACAACTTTATATTATCAATAAACATTTTTATATTATCATTGAACATTTTCATATTATCAATAAACATTTTCCTATTATCATTAAACATTTTCATATTATCATTAAACAACTTTATATTATCAATAAACATTTTCATATTATCAATAAACCTTTTCATATTATCATTAAACTTTTTCATATTATCATTAAACATTTTCATATTATCATTAAACTTTTTCTTATTATCATCAAACATTCATCTACCACACCAGTTTTAACAATTAAGAATTTAAAAATATCTATTAATTGGACTTTTAAACTCTCAACAAAAATTCCATGCCGGATTCATAGAGTACTCTTTACAAGTTATCTGAGTAACAATAAGAATAATATTGTTGTATTTTCTATTTTGAAAGTATCGAATTCCGACCGTTTTCTTCTTTGTTTCTGCAGCATTTATCCGAAAGTCATTTTACTTAAGAAAACAAATTATGAAGACAACGAAACGTTGGAAACAGTTCATACTCAAGAGATAAGATAAACAAACGCGGGGCATGGTTTGTTACACAATTACACAGTAGCATGCTATCCCATTTTCTAGAATAAATAGTGTTGCAATGAGATGAATGAGATGTATGATCAGGAACGGAGGAGCAGATTACTTTAAACCCAACTCTATGAACCTACCCTGGTATAAAGTTCTAAACCTGGATATCCTAGTTCTGGTTCTACTCTGTATCCTGGTATCAGTTTATATATCCTACAAAATATTTAAATCTTGTCTCCGCTGTTGCTGCTCAAAAGTAAACAAAGAAAAACGTGAATAAAAGAATTGAATTGTTTTTATTTTATACATATAAAAACTATAATGAAACATTTATAGAGAAGCTCAATATTGCATCGAACTGTAATTTTCCAATCCCTGTTTCTTTGCTGTAAATTAACATTTGATCTGAAATTTTGACCAAAGGTCTGGCAGTATGTACTTACTCTTCGAAATACAAAAGATCAGGTTGCAGAGATGTAGGGATTAGAAAATAAGAGTTTGATGGTAGTGATCGGTAACTTTGAATTTTCTCAAATAAAAAAAATATCTTCTATGTATGTATGTAAAGTTGTAATCTCTGTTTGTTCCATCATAACTCATGAACCCTGGATCGATATGCCTCAAATTTTGGTTGGGAAACTTGGGAGAACCACGGGAATGTTCTTAGCTTGATTTTGAGATTCTAAGTTGAGTGGGTCTACTTTAATACGAAGAAATAGCTAAAATGACCAAGCGCGGGTAAACGGTGGGTGTACCCTGGTCAACGCTGGGTTCCCATTAAAAATCTAAACTAAAAAGTTTAATTTCATGATCTTGAGATAGGTTCCAGATTAATTTGAAATTAGGACGCTATAAACTGTCTCCTCTACACGTGTGTGTGTGTGTAGCCAAAAGATTATACACACACTGTATTTACACTTAACTGTCACAAACACACAACACTCTTTATTGTTCACACAACGCTCTTCATTATTCACACACTTCCATATACTGTAGTCTCTAGTCAACCTTACACATTCTAAAAAGGTTTTTTTTAATTCAATAAAAGTTTGTTCATTCATTTTAAAATCAGATCTATTAGATAACCTGGCTGAAAAGGAGCTAGTTTTAAAGTATTAAGACAATTAGCTTGTTTTAAGCCAGCATGTAGATTCTAGTAAACTAGTGAGCTAGTAAGCTAGTGAGTTAGTAAACTAGTGAGCTAGTAAACTAGTGGGCTAGTAAGCTAGCGAGCTAGTAAACTAGGGAGCTGGTAAACTAGTGAGCTAGTAAGCTAGTGAGCTAGTAAACTAGTGAGCTAGTAAACTAGTGGGCTAGTAAACTAGTGAGCTAGTAAACTAGTGAGCTGGTAAACTAGTGAGCTAGTAAACTAGTGAGCTAGTAAACTAGTGAGCTAGTTAGCTAGTAAAGGATGAATATTTATGTATTGAGTTTCTGCTCTGCGGGGGAGAGAATGCTAAAACCAACATTTCAACACTAGTATTTGGTTACCAGGATCCATCCAACATTATCATTAATATATATTCACTAGGGTCCACCCAACATTATCAGAAATATATTCACCAGGATCCATCCAACACTATCATTAATATATTCACCAGGATCCATCCAACATTATCATTAATATATTCACCAGGATCTATCCAATATTATCATTAATATATTCACCAGGATCCACCCAACATTATCATTAATATATTTACCAGGATCCATCCAACATTATCATTAATATATTCACCAGGATCCACCCAACATTATCATTAATATATTTACCAGGATCCATCCAACATTATCATTAATATATTTACCAGGATCCATCCAACATTATCATTAATATATTTACCAGGATCCATCCAACATTTTGTTGAAGAAACTGCAGTACATACTATTGTAAACAATGTTCATAGTTTTTTTTTCAGGATATACAGTGTACAGATCTTTTATTTTTTTCTCATTTAAATTGGAATGCGCCTGAATCAGATTTCTACCCTTTCGGTATTTAATTTGTAGTTATTCTTGAGGTTTTTGTTAAAATTTTTAATTTTAGATAGATTCCTATAAAAAAGACTTGCTGATTTATACAGAAGAAAAGGAAAAAATTACTTTGAAATTGTATTTTTTAAACAGAAAAATGATGATATCCTTTTGTTAAGGGTAATATTGTGTACAACTACCAGTACTACTACTACTAGTACTACTATTAGTACTACTACTACTTGTACTACTAATACTAGTACTTCTACTTCTAGTACTACAATTTTTTAATTTTAGATAGATTCCTATAAAAGTGACTTGCTGATTTATACAGAAGAAAAGGAAAAAATTACTTTGAAATTTTATCTTTTTAAACAGAAAAATGATGATATCCTTCTGTTAATAATGATATCCTTCTGTTAATGATGATATCCTTCTGTTAAGGGTAATATTGTAAATGTAACGCTCTCAATAGAGATTCACTTGAATTTACCTAATTCATTCATTTAAAGCAGAAAAGTAAAATCAATATTTAAACCAAACTCCGGTTTTAAGCAGACAAAGAGAACTCGAATCTTAAGCGGAGAAATTGCAGTAATTAATGTAGCATCCAATACAATCTGAAAACTGAATAAAATAATTTCTTAGGCCTGATCCTAGATGCAATATATTGTAGTTTACTTAAACACAATCTGAAAACAGAATAAAATAATTTCTGAGACCTAATCCTAGATGCAATATGTTGTAGTTTACTCAAACACAATCTGAAAACTGAATAAAATAATTTCTTAGGCCTGATCCTAGATGCAATATGTTGTAGAGAACTGGTTGAATAAATATTAGAATTAATGTATTGTCAATTTGATTTTGATTTCAATTTCGGAAGTATGTGACGTTTATCAATTTGTTTAAGGATGTTTAAACTTAAAAATCGAAATAACTTCCTGAAAATTTTGACATTCCACCGAGAAACAAAATTTAAATAAAGGATTTTGAATATTTCAGTTTTTCAACAGATTCTAAGAAGATTTATTGTAACTGTAATTACCAATTGAAAAGTTATAGATATAACATGAAATGGAATTTAAAGCGTATTTAACGTGTTTCAATCATTAAATCTAAATCCAACATGATTAATAACCCTGCCTTAAAAATTGGAGTTTAAGGCAAATGTCAGCTCCATTACGTGGAACCTTTTCAGCAGAATACAGTGTTGCCAACCGTGAATCAGGCCCAAACGACGACCTTAAAACTTAAAATGATAAATTAAGCTAAATTAGATTTCGACTCCAAAGTGTAAACGAACTCCTCCTCTGTTGGTACTGGATAAACCCCTGTTCAACAGTTTATATATGAGTCATGTTTTATAGTATATCTTAAGACCCATAATACTGTGGAATATGAAAAAGTATTTAGGCAAATTTATGTGTACTAGGCTTTTGGGCACTTCGCGCCCATCTTAAATTTCAACTTTTGTGGCTTTATCTGTAAGCATGCTATCTTTGAACAGTATAAAATAAAAACAAAAAAAGTTTTGCGGATTTCATAATATTTTTTCACACATTTTCAAAATTTTACAAAAATATTCTTCTGATTGAAAGAATAATTTATTCTGTTCCCTGGGTTTGCGCATTTTATAATACTTTGATTCTACAAAATGGCTGAATCAAGGGGGGAGGAGGGAATTGCTTTGCAAGCACAACACAGAATTTTAATGACAAGTCATGAAATGGATTTAGAACACTGCACTGCAAAAACGGGGTTTTTCATATGTAAAGTCTTAACTTGAGTTTTCTTCCTGTTCCACAGTTTTATGGGTCCCACTGTATAGTTGAAGAAGGTACCGAGAATCTGAATTATCTGTTAATAATTGCGTGGACAGTTTAAACCAAGATCCGTGGTTTCAATTAATTTAATTTCAGATAAAATGATTGTGGGAAATATTATTTTGAATTATTATAATGTTGTATAAACCAAAATAATGAAACCAAACATGATTAAATTGATAATATTCCCCTTGAAAGACTCCATGTAGAGGTTGAATGCATTCAAATCTAAATTTAACAGGCCACTTCAGTTCCCAGTCCCAATTGTGCCGCTCCACGTGATTTGAAAGGCCGCCATTTTGAAATAATTGGCGGGAAAAAGCCAGGGTTGTACAGTGTACAGAACAGTTTATTAATTTGCATCAATTGGACTTCTCGAATACGGTGTGTTATACTAATAGTAGAATTGTAGGACATAATAAGTTTAAAAATCCGAAAATAAATATAATTCTGAAAATATATATAACTCTGTAGAATTGACTTGATTTCCCAAGCACTGCATGAGGAGTGGGGTGAGGAGCCACAGACCCTGTAGGGGGTCTAACTTCCACCCTTGGCCCCCCTATGCGACCCGACTCATAATATACCAATTACAAATCCATATTCTATATGTTCTCTCCTCATGAATATTTTTGATGAATTTGGACCGAAAATGTTAGTTTTTGAGTGTTCTGTATATATTTGAAGTAGATTTTTCAAGTGGCGTAGTCCCACACATTCGTAGTTGACAGGACGGCTCTCCAGGATGGGGTGTTTGAAAAAATATATATATATGGATACAGATATATATAGGAGATTTAGTTATTTTTCTTTGTTTTAATGGCATTCGACATGATAATGATTATGAAACATTTTAAATCCAAAGTTTAAAGTTTTAATTTACACCCTGTGTACTGTGTAGTGAATATTTTATTTGCATGAAGTAGAAATGTGAAAATAAGGATAAAAATATTTTTTATAAAAATATATTTTTAGATTTATGTTAAACAAAGTATAAGAATGTTTGTTTTTACTTTAGCTAAATTTGTATTATTTTTCTTGTTCCCTATTTTCAAGTGTTTATCTACCATTTCTTTAATTAATAATGTTTACGTCTAAAAATAAATATTGAAGGGGAATATGCTGAGGACCTGTTTTTTAAATTATTAATTATTTATAGTAATACATAATTACATGAAGCACTCATCGTGGTAAGGTTAAGATCTAAAACCTTTTACCTTTTTTGTAAAGCTAAGTGTTCTCGTTCCTAATATTTTGTAATTAAAAATTGAAAGTTGGTTTTTAAAAGACGTGTAAGTGGCTTTTCATATCTATAAAGTGCCATAAACCACTAACAATTTTAATACCAATCCATTTCCAGAGTTTGGTCATTCCGAAGTTTGCATTTCAGAAGTTTTCATTTCAGAAGTTTGTATTTCAGGAGTTTGCATTTCAGAAGTTTGTATTTCAGGAGTTTGCATTTCAGAAGTTTGTATTTCAGGAGTTTTCATTTCAGAAGTTTATATTTCAGGAGTTTGCATTTCAGAAGTTTGTATTTCAGGAGTTTTCATTTCAGAAGTTTGTATTTCAGGAGTTTGCATTTCAGAAGTTTGTATTTCAGAAGTTTTCATTTCAGAAGCTTGTATTTCAGGAGTTTGCATTTCAGAAGTTTGTTTTTTTGGTAGCTTGTATTTCATGAGTTTGTATTTCAGAAGTTGTTTTTCAGGAGATTGTATTTCAGGAGCTTATATTTCTTGAGTTTGTATTTCAGGAGTTTGTATTTTAGGAGTTTGTATTTCAGGAGCTTGTATTTCAGGAGATTGTATTTCAGGAGTGTGTATTCAGGAGCTTGTATTTCAGGAATTTGTATTTCAGGAGTTTGTATTAAAGGAGTTTTTATTTCAGGAGTTTGTAATTCAGGAGATTCAGAAGTTTTTCATGTTACAAACGTTATGAATCAAACCATCTAATTCTTGAATATATTCAAGGTATAATACTGAATTTAAATTTTCTTGAAAAGGAATAATAGAAATACTCTCTATCCCACTTAAAGTAAAAGAATTTCAAGTTTACGAATTTGAAGATATATTATTGAGGATAGTTCTCTCTCTAGGCTCTAGTAGATTGGGTTGAACAGAGTACAAAGGGTGCTGTCCTAAACAGTTATACTTCAGGATCCATCCACAAATATACTTTAGGGTGGATCCATCCACAAACATACGTTGGATCCATCCTCAAATATAATTTGGATTGGATCCATCCTCAAATATACTTTAGGTTGGATCCATCCTCAAATATACTTTAGATTTGATCCATCCACAAACATACGTTGGATCCATCCACAAACATACGTTGGATCCATCCTCGAATATACTTTGGATTGGATCCATCCACAAATATACTTTATATTGGATCCGTCCTAAAATATACTTTAGGTTGGATTCATCCACAAACATACGTTGGATCCATCCTCAAATATACTTTGGATTAGATCCATCCTCAAATATACTTTAGGTTGGATCCATCCTCAAATATACTTTAGATTGGACCCATCCACAAACATACGTTGGATCCATCCACAAACATACGTTGGATCCATCCTCAAATATACTTTAGATTGGATCCATCCTCAAATATACTTTAGGTTGGATCCATCCTCAAATATACTTTAGATTTGATCCATCCTCAAATATACTTTAGATTGGATCCATCCTCAAATATACTTTAGATTGGATCCATCCTCAAATATACTTTAGATTGGATTCATCCACAAATATACAGAGCGTCCCATATCTTATTAGATTATCTTCAAGTTTTAACGCCAAAATAAAACAATAATACTCGAAAAAACCTAGTATTTTCCGCAACATAATTCTTATATAAGCCTTTTTCAATTTTTCAAAATGATTCATTCTTCTTAAATATTCTGATTAGTCCCGAAAATCGTAATTTAGACCGATTTACGATCTAAGATGATGTGGGACACCCTGTACTTTAGATTGGATCCATCCACAAATATACTTTATTTTGGATCTGTCTACAATTATATATGTCAATTATATCGTGAAACTTTGAAATTATCAAAATATTGAGAAAATATTTGGTACTTTCTTGTCCTGTCTTTTCCTGAAACTTGCTTCATTTCTCTCTCCTTTTCCGTCGTTCTTCTATATATATATATATTTAATATTACCCCCCGCCCTACCCAACCCTCCCTATCTCTCTTCCCCTTTCCCTAGATATTGTTTACTCTTTTCAACATTTTTCTATATTCCTCCTCATGCCATTTTTTCTAAACTGCTTATCTTAATTTTTTGGTTTTGGTCTCTTCACGAAACTTTCATGATTTTCTCCTTTTCGAGTTTTGGAGGGGGAAAAATCATTTTGATTCTTTAGCTTCGAAATTTTTTTAGAACATTAGTATACATATAGAATCTGCGCACTAGAGAAGTGGTTGAACTACGTTTACAATTTAAAGTTCAACTACTTCTCGCTTTCATTAAAGGGACTATAAGCGTAATTTCAAGTGACCCTCCATGCAAAGATGGCAATGCACAATTCTTAAAGGTTCGCTTAAAAGCTTAGTCTGGCCAAGAATGAATTAAATATCATTGTTTTTGTTTCTTTAAACTGCTCATTTATATTTGCGGGTTCTCTGCGAAAGTGACTTGCGCATTTTTTGCTTATGATAAGCAGCGGAGAAACTCATAGAAATAAACGCTTTTCAGTCAGAAAAGGATACGGTATCTGCAGCCACATTTTTTATTGGATTAAGGTCTCAAGGGTATCGTTGTAAATCGGACATTGCCATCTTTGCATGGGGGGGGGGTCACTTGGAATTAAGCGTACAGTCCCTTTAAATCTGGTTCAATAGCATAAATCATAATAAAACTTTTAGAGATAAATCTTTGTAAATTTGAATAATAATAATATTCCAGGTGGAGGATAAGGATTAAAGATATAGGGTTAATATTCTTTAATAAAAACATATGTTCTTTCATAACTATACAGATTAAACCTAATCACTATAGATTAAAATATATACATCTATCTTATACTTGTTTATACTTATATACTTGTAATTTCAAGTATAAGTATATACATCTATCTTATACTTGTATCTACTTATACTTGTAATTGCAAGTATTTTTTTTAAAGGGGGATATGTCCGATTCACGACAGAGAGAATCAATCGTTTTTTCTAGCTTGCAAAATGTATCATTTTAAAAATTTCCTCCAATTGTCAAATGGTGTCTCATTTGAATTTACGTACACAGTCCCTTTAAATATTAATGTGAAAAGAATTGTATTTTAACTTGATATTTCGTTCTTCCTAATGTCATTTCAACAATTGTCATTTTGTACCATTTTATTGCATAATCCGTGCCGGTACAACATGTACAATATACAGTACAGTCTGAACTATCTAGTGTAGAGTCGACCCAGCACGGTTTATGCAACAAATATATATAATTTAATCCTTGTTCTCATTTTTTCGCTTCTCCTTTCTTTTTAATTTTGGTTCACTTGGTTCACTTGGTTCACTTGGTTCACTTGGTTCACTTGGTTCACTTGGTTAACTTGGTTAACTTGGTTAACTTGGTTAACTTGGTTCACTTGGTTCACTTGGTTCACTTGGTTCACTTGGTTCACTTGGTTCACTTGGTTCACTTGGTTCACTTGGTTCACTTGGTTCACTTGGTTCACTTGATTCACTAGATTGATCGATTATTTGCTGAGTTTTCAGATTAATATTGTTTAAAAAGAACAGTTTATTCCCTTCTTTAACAACCCCTCAAATATCCCTCCCTCTTTCCTTATCCACACCTTAAACATTCCCCCCACCCTCTGTACCATTCCCCCACCCTACTTACCATTCCCCCCTCCTCACCATTCCCCCTCCCCTTCTTCCTTTTCCTTATATAGTTAGCATCAAACACATACCAGAGATTATCCTGTTAGCTCCACATAGACGTTAATTTATATTGAAATAGAAATAGATAGAGAAATAGATAGATAGATAGATAGATAGATAGATAGATAGATAGATAGAAATAGTAAGAAAAGAGGCAAAAACTTAAAAGTTAGTTGTATACCATAAATCGTACAAATATTAAAATGTTCATTGTTAATTGTTTAATTGTTCATAGGTTGGAACTTTTTTTGTAGAACACTTTGAACATTTTATATTCATCCAATATGTTTGAACAATTTCAAATTTGAGGACATATTCTTGCTTCATTAATCACAGAGATAACTTCGAATATTATTAATCAAGCTAGAGGAGCTACGAGGTCAAAGGTCGTACCAGTAATGTCGCATAAATCTGACCTTCTTCAGTAAACAGTTTAAAGTGTTTGTTGTTAATACCTCAACCGACTCATTTTGAGACCTAGACAGCTAGTAGACATTTACATTTACAACTGTTACACACTTTTTATTCTACAGGGTGTCCCAATAAACATGAAAGAGACGACTTAAAAGTCGTCTTTGATTTCTGATATTTGATGTATTTAATGCAAGGCAAAGAAAGTAAAAAAAACGAGGCTGTACGTCTGACGAGCTGTCCATAAAGTGGTATTGTATTGTATTGTATTGTATTGTATTGTATTGTATTGTATTGTATTGTATTGTATTGTATTGTATTGTATTGTATTGTATTGTATTGTATTGTATTGTATTGTATTGTATTGTATTTTATTGTATTGTACTGTATTATATTGTATTGTATTGTATTGTATTGTATTTTAAAAGTTGACGAAGATATTAGATATTAAGACAATTTTGATTCATTAAATAAATTGATATTTGTAAAATTTTGTCATATCTCCGTTAATTTTGAAAATACAAACATGGTAGACCACATTTTGAAAATCTCATGACCAGGCGTTTCCCAAGTTAAGCTGGAATACTGTTCATGAAAAAATGCCGCATAGATCGAAGACGATCTTAAAGTCGTCACTGAATGCTCATGTTTATTGGACACCCTGCAGCTTCGTTTAGCAGGAGTAATTGCTAAAATCCAGATAAATATGTGTGAAATTAAGAGCGTGGGCATTAAGTTCTACTGCATGAGTAATTTTGCAGGCCGGGTTTGACCACCAGGGGATTTCGGAGAGTCTAGAACTGGATTAATCTGTAGATAGAGACCAATGCTTGATCCTGAGGTTCACAGCACAAAAGTTTCGAATTCAGGTCATTTGAAATATTTCGTCCAATCACAATCCAGAACGGAAATAATTCACCAATCACAGCTTGGATCCTGGGTTGGCGCCAAATTTTCGTAATAATTTTTTTTTTAAAATATTGTTTTATATTTATATCTTGTATGGGTAATTTATGCACAAAATTATTCTTGCAGAAATGATGTTTCAAATTGACATTTCTCCTTTTTCTAGACTGCGCGCTCTCGTTCTGCTGACTAAGAGAGGTTTGGTGAGTTTTATAGAATATTTCTTTTTTCATCCTTCTCTCATTCTTATCCTCATTTTGATAAGCATCTCTATCCTCATTCTTATCCTCATCCTCATTTTCATCCTAATCCACATTCTCATCATCGTCCTCATCCTCATCCTTATCCTCATTCACCTCTTATTATTCTTGTCTTCCTCTCATCCTCATCCTCCTGTCATCCTAATTTTCCTCATCCCCATTCTTCTCTCATTCTTATCATTCTCTCATCCCAATTCTCCTCTCATCTTAATCCTCATCCTCCTCATATTTTCATCCTTCTCTCATCCTTATCATCCTCATCCTCCTTTCATCCTCATCCTCCATCCCATCCACTTCTCCTCTTATCCTCATCCTCCTCTCATCCTCTTCTCCTCTCATCCTCTGCCTCATCCTCTTCTCCTCTCATTCTCACCTCTTCTCCTCTCATACTTCTCATCCTCATTTAAGTCGTTCATCGTTCACAGACCGTGAACAGACTGATCTAAAATGAGAACGATTGTTAACGATTTAAAATCGTTTCTCTTTCCTTCGGTGCGATTTGAAACGACGGATTTATTTCTCTGAACAATCAAATTTGTTTGGCCATTGTTCGATATTTTTTTAATTTTCTCAGATCTTTATTGTACATCACATTTTTGTTAATAAATTAAGGAATTCAATACAATACTTGCCTTCATTTTAAAACAGAATATGAGGGAAGAGTTGAAAAAAGAGGAAGAGGGGGGGGGGCTGAATACGTTGAATAGCAAAGCCTGGAAGGCCCCTCTCTTTCTCATTAAACAATAAAAACAGGAGAGTCAAAGTAATAAAAGGCCAGTTTTGCTAATGACCTCCGATCTCAAATTTACTTCGTGATCCATGTAGATGACCACAATTAGAGGCTGCATACAAAATTTCAGCCTTCTATCTCAATTTTTAGGACCAAACGCAGCCTGTACAAAATGTGTTACAAAGTATCGAATTGGCCCCCCACCCCCTCCCCTTTCCGAAAGATAACTTGAAACGATAGTTGTTTTTTTTTTCTGTAAAACTAACAACTTCTAAAAGCGACGGTTTGTTAGGGTTGACAAATTTAGAGCCAAACACAAAACGTAATTCTTCTTAAGAAATAAAAAATTTCCAATCCTTACGTGAAAGTCGATTGCCGCATCTTCGATCATGTTCAAAACCAACCTTTTTAAAGATTGCAAACCAGTAAATGTTTCATTTATTAGATATCAAACAGACATATATTGCAGTTAAATTATAATTTAAACATAACGTATTTATATGTATACCAACTATAGATACAGGAAAAGAGAGATATAAAATTTGATTTAATAATTCACATTGTTTCAAAAACAGATGTGCCTCGATCAGACTATTCAACTCATTCAACCTTCTTATTCTTCCTGCTCCACCTTATCATCTAAAATACAAGAAATATTTTAGCTCAGAAGTCAGAATAGATCCAAATGTTATTCTTAAACCATGAATCTATCATTTAAAGTTTAGCTTAGGATAATTTCATTTGTGTTACAATAACGCTCATTTACAAGTTAAAATACAGGGTGTCCCAAAAAGCATGGGAATTCAGTGACGAATTCGATATCGTCTTTGTTATGAATTAGCATTGTAATACCTAATTTCAAAACCCATAATATTATTATGTCTGCTAGAGTTTATTTAATGAAAAGAGTAAAAGACTGTAAAGATGTGTCTATAATGTCTCCGCAAGATGAACAGTGAAGACGGACAAGTTTACTCTGTTTGTATACTGTAATTTTCTTGTTTTACTGAGTACAACCGTATGCAGTCAAAACATAAACAAACAAAATGTAAACATAGCAGACGAAACTCTTACAGATTACAGCTTTCTCAGTAGGTATCACTATACTAAATCAAAGAATTATTTGAAAAGACGATATCGAATTCGTCACAGAATTCCCATGTTTTTTGGGACACCCTGTACATACTATAATGGTAACAAAGTATCAGTTATATCAATTACATCAAAATAATCATAAACATTGGTACAAAGTGTACTGTTTATTTACTGCAGTACATCATGCACTAATTGATCTCAGGAACTATATGATTTCAGGAACTGACAAGAATTTTATTAGATACATTAAGTTGCCTGTATAATGATTGGCCCTGAACTAAATATAGAATACTTGGAAAACAGAAAACTCTAGATTTTTTGTCGTCTTTGTTATTTCTTTGACAATTCTTCTGCGTTTTGTTAGTGTTATAGCTTGTATCTGCTTGTAACAAGCAAAAATATTTTTAGCATGGGTTATACATTAAAAACCTTAAGTAGGTTGACTTTTAAGAAAAAACTCTAGACAAAACTGGGCTCCCAGTTGGTTAGTTTCATATGTAAAAAACAAAAATACGACAACAATTCCACTGTTTTCTGTAACAATTGAAAAACCTTGAATTAAAGGAAGAGAGTAAATGTCGTCTTCTGGTTCATCTTCCTCCTCCTCGGGATAATCTTTCCTCTCACCATCCTTCGTGAAGTACATCGGAAACTGGGACCTATTTAATATCTAACGATGCATGTATAACAGTACAGTGTACAATAAAGAGTTTTATATCTTAAATATTTTTGTAAAAACTGCTTAAAAGCTTAAAAAAATAAAGATATTTAGCCATGTCTGTGCATGTTATCTATTAACCAAACCAAATGTGATGTTTTGATTTACTAATTTTAAAAAAATCCAACAAAATGAAGTTTTAATATCAGAAATATAAGGATTCCCTGCAACTGAAAACTTCTTAGTACCTTTGCCTCATCAAGAAATAAGCAATAAAAAGAATACTTTTAAGGCTCAGACTAATATCTCGATGGCTCAGACCTTGGGATCGTCAAATTTAAAGAGTTTCAGGTCCTCTTTACTGTATTATTCTTTGTGGTAAACCCTGTAATATTAGATATAAACCTACTTGTCATATCCTTCGTTTATACTGGATCCATCAAACCAACGTTTCCCCTGGTTTATAAACTGAAGGTTTATACTGATCATATCTCCAGTAAACGCTCCTTGATCCGTCCAACTAGAATAGTTTAAGTTAAACAAAACTTACTATATATATATTACAATTACTGCTTTTGTAGTAAGCACTAAGCATACTTAATCAAACATTGTGTTTAAAGACAATATCTGAGTAGTCACTTGATTACTATGTTATCTATATATATATTATCTTTCTGTCTATTTGTATCCAATAAACGTCAAAAGGGCTGAACCGATCGGGCCGAGTGGGACTTCGTATGTTCTCAGGTTTATGAATGATCAAAACTTCAAAAATTAGCCTCCAAAAAAATTCGAGTTCCATTAAATCTTAAAAATTCACGTTTTTTGTTTTGTTTCACAATGTATACAAAGAGAAAATCTTCACAATTGAAATGTTAATTGACACCATGTAATGACCGCGGGAGACTTTTCTACATTATGGGTTAACAAAAACAACAACTGATTTATTAATGAAGGCGGTCTTTTGTTTAAATATATTGTTGTATGCTATCAGAGCACAGATATTTTTAGAATAATGTCAGCGTGTAAATAATACACTATTTAAAGTCATAACTTAAGTCTAAAATTCATTTTCCAATTCCAGAGTTCTCTGGTTCTCACTGCAGTATTTAAATTATGTATTATTAGAATAATACTGCAGTGTAAAAGTTTAAAAGTTTGTTTATGGAATGTATGTATACTAAACGTGTATCATACAACTGAATGCTCTAATTACATCCATAACAGATCTACAGAATCTCAAACGGAATTCATGGGTTTAATTCGTCCAATAAAAGTTTTATCGAGCGTGACAGGACTCGAACCTGCAATTTTCGGCTCCGGAAATCGGAAATCGGCCACACGCCCCTATTCATTTAAAGGAAATTTACTTTTTTAAGATAAGCATTATTGCGACCAACTTTGAAATAATCAAGGGTTATGACCTGCTAAAGCGTATAAAGACTCAAACTCGAAGCATGGTAAAATATTAGGCCGCGTTTCAACGATATAAAGTGATAACCAGAATATAATGCTCCATTGGAGGTCGTCCTTGTTCAATCTTTTAATCCATAACGTCGCTATGGATTTTGCAATTTTTAACTGATATGTGAACACCCTACTAACTGAAAAACCTATAAATGCGTTGATATTCGTAAATAAACGTATTTTTAGGTTTGGAATACGTAAAAATACGTATTTTCGTAACCATAACCTTGGTAAAAATACGACACGTATTTTATAACCGTAAAAATACGTATATGACAACGTTAGAGTGCGTGTTTAAAAACCTAAAAAATCCAATGAATCATGAATTTATAGGTTTTTTTCCCTGTAAGTAGATAGATTGGAAAAATCCTAACATTTCTTAAATTTTGGAATTTTCAATTTATAGATTTTACATATACTTAAAAATACGTATGTTTAAGGCATATTCAAGGTCTAAAACCAAAATGTTTAGAAGATGACTATGATTTCATATGCACATTGTTCCTTCATATCTATACAACTAATTCCACAAATTTCTTAAATCCATTCATAGATATCAATTATTTTCAAACCAATCCAATCCAATATAATTTTTCATACAGATTCACACCATCATCGTTCCTTTGCATCTATATTGGTTTAATGGTAAAACTATTTTCTTTCCAACAACATCAAATATTTACCAGATTATTTACACTTCGTCTTCATTTCTCACACTTTTATGGGTCCCACTCTATATCGTAGTTATATTAATTTTACCTGACTGCATTATATGTATGCTGGAATAAAGGATCCCTGCAAACATTCTCACAATCCTTCCTGAGTAGAGGTCGTCCTCCAACCTCTATCTGAGGGAGGTAAACTATAACACCTCGACTCAAAGCTTCCTAAACACGATATATACATAGACTCCAACTAGTAAATTAAAATATATTTTTGAATGTCGATTTAATTTCAAGAGAATCTCCGTTAAAAGATACAATACCCTTCAAACCTTCGTCTTAGGAAAAATCACAAAGATATTCTTGTTTTTCTAATTTATAGATAACTTTCACTTGTGATTTCTCTTATAGTGACTAACGGATTTATACATCAGGAATAAGGAATTGAATTAACAGATTTCAACGCTTTAAAAGATCTATGCGTATGTGAACGTGAATGTTTCGCTTTGATTTTAAATTATTATAATCTGTACAGTTGATTTTAACCCTATTCCTGCTGAATTTTTTTTTATATAACTCAAAAAGTATTGGTCTGAGGCTGTTGAAATTTTCTGACTTTTCCTACATACTCAAAGCCCTCCCTTTAGGCCTAAAACCGGGCTTTAATACTAACTCCCTGAGTCCTCAGGCACACTGCCTAAATGACTGCTTTTTCCTGTAACAAACTAAATCTTTGTTTTGACCCACTTCCACTTGTCAGATTTTGAAAAAAATTAGCTTTTTTGAAAGCCTTTGACATAAGGAAACGAATTTCACAAATTTTGCGAAAAATATTGCAAATTTTTTGCAAACATCCTGTTAAAGGAAATTTGCACATTTTTAGTTTTTCTTGATTAAAAATCAGGTTATTTAAAATTTAGCAAAATGTTTTGCATATTTGAAATGGCATGATCAAGGGCTTTCCAAAAATGTATAATTTTTCATTTTTTGAACAAATTTTTTTTGCAAATATTTTTACTTTATAACTGGATTTTGCGATAAAAAATTCTATTTTTGCAAATTTGCAAATTTTTTTGCAGATTCTAAAAGTAGAGCATAAGAGCTTTCCAATGATGTATCACTTGTCATATTTGGACATCAAACATGGGATTTAGAGGGGGGGGGGGTCAAATTGACCCTCCCCCAGCATATCTTGGTTTTCAAGTACCCCAGCAGAGATAGGGTTAAGGTCTTATTCTGAAAGAATAGGGCAGATAACTAATAACTAAATATAGTCTGTTGATTATTATAAATGTCCTTTAATTGTCTTGTTAAGCTATGTAAGAACTAATTTCTAACTTTTTAAAGGGATTGTCGTTGTAGTTTTATGTGACCCTCCATGTAAAGAGTGGATGTCCTATTCACAGCGGTACCCTTTAAACCTATATCATCAACCTGGTTAACAGTTGTATGCTATATGGGGAATCCTTTATCAGTCGAAATTTGAAAGGGCACTGATCGGCCATACCACTCAATATAAAGAGGGTCACATGTCTAGAGTCTAAAGCCTGATGATTTCTAAAAAAATCTTCAAATGATGTCTTACCTTCTTTAGCCTTTTGAAAATTATTCTAGAGTCCCATAAACTTCCCCTAGTTTAATACCTCATATAGTTCACAATAGTTCTTCCTTGCTTGAACTGGAGTTGGTAGTTTGTCTAATTCTATTAACTGCTGGAAGTCAGGATATCTGTTAGGACAGTGGGATAGGTAAGCAAACTAAAATATTAGAATATATATTCACTAAACATCGGACAGCATCTCTTCAATCTACTGTTTTCTTGCTTGCTGGGAAAAGGACCAAACTGTTAAAACAGCGTGAATTGTTTGAGTATGTAAAGTAATTACAAATGTTGGTATGTAAGTAGAGTATGTACTTGTAAAGTATATCATGTATGGTATGTAAGTAGAGTATGTACTTGTAAAGTATAGTATGTACCTGTTGGTATGTAAGTAGAGTTTGTACTTGTAAAGTATAGTATGTACCTGCTGGTATGAGTAGAGTATGTACTCCTGAGTAGGCGGATAATCTGTCTCATCTACAAAATCTCTGGCTAGATGATGATATCTAGAAAATATTTTTTAAAGATTTTCATCTTTTTTGTTTACTTATTTAATGAATACAATTATACTTGGCTTGCATGATGAATTAAATCATAATCTTAGTCTGTTAAGTCCCCTATATGGGCATTGGCCATTATAAAACTGTGTGCTCTACCCTGGTTTGACTCCAGGGCTAACTGGGGGATTCAAATCTTACGCTATGATTTAAGGGGGAACCAAAGCAAATTGTTTATACATGGTTTTCTACAGAGAATTCGACTAAAGATGTTTGTTGTTAAACCTGTATATATAATGCAAATAAAAAGTATATTTACCTAATAACTCTTCTGAGTTTAATATTTGCTGTGGTGGACAGGTTGTGTGAGTAGAAGAAATTAACCTCTATTTCCTGCTGGGGTATACTGGAGTAACACTGGTTCTGATCAGAATACTTCTCCAGGCATTCAGACATAGTACTCTTCCTCTCTCCTAATCTTCTCTTTTCATTCCTTCCATCCACATCATCCTCTCCCTCTTCATGTTTAGTAGGTTCTTCTTTCAACCCTGTCATCAGGTCAAACACTGTCATCTTTTTCACTATTTTGAAGCGTAGTGGAAAATACGTCACATTTGGTTTGTTTTTGGCGAGGTTTTGAGCTTTCTTTGCAAGCTTTACCAACTTAGCTCTATCTTCATTTCTTACACAGAAAAGTCCAATGACGTGGTAGTTCTTGGATTGTCGTTCCCTGCAGAAGGAAGCCTCAAGTTCTCCAAATAGAAATCCATCCTGGACCCAGTCCTTGTAGGTCTCAATAGAGCATGGAGAAACAAAACTGAGATTCTCTGGTGGATCAGTTACTGCTCCGACAGCATTGTAAAACTCATTTCTGATAATCACAGAGATTCTTTCAAATGTTTTCTGGGCTCTCAACCAAGGAGACATACATGTGTTGATGAGCATTTTGATTTTCTTGTTCTCATTTTGGTTCTCACTTTCACCACGTAGACCAAGTGTTTTCTTCACACAAGTGTATGCTTTACCATGTGAGCTGGGCTCCCACGTTGTTGAATTCATGATAACCTGGATACCCCGGTCCACCATGCTAGGCTTCTCAATTGAATGGCTGCATCTTTTGTAGAAGGAATCTATAAACTGAATTTGCTTATTGGGATCATCATTCAACTTCCAAGATTCACTGGCATTGTCCCAAACTCTGAAGTTGGCAGAAATACAGTTGATAAGTGTATCTGGACCATTTCTAATCAGAAACGTCATTGCCTTCTGGTTTTGCAGTAAAACCTGGTTTTCAGATTTGAGAATTTCCTTCCTGATCATTTTTCTTGTCCACTTGACACCCTGAACAGTCTTGACGAGGGGTACAGCAGGTACAATGGTAAAGGGATCCTCTGGTCTCTCCATGGAGACCCACATTGCGTACATGACAGCAGCAGAGAATGTACATTGTCTCAAGAGTAGTCCATATCCATTATCATGAAGTCCGATGACTCTATGAGAAAGCCAGACAGCAGCACTAGCAGCTCCAGGTTTAGAACCATCTATACCACACAGATTTATCTCTTCGTTATTCTTTGATCCATGGCTGACGTAAGCAGCATTCTGGGCCAGGAATTTCTTGATATTTCCGTTCCTGTAGAGGAGTCCACCTGCCGGGTATGGACAGAAACCAGTTTTATGTGGATCAAGGGTGATAGAGTTGGCATGTCTAATTGCTCTCAGCTGACTCTCAAAATGACGGCTGATTCTGCAGGCTGGAAATGTGGTTGTATCCATGTTTGATGCAGTTGGAGGTTCAAAATCTGGCTTCAGCTACAACAAAATAAAATAGAAAATGCTTAACATAAGGAAGCATGCAAAAATCAAGGGTGACAACAGATAATTATACTTTTGGTTCTAACATTCATGATTGTTTATTTTTTAAGAATCACCTCATTCTCTTGATCGCTTGTGTTCCACATAGTTGAAGCAAAGTATCCACCCCAAGCTCCATCAACATGAATATAGAAGGTTAATCCGTTCTCCATTCTCCCAAACTCATCTCGTATCTTTAATATCTCCACCAAATCATCCACAGCACCTTCTTGTGTAGTTCCAAACACAGCAGTAACCCCTATTACAGGGATTCTCCTCTCACGGCACTCCTAAACATCAGAATAGAATTTTTTACTGAGTAGTGAGTTCTTAATATAAAAATTCTGTAAAATTTTACAGATATCAAACAAAATAGAAATAGTTAAAAAATATCTGGTGATAATTAGATACGTTTTAGTTAATGTATTTGCATAATTGCTGGAGTTAAAATAGTATATTTCAAAGAACTTAAAGAGACCGTTGAAGATCCATTTAAACACTTTAGATCTCTATTTGAGTAACAATGATGAAGATATTGTCGTTAATATATTTTAAAACGTCTTTAAAGTGTTGCAATTTTCATCAGAAAAATTATCAATTTCAATGAATAGAATATCTCATTCAAGATTTCTCAGTGAAGGTTTAAAGTGTACCGTAGTGAATCTATAGATATTATAACAATATAATAAGATATAAATATAAAACAATAATCATCATCTATCTACGTTGCATCAAATTGTATTTCAAGGACTACTAAGCTTAAACATTTAATAAAACTATATCACCTGTAAATTCTCTCTGAGAGTGATTAGATCCATCCTGCAGTCTGCATCTACAATAACCTTAATAAGGTTCTGCCGACCCATTCCCAGGATATTGTTGCCCTAAACATCATTAATCACTTTTATTAAAAAGAAAACGCCACGTCCAGTAAACATATTTGAAAATCAGGACTCAGGAGATAAAACGTATTCGTTTATATAAGATCTACTTGAATATCTTGTGCAATGCAAGAATCCAGTAATGATAACTAAAATTGAGAAACCAAGCACTTGTCTCTCAGATTTAAGATTGTCAGTGGATATCGAGATCAAACTTTAAAACAGCGTACGTTATATCACTTTCAAAGTTTCGACCACAGCATAAAGTTAGAATGTAATTTTACAAACATCAAAAACTTTTGGATACAAATTTTTGCATTTTTTAGCATCTATAAACCTTCCCTGGGATTATATGATGTCCCACACAAAATTTGGGCCCGATTGGTTTAGTCGTTTTACCAAGTGAAAGATCGAATCCACAAATAACTTTGCAATCCATAGAAAATTCCACTTAAAAAAACGGGTTTATATTTCAAAAGTATTTATAAATGTTTTAAAGTACACCACAAAACCCTCCCTCTCACCCTCACTCCTTTATCACATCGACACGAAAAACTAGTAAGCTATTTTACCAAACATTTAACTACATCAAATATTGTTATTCATGTTTAATATATCTGTAATTTATTACAGGTTTGAAATACATCTACTAAATGGTCATTGGAGACTACTGTGTCCGAGTTAGGGAGCTTAATCAACATATCATCAAGTCTGCCAATCAATTAATCAATGGGCAAATTAATCAACCAATCTATTAGTCTATTAAACACCGACTCCTGACTGTTGTTTTACAATAATATATTCTTTACCTTGTCCCACCTATAGTGCCTTGAACCAGGAACATTATATAATATATTCTTTACCTTGTCCCAACTATAGTGCCGTGAACCAGGAACAAACCATCGTCCCATCCTTGGGTTTGGATATTCTTCTCTTATATTTTCAAAGAACTCTAGAACACCCTGGACATGGAGAAATTAACTTTATTTTTTACTAGTTTCAATATTCAACATCAGTTTGTAAATGTTAATTCATTATTATCCCACATTCACTCCCAGCTAGTAGTCTAATAACAGCTAAACGGTTAACATGTCTACGTCTAATCTATACTCTATGTTTTCAATTATTATTTGGCAATCTTCGCCGTTTTTGTTTTTGGCTATGGCTTTCTTTTATCAGATTCTGAATCAGGGGAATTCAGACGACCAGGTTTCTAGTCAGTCAGCCTCCACTGTTTACCAAATTTCTTCTGTACAATTACAAATTAATTTTTCAGTATTTCTTTTGTTGTCAGATTTTTTGTTTCATATTTTGGGTTTTATTTAAGAGTAAAGATCTATTCTAATTTGTCCAATTAAGTTTATTTCTTTACAATCCAGATATGCTTACTGCTTAGCCATTGTAAGTTTTACTTGAAAAGTGTGTATCTGAAGATAACTAAATCTGCAACTATGAAAATGTAATGTAGAGACTTCCAGCTAGATTTATGTTACAGTTAATACATGCCTGTTCCTCCATTGTGCATTCTAGAACCAGAGAAAATAGCTCATCATATTCCATTATCGGTTCTAGAAAACAAGAAATATGATTCAAATATTAAATATAATTGAGCTGAAAACTTTACCATTGTGGATATCGAGATTAATGTTTGATCTTCTCTTTTTATTAATCTTAAAGAACCAGAACTGCAGCCAATTTAATCAGAAGCCCAGAAATTTTAAAAAAACTTTGTGCGCACTCAATGAGAGAACTTTCATAGGTTGGTCGGAATCCAGCAGGGATATCCAAAAGATAATATAAAAAAGAAAATCAAAAGTGTCCACAGCGAATAAAGAAATTTAGCAATCGGGATGAATACAGAAAAAACTTTTGTGTCGAGGATTTGGGGATCAAGCATTGATCTTCATCTCAGATGTGAACCCTAGAATTAATAAATAATTCCTTGTCGATATCAAGCGTTCCAGATTAAAGATATGATGAACAAAAGGCAAATATGTTAGAAAACGTTCTTTTATCTTTTGTCTGTACAATACACATATGTAGATAGTGATACCAAACTTAAAAATTATTTTTATGAAATACCTTTGGTTTTGATAAGAATATGAGATTTGAAAATGAAACATCCACTATTGTATTGATAGATATTGTTTACCTGGAATATTTATTGTTTGAAGGAGGTTATCAAACAAATCAATAGCTTCATCAATAGGTATATTTAGTAGCTCCCAGGGGGTACCGTCCTGTATATTGTTAGAAAGTATAATTTATTATTATAGAAAATGAAGAAAAATCTCATTATTCAAATAACATGCTTGTTGTCAAAAAAATTAAGTTGTCTATTTCAGCAAACTTTTACCTTTAGGAGCTTCTTCTTCCCATCAAGTTTTCTAAAAATTGAAAATAGATAAATAAGTCTTAAAGTACTGTAGACGCAATTTTTAATTGACTCGTAAATAATTGAGTGGCATGTCTGATTTACAACAGTAATCTTTAAAATTCTTTGTCAGATCAAGAATAAATGGCCGGAATATCCAGGATTTTTCCTTTAACAAATTGATTAATTTCTATTGTGGGTCCTCAATATCACTTATGGATTTCTTGCTACGGATATAATGGAGTAAAGTTGTGAGAATTGATATTTTGTATATTGAGACCTGAACGTAAAAGAATCCCTGACTGCGCTGAGATGTGTTGTGTTGAAATTAATCTTCATCATTTTCTGGATTGCTAAACCATTATACTTCAAACATCTAGATATCAGTGATAGTAATAATTTAGCTATTTATAACACTGTTTTTTTGGTTCGCAGTGTTATAAAGTTTTTGGACAAAAATTTTCTCTTTATCGAGATGGTTCGAGCCTTTTTAGATTTAATTTTGTCCCGAGCTTAAGCCAGAGACAAAATATAATCTAAAAATGCGAGAAACTTCGAGATAAAGAGAAATTTTAAGTCCAAAAACTATATAGCACGTCGTGCCAAAATAATAGTGTTATAGGTAATTTAATGAAACGTGTACTTGTCTTATTTCAAGGGCTTTTTCTAGATCAAATAAGCTTTGAAACAAAGCAGAAGTCGTAATATAAAATTTGATTTCAATTTTATTTTCATTTCAATTAAAAACAAATATTTTGGAAATATTCTAAATTTTTGGGAGAAAATCCGGAACCAATCAAAACTTTATAGCACACGTGCATTATGTCACTACATTACAGCTAATTTATAGCACGATAATTACTTTATAGCACATTCATTATGAAATTCACGATGAAGTAAGTAATAATGATAAAGTACACAATAGTTTCATAAAAATAATTATAATTATAATAATAATGATAATAATATTTAATCTGTAAATATTGTGATAGAATTTAAATTAATTTCGTCTTTAATGTATACATAGTATTTCAGACTGAAACATACGGTTTTGACTGTTTTGTTTATTTTTAGTTTAAAATAGCAAAATATACGAGATAAAATCTAAATCTCGTCCCAGTTTATTTAAGATATTGATATATTTTTATGAAACAACTACCTGGCTGCCCACATTGCCTCTATATTAGCAACAGTTCCACCATTGGGTAGATGACCCCAAGACTTGGGACTAAACAATTAACATATTATAGAAATTAATAAAACATATAATATTTTCTATAGTCTATGGAATAGGGTTTGTGTACATTTTACTGTGACGTCCTGGAAACTGGTTATATATAGAAACATATAGAAACAATACATAGTAAATAACTTCATGCTCAGGAAAGGTCGGACTTTTTGTTTGATTAAACCCTTGCCTAATGCAGTTATTATGTATATATTATAGAACTATGTCTCCTCTGTCATATCTTTGAGTTTATTTTGATATTTACTTTTTAATTGAATGTTCTCCTAGATTGTATCCAACCATCCTACATAGTTCACTGACAACCTCCCTCTCCAGCTGTAGGGTTACACCACTAGCCATACTAGCTACATTATTCTACAATATAAATACAGATATCATGTAAAAACTGCAAAGAAAGGTGAGTGGGGACCAAGTTTAAATGGTTCATGGATCTGTTCTACATAATATTAATTCTCAGAATTAATATCATTTAAACTAAAAAGAACGGTAAATAATTGCGTATAAAGCAGTTAAAAGTCAAGATGAGATCAAAATGGATAATGTCGACTCAACTTTATTTAAGATATTTAGAATTTATATGTTTTTTAACTGAAAAGAATGCTTGATATTAAAAAAGCTTAAACACTTTAAATAACAAAAAAAAATATGGTTAGCTTTTAGTTAATTGAAATAATTACTAATTTCAAACTCAAATTTTCCAATTTTAATACCTTCGCAAACGATAGGCGACGACCTTAGATATTTCAAACTACAAATTCTACTAAATAAAATTTTTAAAGTTTGAAATATCAAAGATAAAAAAAAATAGAGTTTGAGGTAAGCAATCATACCTGATTATATAGGATAGCCGCAATGTATCCAACATTAGATGCTATTGTTGTATCCCACAACATATGGCCCTAAATAGATTATGAAATTGAATCTGTTATATAATGTGTCAAAAATTTACCTTTTTTTACAAAATCTTTGAAATGTTCATGCAAAGCTAAGCCCAAGAAGAAAACGTTAATAATATGCCAAAACTCGGCACCCCTATTTATTGGTTTTGTAATATATAGATCACAGCTTAAGACGAAAGTTTAAAGAGTTTTCACTTCTTAATTTGAAAAAATATTTTACTATGTATTTATGTATTGTCGAAACATTACCGTGTACAAACCGGCCCTGCTCCTAAGTCAGGTTCCAAACAAAAAGTCAAAAAAAACCATTTTGGCGTGTTTAATACTCAATTTTTAAAGAAAAACACAGGTATGATGAAAACAAAGATTAAAATACCTGACTTCTGAAGTTAAAGAATGGAATAGAATTCTTTAATCGTTCTGAGAGTATATCCAGCTCTGCTTTTATTTTTCTCTCAGCTTTTCTAAACATATTCAAACATTGTTTACTTTACAACATGTAAATAATCACTTTGTAATAAATTCTTTAATCTGTTTTAAAACCCTCATTAAACACGTTATCATATTTTGAAACGCTTCCATAATAAATTATTAAACAAAACTATATAACTGTGTAACTAAGACTTTCCATCAAACTCTGATTTTCTAATCCCACGTACATCCTTTTAACCCCATGTCGGTCGTAGAACTTAGATATTTAAAGCTATGAATTCTAATAGATTAAACAATCTAAGTTTAAAATATCAGATTGCAAAGATATTACGATTAGAAAATATAAGCTGTGGCAAAAACTGAATTCCAAGAAGATTTATCTCTGAAAAGATGTTTAACAACAAAATACCCCCTTCCTACTTCTCCATTCTTTATTAAATAGACAGTTCATTTAAATTTGAATTGTGCGATAAAGATTCACAATTCCAACCCTTTTATAAATCCTGAGCTAAAAACTTTAGAATGGTGGATATCATGATTAATGCTTGATCCTCTCTTTTTCTTAATCTCGAGAATAACTTAATCTTGTACTTGTATCCTGAAAAGTGTATAAAATTCAACCAATCAGAGTCGCGTATCAGAATGCAAGAAATTTAAATTTTTTAGCGCCATTTAAGATTTAAGGACAGTTGTGTTTGGTTTCTTCTATTTGAAATCAATCGCATTTTGGTCTTTATCTTAATAATATTTAAACTCACGGAGTTGTCTTTTAATTAAACGCAAATGCCGGCTAAAGCATTTAAAAGAAAAACGTATGCTTATTATGTCAAATTGGGATTAAAAGTCATAGCTTGGTGGAATAAGGACCGTACCGCGTGACCCCTATACCAAATCATTAGTGGGGATTTTTTCTATGTGAAAAATTACTTCTTCAGTTCTACCCTTCGATAGTTCATGATTGATTAATATGAATTAAATATAGATTATTGACCTGAATGCAGGTTTCCTCATGATATCCTTATCTATATATTCTGGATCTAGAGGAAAGTATTTATATCTCCTAAACTCGGAGTGCTCGTCAAGAGCGTGGTTTACGAGGTTCTTCAGCATATCCAGGTTCTCAGCCTGATATATAAATTAGAAACATATACTGAAACCCATGAGATCAAAACTTTTGTTGTGTAATATATCGCTAAACTACATATCCACGATTATTGAATTAACATAATCCACAGTCAGGACCAACCAACTATATTTTAGCTGGCAACAATCATCAACATTCCCTTTGCAAAAAGGATGCATTTATAATAAAAAGCAAACTATTGATGAAGCACTTTTTATAAGACAATCTAGGTACTATCGAGGATGTACAATGTACATTCAATTGAGGATGTAAATTCAACCTAAAGTCTGACCGCGTAAACCTTCTTGCACCGGCTAGTCCTATTGAGTGTCTGCTTTAATTACTCAATGTCCTGGCGATACAGTACAAACTGGGACCGGAATGGTTGACCCGGCTCGGAAATGTACTACGGCTGCCCGTGTAGCTATATATGATAAGATTTTTTTGTATTTTAGTTTTAATAAAATCTTAATCTTACCTTTGGTCCTAGGAACCAGGCAGCTATTTGAGGAGACAATTCTTTAGGTTCATCCTGCATTATCCTAAATTAAATATTAAATCAATATTGAAATAATTAATATCGCTACAAAATAACAATCATTTTTACATATTTAGACAATACGAATCATTATTATCATTCTCTTTATCAAGATCTGCTTCCATCAGTATCAGAAGGACAGAAGCAGTCTTTAGTTATTTAATTCATTCTTCACTGCTTTATACAAATATCATTTTTTATTTGTAAACGAGTTTTCAAAATTAATAAAGGAACTGTAATTTTCTTAAATCCAAATCTTTGAATCCTTGTAATAGTGTAACTAATTGATATTTTCAACTTTGATCATGCAGATTTCATTGTAGTATAGATATATCAAAGGTATACAACACTGGGCTGCAAAGATATAGTGATAAGAAAATTAGAGTATGATATGAGAAATCATTTTTACTTATTAGCTTTAAGCCAGTGCCAAGGAATGTATACCATATCAAAATTAATATTTATTTAGTTTCAATTCAGAATATCAAATAAGCAACATTTTCTACAAATATATCATTATTATTACTAGTTGAAGGGCCCGGCGTTGCCCGTGAAAAGAAAATGTAAAAAAAAATTGAAAAAAATTTAGATTTTTTAGCCGTTGATTTCTTTATTTACTAGCTTTAGTATTTTTGGGTGGCGTAATAGTAGTACTTTTTANCAAAATTTTTTAGCCCAATCAGTCTAGCCGTTAGGCCGGCTGTAGGCATCATATATATATTTATGTATACGAATGTCTTGTTTTATTTTAAAGATTATTATTATTATTATTTGTTTATACCATATGATGTATGTTCATGAGAAGAAGAATGTTTACTAGAGGATCTGTATAAACTCTTATCTCATTAAACAAAGCTAAAACCAGGATGGAGGCAAGGTTATAATGCAAGGAAAGTTAATTGCAGTAGCGTATACTCTACGAACATATTGAAACCAGTTCTCTCTGGGCGTAAAATTAGTTAACAAGAATACATCCATCAGTGTTATTTAGTATCCTAGGAGGTTAAAAGCATTTATTTTTGATAATTTGGATAATTCACATAATAGTTTCCCATGACCAGAATATTTCATTGATTTTTTATGTGAAAGATGAATCTCATGTCAGCTTTGACATCCGTCTTGTGTTTACATTACCGCCCAGAGACAGTACACTGCAGTAAAAAAGACGCGTACACATCTGAAATAACTTTCTTTGCATTATAACCTTGAATGGAGGCAAATATAGGATTTAGAGAGAGATAAATGATAAGAATCTATTAAACACATGGATACAGAATCAAGCACAAAGAACAACACTTCATAGACGACTGTGCTTCTTTTTAAGCCACCATTGCTTAGCATCAAAATAATTATATTTCATGCACAAGACTGAATTTAAACTTCATGATAATGAACTTTTACGAAAATTCCAGGTCTTCATTGAAGTATTATTAGTTTTATGTACTAAATTGTAACTACCTGACAACACGTTGTTTCGCAATCAGCTGATCAGAATGTTTTCTCAATTTGCCCCAGTTTTCGCGGGCTTTCTGTTCCATTTCAAGTTGTGAAGCTACGTCTGAATCTGATGAGCTAGGTATAGTTTGATGCTGAAGGTAGTTTTCAAGAGCTCCGTCCTGTGTAGAGGTAGACGAATATCTACCCAGGGTGGACAAGCTGGAGTTCTTAACAAACAACATAATACATTTTATTAATATTTTAAGCAAAGGAAAATTGAATTTTTGCCAAATACTTCTGATTTTCTAATCCCTATATCTTTGCAACCCAATGTTGACGAACTTAGATATTTCAAATTATGACTTATGTTATTCAATAGTGTAGGTTTGAAATATCAAATTTTTACACCATCAGGTTGAAAAGATAGAAGAATAAGACAATTTGGGTTTGTGGCAAAAACTTATAAAATCCTTTCATCATCAACAATTGATTTGGACATTATAGGGTCAGATAATATTCTAACAATTATTTTGGTTTAGTTCGCAAACTGAATAGACTAGAGACACAAACTAGACACACAACGACTTCCGACTTGCGGAGAAGCGTACTAGGATAGAGAATAGAAACTAGAAAATACCTGAAAATCAACTAAAATAGAAAATAAATATGATTTTACCGAAACCGTGTCTATATCTGGAGATGAGGTATCCTCAGTACTAGATCCTGATTCACCATCAGAATCATCGCTGATATCTTCACCCTTAAGTACACAATTCATTTATATTTTGGTTTGAACGTTTTAGAGTTAAAAATTGCGATACATGATATATAGATAACCTTTCTCTTCTGTCAGCTCTGGAAAAAGGAGTAAAATTAATTCTTATACTAATACATTACATAGTGTGCCTTATAAAAGAAGATGACGTAACCATATCTGTATTTGGAAAGACCACCCTCGAATTCGAAAATTAGTCATATGAAATTTAGGTTAATTGGAGCATTTTGATATTTCCGGCGTTTTTGCTTCTACACTAATCATGTTATTTTAAAAATAGAATTCTTATTTCCATGTTTTAACCCCTAGTTTTTTAAATTAATCAAAAATCATACCAGTTTTACAAGTTTGTTCATGAAACGGAGAAACTTTTTCCGTTTGTTTCCTGGAGGCATCTTTAATCAAGAAATCTGGAAACATAAAAGTGATCGAGTTAATAAAAATTGTGAAAAATGATAAATATCAGTACATATATAAAATTATCCTGAAAACATTACCTGCTCTGCTTTAAACAAACTGAGTGAAAATTTGCGAATTTTCAGCATTTAATTCCCGCATTTTATCGTTTTGATTTTTTACAAAACGTTGTTATTTAGTTAAGTTACTATCAAAGACAACGTTCATTCCCATTCGCTACTGATATTCTGTCAAGACTTTATATTTTTAAATATTTTTTTTAAAGTTTAAAAATAATGGGTTTAATTTGGCACAGAACAGTTGATGCTTGTCTCATGAATATGAAGGGACCCCATAACTTTGGCTTCACTGCATGAATACGTTTATTTACCGTGAACCCCCGGTTCTCTAAAACCAATCTATGGAATGATCCGTGCAAATTTAATTTGTTAAAATTTCATCGGTTTATGCAAAGTCATGGAAGTAACCAAGAATTTAAGAATGTTTTAACAATTTTTTTTTAAGATTTATGATTCAATCATCACTAAATTATTGTTATCGAAAATTTGTTCTTTCCTCTTTCTCAACTTCATAAAAACTTTTATTTTCTTTCCTATGTATTTCATTTCCCCCTCTACTTTACTTATTTTTCCTTTCTACTCCCTTCCTTTACCCGCCCCCCCCCCTCCATGCTCTTATTCTTTTTAACTACCTCCTCGCTTAAATTATTAATTAATTCATGTTAAATTATTTTTTTTAAATACAGAGAAGTAAACAATAGTTTTAGAAATATTTAGTTTAAGAAAAAAGGAATGTTTTATGAAAAATAGTAACTTGGTTTCAAGTTTATACAACTAGAAGTCTGAGTCATAAAATCATGGGAAAAATGTAAAATGGACGCATTAAGCCTAAGGGACAGCTAATAGTTAAAAACAAGGCAAAAATGAACATATCCAAGGAAGAAACCCCGATTATAGGAAACCGCCCCGTACTTAAATATATCATTATTAGACGTAACCTAGGCAACACTGGGTTCCATAGTAACAGTTTCAAAGTTATGCTTTAAATCAAAACTAGAGGAGGCATGAGGTCACAAAGTCCTACCAGTGATGTCATGTAAATTTTACCTTCACCTTCTGTCTAGTATGCAGTAGAAAGAAACAATAATTATCTTGTTTTTCAGCTTTAATAAAGAGTGGAAAGAAGGTTTTTTCTGGGTGGAAATAAGAGTTCTTAAAAAAATATAGAAAAGTCAAGATCAGAGACAAAAACTAGAATTGAACAAGGAAAACAAAGAATTGAAAACAAGTCCGTTCTGCATTTACAAAAACTTGACTGACGAAATAAAAAAACATCTGAAAGGTCACTTTTTGTAAAAAATGTCTGCCTATGTGAAACAGTAGATCTATCTACTCTCTTCTTACAAAATTTCATATAAGTATCTTTGCTTTTAATAGGATAATTTATCTTTTATATACTATACTTATCTATAGCTATAATATAATTTATATAATACTTGAATGCTTTAATAGAAAATATCTGCTATCAATCTATGCTTACATATATATATAATAAAACCATTCCCGTCTCTAAACATGTATTAATGAATGTAAGTATGAAGCCTGAAAGTTAGCATGCAGATAATTTCATGCATATTGCATTAATTTCAAGTTCAAGTCAGAAAGATGGCGAAGCTTCAGAGAGTTTAATAGATCAAATAAATCATTTTGAAAATTAAGATTATAAGATATTGATAATTAAGTTTTCACATAATCACTGAACTATAAAGATACTTCTTAATAAAAAAGTGTTGAGGTCGGTGTGTGTGTTTTGGTATTTTGATTTAAGGGTGTATGCGTGCCTAAGGTTTGAATAATACTAGAGCTGTATAGTGTATAGGTTCAGAACAGATCTACTCTATACTGGAGAAAAAGGTCCAACTGAGAAATCAACTCTAACTATGCAGGATTACACACTACATACTCACTCTATGCTAGATCAGAAAGTCCTGGTTTAATTGTCAGAGGGCCTTCACTATCATACATGCATTGAACTATTATATGGTACAGAAATTACTAATTAACGACCCTTTTTTGAATTTCTGGTAACCACGTTTCTAGCAATCATATTTCGAGCAATTATGTCTACAGAGTTGCAACGGCAGTCAGAACTATTTGTTGATTGTGCAACAACACTCAACAAATTGCAGGTTAACACAATTTATGTAAATTATATTTCTGATTTTCTGATAGAGAGATGTTTTCTTATCGTATCGTTACAATTTTGAAGCCACGAAAATATGATAATTATTAAATGTCAAAAATCATTCTCATTTAATATAACAATTATGTAATCAAAACATTAGCATAAATATTGTATTAATATCTATAAACAACCAAATTATTATTCACACTATAGTGATGGGCGAGCAATAACTTAGTAACCAAAAAATGATCATTTTTAATTTGTTTTTGGTTTTATATTTCAGCATGCCATCTTTTCTCCGAATCACCAGTTTGGAAAATGTAAATAACTAGAAGGCGTAGAATAAAATGTTTGAAAGGAACTGAGTTTTCTAATTCCTATGTCGTTGCAACATAATGTCGTAGACTTTTCATATTTTAAAGTATGAGTTCCGTTTGATCAACTAGTTTCAAATATCAAAGGTTTACACAATCTAGATGCAAAGATATATGGATTAGAATATTTGATATTGTGGCAGAAGCTCAATTCCTTTCTAAAACCTGTCTCATATTGGAAACTTTTAAAATTCCTTTAAGCTGTGGCAATAAAACAATGTTTGTTTACATAGTTTAAGTTAAGCCTTAAATTTGTCAATTTTGTTTAAAGATCTTTGCACTTCTCATGCCTGCACTTGCATTAAAAAAGTTAAAGTTTCAAGAGCTATCATTTAAACTTTTTCAAATTTTAAAGGTTTTTTAAACTCCATAACATTAATTATTAAACTAGACGGAGGGGCGGGGGCCTCTCTTCGCGCCTATCTTCTATTAAACAATTGTTAACATTTTCTCTTTGTATGCATTGTAAAACAATAAAAAAATTTACTTTTATTTTATTAAATAATTTCGTAGATGTTCAAAATTTATTGAGAATCAAATTTTGTTGGAGGCTAATTTTTAAAATTTTATCATTCATAAACCTTCCTCGGGGTCACGTGAGGTCCTACATAAAATCGGTTCAGCCGTTTTGACGTTTATTGGTTACAAGCAAACAAACAGACAGACAAGCAAAGTATATATATTGAAAATTAGATGAAGGGACAGGCGTTGCCCGGCCGTGGAAAAAAATTGAAAAACAAATTTTGAAAAAAAATTTTTGAAAAAAATCGAATTTTCATTAGCCGGTCGGCCACCCGCGAAGGTTCACAAAACAATTTCAGGCCAATCGGTCCAGCCGTTTGGTCGGGTATACGCAACATATATATATATATATATACATCCTTAACGAATGTCTTGTTTTATTATGTAGATTGTATATATTCTAGGCTTTTAGGGCGTTTCGCGCCCATCTTATTTTTCAAAACTTTTAATTGTGGCTCCATCTGTGAGCATCTCTTAGTACAGCATAATTTTTTTTAATTTACGGATTTCAAAATATTTTTTCGCGCATTTACAATTATTTTTTAGCATAATTTTTATTTCTGTAAGTCCCTGCATCTATATGTGTGTGTGTGTGTGAATGATAAAACAACCGGTTCTGATTTTACAGTTCAAAAAGTCTCTGTTCAGAGTTATATATTTTACCCTATTCAAACATATTATTTGGCGTTTTATTATTCTACTATTTTATAATTTTACATTCTTTATAAATTTATTTATTTTAAAAGATTGTTCATCCCTGTTTTGTAAATGAAAAATAGCATTGTTGGGAAGCAAGCGCCTCACATAGTAATCTTCTTTACTGGTGAAACTATAGAAAGTAAAGATGAGTTTGAGCACAGAGAAACCAAGTATAAGCTTGCACCCGGAGAAACCTGTTCTTTATTCGTTCTTCCGCTCGTCCTGTGCCTGGCGTGTAAGGATAGCACTTCAGGTTGGTTCAGGGAAATTACAGTATTTACGGGACTTAATAAACGTAGAACCTTTGATAACATACGGGAATATATCCAAGCTTAATGCAAAAATACGCATGTCATTTTTTACAGCCTTGTACAAGTTTTTTTAAATGATTCAATCAGGGGGCGGAAACGTCATGTATGTGTGTCTGTACCAAAAGAGTGTGATAATGTAGGTATATACAACAGTACATACTAATCTGGTATTTGCATTTGTTTATTGTTAATTGTTAATTGTTTACTTAAAAATAAGTTTAATATACATGTAGTATATTAATTATATTTTTAAGTCAACACTATAAGCCAAATTTTCATGCAAAGAATATAATTTGATTAAAGTTTACAATAAACTGTAGTCGTTATTCAAGCTTAATTATAATTGACAACATTTTTCTGCAATTTCCTTGACTTTAGTCATGTTGTGTGTCCGTACCAAAAGAGTGTGTGTAAAGTTTACCGAACTTGTCTGCAAAGCAGTGCGACTGGCTTTCACATTCCAGACCAGCACCATTTTCTTTCCCTTTATTCCTATTCCCTGGATTCAATCCAAAAAGTTGAAATCCCTTCAATTTAGAGGTTTGTTGATGTGGCATATCCGGTAGTAAAGAATCAAGTTTCCTTCTTTAATTAAAAACTTTTTTTAAACCTGTAAAAATACAAAAAATGGAAATATGGGTGGCTTGAATCAAAACAAAAGCTGGCCATTAAACCTGCACAATGACATTTACATTCAATAGGAGAGGAAACCAACCGGAGACCGAATCTAAAGAATTTGAGCCAGGTCTAGATCTGGCTCAATTGCCTACTGCCGGTTCACATTTGAACCACCGACTCAACTCCTTTCGTAATCTTAAACTTTGCATCAGCGCGGTGGTTCAAATTTGAACCGGCGGGAGGTGGTTCAGCGACTCGGTCTCGGGATGAGAATTGATTTAGATTGCTGGAATAGAAGTTGAACAGATAGCTGTAAATCTAGCTGAGAATGGTCAAAACTCTACGGAATTCGGGTAAACACATATTTGATGCCATGTTTCTATATCTACATATAGTTTCATATAAAGAACAAAATACACATTGAAAAGGGGTTGTAAGCGTAATTTTAACCGAACCTTTATTCAAAGATGAGAATGCCCGAATCCTATTCACAACGGCACCCTTGAAATCTTTATTGGATTAATAATGAGATATTGTCATTATTCGATGTTTTAGAATCTTTAACTTTGATAATTTATATCTTTTCCTAAAGTGGAAATGCGCGAGTCACTTTCGTAGTGAACTCATAATTGAAAATATTCAGTTTTAAAATTATAAACATGAATTTCTATTTCTACTTGATCAGACAAAGTTTTTAAGGGTATCGTTGTGAATATGGCATTGACATCTTTAAATGGAGGGTCACTTGAAATTACGCTTGTAGTCCTTTAGTCCTATACTCCTTTTGTTCTATAGTCCTATGAAGTACCCATTTTGTTCATAAATATATATAACTATTCAAAAGACGTTCATTGTTTTCGAAATTACGAAGAGAATCTTAAGAATGGAAAATGAGCAAGATATGCTAATATTTTCTTCATAATCACGATTTTTTTATTAGTACTTACGAAAAATATTTTGTTATTGATTTTAACAGTGTATTGCAATAAGATGAAAAAACAAAACGATTGAATTTAGGGGCAAAACTTGTATAATACACTGAAACCCATAATAACGAATACATCGAAAGAATTGATCAAATGTCGTATTCTTCACTTTCTGATAATGGAATGTTGCAGATATTTAGTTTTTTAATTAAATGATTATATGGAACTCTTTAAAACTGTTCCCGCATATTCATGGCTATTTATTTATTTTCGCAAATACTGAAATTTACGAAATATAGTATAAAACTCATTGAAAAATTGTCAAGACGACATTTGATAAATTCTTCCGATGTATTCGTTATTAAGGGTTTCACTGTATAACGCGGCAATGTTTTAGGAAGGAATGGCAAACAATACAGTGGGACCCCTTAATATGTGGAATAGGAAAATACTGTTCATTTCATGTCATCATTTTATTTACAAAGCAATTGTGCAGTGTAACTAGATCCGTTTTAGTTTTGAGCTATAACTATTAAATTATTTTCTTTTACGATATCAAATACACATAAGATTTGCTTAAATTTCGTTTTCCTAGTCCACAGTACGCAACAATATGCTAAGTTTTTGGGTTTATTATTGAATCCCGAGTTTCTATTGATTCTATTTTTAATGAGAGTAAGCAATACATTGTATAAATAATGAAGTAAAATGTGTTTATCAAATATTTTCCTGATTTAGGAATACAAATCCTTTGCGTCAAGTTCCCGCTTTGGTTATTCATGGAGTCAGGTAAATATTTGTAAATTAAGGGAGTGCTTCAGAAAATTAACTGAATGGAGGACCCGTACTAGATTACAAATCGATGTCTGCTACTTTTACTGTTTACATCTTATGATTTATAAATATGTCATGTACATATAGTAAATCATGTCTATCCACATTTATGGAATATTTATCTAAATTATCTCAGTCTATGTATACTAAACTATCTCAGTCTATGTATTTATGGAATATTTATCTAAATTATCTCAGTCTATGTATTTAAGGAATATTTATCTAAATTAGCTTAGTCTATGTATTTATGGAATATTTATCTAGACTATCTCAGTCTATGGATATTATGGAATATTCATCTAGATTATCTCATTCTATGGCTTTAATGGAATATTTATCTAGACTATCTCAGTCTATGACTATTATGGAATATTTATCTAGATTATCTTAGTTTATGGATTTATGGAATATTCATCTAGATTATCTTAATCTATGGATTTAGGGAATATTTATCTAGAATATGTCAGTCTATGCCCTATGCAAAGGCTGTTATGGACTATGTAACCAGAAAATCTTAGTCCATGGATTTCTGGAATATTTATTTGGATTATCTCAGTCTATGGCTATTTTGGAATATTTATCTAGAATATCTCAATCTATGGATTTATGGAATATTTATTAAGATTATGTCAGTCTATGCCCCATGGCCATTATGGAATATTTAGAATATCTCAGTCTATGGCTATTATGGAATATTTATCTGGAATATATCAGTTAATGGATTTATGGAATATTTATCTAGAATATCTCAGTCTATGGATTTATGGAATATTCATCTAGATTATCTCAATCTATCGATTTATGGAATATTTATTTAGATTATGTCAGTCTATTCTCTATGGCTATTATGGAATATTTATTAAGATTATGTCAGTCTATGGCCATTATGGAATAAATATCTAGAATATATCAGTTTATGCATTTATGGAATATTTATCTAGAATATCTCAGTCTATGGCTATTATGGAATATCTAAATGATATCTCTGGTGGAAAACTTATGCCCGTGGATCCTAAGCTCAAAGCACAGGTTTATTACGATTTGAAAATAACACAATGACAAAATATGGAATATAAATTCTCCTTTTTTTGTTTTTACTGTTGAAAATGCAAAGTATGGTAGTTGAACTGAGAATGTAATCATAAGATTTATTTGAGAAATATAAAACGTTTTAATATGTTTAATTACTTAGTTTGAGCGCAAAGTCGACGTTTAAAATCATCCATTTGGATCGCTACTTTTTGAGAACCGATTTAAAAAAAATTATGAAATATCGACGACAAAAACTGTAACAAAAATTCTAAAGTAAACTAATTAGATGTTTATGAACATATTTCTCACTAGAAATTTGTTAAGAAATCAATGTTAGAATCAATTATTTCTTTTTCATCAGTCATTGTATTGAATTTCTTTTTCTTTACCAATTTGTTCGCAGAATTTTTGAAATTCTTCAGATGTCGTCTTTTCATTGAAAAATTCCAGAAACTTTACAGAAAATGTTTTTGAACATTGAGACATCACAGAAACCAATAACTAAATAAGATTACTTGATTTCAATGATAATAGTTAAATTTTGTTTTCCCAACCTGTTCCTAAACAACAAATTAGTTTACTGTTAATGTTTTGTTACATTTCACGTCGTCGTCATTAAAAAATTATTAAAAAACTTATTCTCAAAATCATCCCTCTAAAATGGACAATCTATGAGGATTTTAAATATTGAATTTGCGCTCTTGCTGAACAAATGAACGTACGATAAGTCTCAAATGAATCCTAAAAAATTTCTCCATTATACTACATTCTCAGTTCAATTACCATACATTGCCGGTCACTCCCTTTAAGAATTAAATTAGTGAGACAATTTTGACAACATTTTATACATTAAAATCAGTTTTAAGTGTATCTAACACATATAGATACGGAAAGATTAAAATGTGGAAATTCCTGAATTTGTTAAAAATAATGCCTAATCTAATATCTATTGTTTTGATATAGATTTAATCCCAAGTTCGAGATTCATGTCAATCAAATATAAAAAATGTGTACCATCGAAAACGTTAAGATTGGTGCAAGATGGATTTGAGCAATTTTATCAAAAAGTGACACATGTTTTCACATTTTTGATATATAGATTAACCGGCCACACTTTTTATACTTTTTGCATTTCCAAAAATAGCAAAGTGCTGGTTTCTCAGAATTAGCATAACATATATAACTGTGTTTGGAGAGTTTATTTTGACTTTTTTTTTAAAGAATATTATTAATATGATGAATACATAAACCTGCTCCATGCCAGCCCAAAAAAAGCTGCATTAAAAATTAAGGCCACTTACAGTTTTATTTTTATACAATAAAAAATAACGTGTATATGTCCTAGGTTAGAATGATCTCTGAAATCATCAATGCTGGGATCCAACCAATTCAGAACTCGTCTGTTCTTCTCAAGTATAGTTCTAGTCTGGTAAGTGTAGAACAACAATTGTGAATACCTTTATGGCGTTCACTCGATCTTTTAATGTTAAATTGACTGGGGACCTCGAATTTAATGAAAAATAAACCATCAGGTTGCAAAGATATATGAGATTAAAATAGTTGAGTTTGTGGCAAAGACTCAATTCCTTTGAATCATCGCTTCAAATCCTTCCTTTATCTTTGAATCGGTGGTTTATAGGTAGATAATCAACGTGGCTCAAACTCATTGAATTCAGTCCCAGAGTTACTGCACTTAAATTACATTTTTAACTGTTTTGACATCATCAAAGTTAATTTTTAGAAATTACAAAGCAATTTTTTCACCATTTCGTGAATAAATCTTTTTTTCAAACTAAATTCTATCGTTATTATTATTTTCTATAAGTACAATATATAAATACATATTTCTCAAAAAAAATTGTTTAAAACACAAGCTCTGTGCACGTACTGAGAAATGAATTGATGTTTAGTTTAATGTGATGTCTATATTTTGATCCTTGTGAAGGAAGAACGAGCTGCCTGGGCCAAACATTGGATTTCTAAAGGGTTCAATGCACTTGAGGTAAAGAGAATATTTAACTATCTTATTAATTTTAAAAGGAAGTGTTCCCTAAAAATTAAAAGGGGTTCGGGATAAACATTAAATAATGTTTTAATCAAGAATATATATGTTGCATGCTCGCGCTCGGTCAGAAAATATATTTTTAAACATTTTTTGGAGAGTCTGGGCGTGGGGTATAATTCATATCAAATTCTCTTTTACTCTCTCTTTTAAAACATTTTAAAGATTATTTACAATTTTTAGGCAAAACCCATCTTATTTTCCTAGATCAGAAGTCTGGAAAAAGAACCAATTATATTTCTGTTCTTATAAAACAAAGTTGAAAATACTTTAATAATAAAGGAGTTGAGTTTTTGCCACAAAGTCTTATTTTCTAATCTCTATATCTTTGTAACCCAATGTTGTAGACCTTAGTTATTTCAAACTATTAATACTTATAGATAAAATAATCTAAGTTTGAAATATCAAAGGTTTTACATCAAAAGATTGCAAAGATGTTGGAATCAGAAGATTTAAGTTTGTGGCAAAAACTCAATTCCTTTGAAATCAGTTCTTTAACAATCATTTGCAATGTGAAATGTGTGAGAACACTTCTTGAAAGAAACTAATATTATAGAGGACGTGAGTCAGACTCTAATAAAAACGCATAAATAACTATAAATATATATTTCTTATAACTTATTACTAGAGGGTTCAGAACTAGAGTCAATATCGATATCGCACGTGTAGACTGTAGAGAACAAAACAAGAACAATGCCCCGTATCCGTTCTATCTCATTCTGTTGAATCTTGTGGAACTTGTTTAACGCGGCCAGGCATCGTCTTCCACAATATCGTATTTAGCATTTGAATTAAGACAGACAGGCAGACAAGCAAAGATTACAACTTTATACATAGATGAGCTGCTGTCTGAGACAGCTGGACAGATGTGTGTAGGAGACAACGTATCTATGCTGACTGTTGTCTAGCTTATTTATATTGCAGAAGCTGCTGTCTGAGACAGCTGGACAGATGTGTGTAGGAGACAGCGTAACCATAGCGGACTGTTGTCTAGTTCCACAAGTCTCGAACGCTGTCAGGTTTTTTTTTTCTACCATATTTAATCAGAAAGGAAAATCAAAACACCTAATCTAACCTCCATATTAGATGTTAACGTATATTTAAGTTATATTATACTTATTTATATTAATTCTTATGCATTTGTGGACCAAACTAGGTTTGAAATGTTTACATAAACGAAAAAAATGTTTATTTGTTTACTATTATTATACTTTTTCATGCTTTTCTAGTTTAATAAGTACATTATGGTCCCGGCCTTTAGTTAGAAATGGCCCTTTTAGCAAAATTGTATTGCAATAAAAAAGATAGCATGTGAAACTAGCTAAATTAATTGGCGTTGCCCAGGTTACTCATAGTTCTCCCGCCGTTTACCTGCACTTGGTCTTAAATCATGATTTTAGCAGTGTCCGGGGTTGCCCGTGGAATTCAAATAAATTCCATATTTTATTAGCCTTTGTCAGACCCCGCAGTACTCATGGGTTCCCTTAAATAAAATTTGATTGAGCCGTTTGGCCAGCCATAGCGAACAATGACCGAAGAGCTTTTATATATAGATGGGGGAAAAGGTTTTGAATTGAATAACTGCATAAACGATTACATTAATCTATATGTATATGTATATATATATGTATATATATATATATACTAGAAATTCAAGGCGCTTCGCGCCCTTCTTTCTAGCCTTAGAGGGCGCTTCGCGCCCATCTTCTAAATTAGTTGTGAACATGTTCTCTTTGTGTACATCCTAAAACAAAACAAAAATAATTCGCGGATTTTCACAACAAATTTCGCGGATTTTCAAAATTTTTCAAAATTTAATGACGATCGAATTTTGATGGAGACAAATATTTGAAATTTTGATTTTTCATAAACCTTCCCTGGGGTCCCTAGATGTCCCACAAAAAATTTGGGCCCGATCGGTTCAGCCGTTTTGACGTTTATTGGATACAAACAGACAAACAAACAAACAGACAGACAAGCCAAATTTATATATAGATAGTAGTTATCTTTGATTGTATGTCCGATCATAGCTCATGACCCAATTGACCGATTTTCCTCAAATTTTAATTGGGGAACTTGGGAGAACCACACTGTAATGTTCTTAGTTTAGTTTTGGGATTCTACGCTAAGTGGGCCGACTTTTATAAGGAAATATAGCTAAACTCATAATTTATGACCAAACGCGGTTAAACGCCGGGAGTAACAATATGAGTTTCCCAAGCTAGTATAATATTACCAGGTTTGAGGTAGACATGTCTCTCTATCCAAATATCTGCAGGATAAACAACAACCTGGTCAATAGACCTGAATTCAAGGCACAGATTATACAGATAAAATCCTCAAACTTAACAACAAAACCTACTCATATAAAACCTTTCAATAAAAAATCTTGTCTTTTTTACTCTTCCTTTTAACCTTAAACAACTTCCTCTATGATATCTTCAATAAAAAAGACTTTATAATTTTTTTTATTCACAGGTTAAAACTTCTTAAATGCTTTGCTTTTATCACCCTTGATTGAATATACTACCTGGAATCATTTTATAATTATTTCTTAATGTATTTCTTTAAGTACCGGGTGTCCCACATCATATTGGATCGTTTACAGCTTTGAATTGGGATTTTCGGGACCAATCAGATTTAAAAAGAAGAATGAAGCATTTCAAAAAATTGTTTAAGATTATTATAAAAATTGACAAAATACTATGGGTTTTCCAGTACTTAGTGTTATGAACATATTCTGACGTTAAAGATTGGAGATAATCCGATATGAAATGGGACGCTCTGTATATCCAAGGATTTAGATTTAAATTCTTCAATTTAAAAGTTTGCACAGCGGATATCTAATTTAGTTGACGAAGCTCAGAGCTAAACCATAGAGTTTCTACCTCAAAACTAATTTTAAATCTCTGGTTCTATCTGTTATAATCTGTGGATTCAGGCATCAACACCAGAAAACCAACCAGATTTTGTAGAGATTACAACAGTTATGAAGTAGACGAATTATAACTTTGTCAATTTTATAATATTACTGAATAGAATTGGGAAGAAAGTTCAATTATGAAGTAAAACTTTTAGAACTGAAATTATATTTAATTTACATGAAACGATTTATCTATTAATAAAACCAAGAGAAAATCTCTTTCAAAATATCTGAAAAATAAAAGTTTTCTGATCTTTAATTTGCCCTCACCCCCCACCGCTCGACATATTACCCTGTCTAAGCCGATGCGCTCGGCTACAATGATAACCAGAAAACTCTGGAATATAAAGTCGACTTTTAGACTAGAGTTATAACTATAAGCAGGCAAATGAACATGAGGCAGAGGAATTGTGAAGTGTAAACAGACCTATTTCACTTAATAAGTGATTTTATGACTTACTGTAAAGCTATTTGCTTTGTAACAACAAGGTGCTTTAATGTCGTTTTCCTATTCCACAGTTTTTTGGTTCTCACTGTAGGACAAGCTTACCTAACTCAAGATATCGTTTTTTTTAATATTCTATCGCAGGAAATTAACTTTTATTTTTGGTTTCTCGGAAAAATGACATCGTTGTATTCTGTTCTTGTATTGAAACTACAGTTCTTGATTCTACGCAGTTGAAGGACTCCTCGCCTACAAACAGATACATTTAGAAGTTCTAATAACTATTGAATGTTATTCAATAATTATAAATAATATTAAAAGTAAAATTAAAAACGCATTTACTATATAGCTTGAAGTATTTTTTAATGTTAAACGAAATAATAAAAAACTATTCTATGATGGACTCCAATTTTCTAATCCCTTTATCTATGGAACCTGATGTTGTAAACTTTTGATATTTCAAACTAAGATAGTTTGATGCAACAAAACTCATAGTTTGAAATATTTAAGGTCTACGTTATTGGGTTGCAGAGATATAGGAATGAGAAAATTGTGTCAAAGACTCAATTCCTTTGTTTTCCTATCTTAAAATTGAAACAACAGAGCCGTGGTTATTCCACAGAATTAATTTTCTCTGCAAATAACAGGAAAATTATCTAAATTTGTGCTTTTCCTAAAATAAAACGAAAATATCTTTAATATCGTTCCGCAGATTTAAAGGGTGATGTTAATTAATCGATGATGAAACTCTTTGAATAAAGTTATCGTTGACTTTCCCACAGTAGTTTAACACGTCCATTTGCGTCTGATCCAATCAGGCTTCACTCACGTGCTTGGCGAGTACTCAGGACAAATAGAATTGCAAAGGTGGCAAGATCTATCTATCTATCTATGCAAATCTTATAATCCTTGAGAGATCCATGATGTAAATTAACGGCAACGACTTAATGGAATTCTTTACAAATATATCGAAACTACGGTGTCCATTAAAATAGAGTAAAACTTTCCTGCATTTGAAGACTGTACAATAATCTGGCACTGATCTGCTTTCTCCATCTTCTGTAGAATAGAAATTATATTTTTAGTTTTATATTTTCAGTTTATAAAATAATAATATATTCATTGGTTTTTTATTGTTTGTTTAGCTACTACTTCATTACGCCAAAACAATCAATCAAACTCCATTTTATTTGCTAAGATGGTTTTTTTCTAACTTTTCCAAATTGCTTTTCAATTTAAATTTCTGTAAACAATGAACCTTTACCTTTAACTTTAATTTTCTAATTCTAATATTTATATATAATAATAGTCATTTGATACTTTAAATTATGAAGTCTGTCAGATTAAATAGTAAAAGCTTGAAATAGAGGTAGGGATTAGAAAGTTAAAGTATGAGGAGAGTAAACGAGAAACTAATTTTAAATTCTTTTTATAACGTTACTAACCTAATACAAACATATCAACAGAGCATGATTTTGATCTTCTGTTACATCTTGTTGAACTTTTTTGACGATTGCGTTCATTGTTTTTGTTTCCTCTTCTATTCTTTCCTCCTCCACCAGGCTTTCTTATTCTTTCATCGATAACCAATACATACTCAGGTTCACCGTAGTAATCATCATCATCATCATCATTATCACCAATATCATCGTCATCAAAATCTTCATCATTATCTTCATTATCATCTGGAAGCTTGACGATAGTTAATCCATGATCACCTATTCCTGAATTATGTTCACTTGTCTCAAACTCTATTGAATCCGGATCTTTTGCATTGTTCTGCTGATCTTGATCTTCAAGATCATCCTGTGTTTCAAGATCAACCTGAGTTTCTAGTTCTTCATTGGATTGTTCAGGTTCCAGGATTGGGATTGAAGATTCAGAATATTCTCCAGGATTGTTATCATCAGACAAGCTCTGAACAATGAATACTTTTATCAAAATGAAAGATTCTGTGACTTTAACCCTAACCTCAGCAACAAAAAAATTTTTAACCAATCAAAATAGTGCAGAAGAAAAAAAATAGTTCATCTTAACATAATTTTTCAGAATTTTTTCTCACTTTTTTGGGAATCAATTGATCCAAATAAAAATGGTATCGATAGACTCATGATCTTAATTTGGATCGTCTTGTACATCCATACCCCCCCCCCCCCTGTATATTTTTTATGTTTTTTTAATCTTCTGAGCTTACCTCAATATTAGATGAGCTGAACTCCTGTGTACCATTGCTCACAAATCTTAAAGAAAACAGCTTTTCAAAAACCATTTAAAAAATATTTAAATGAATTCTGAAGTTTTAGCATTAAAAGTTAGTTTAGTTCCCCGTTTCTTACGGTCAAGAAATTTACAAAAGGAATTGAGTCTTTGCCACGAACTCTGATTTTTTAATCACTATATCTTTGGAACCAAATGTTGCAGACCTTAGATATTTCAAACTATGAATTCTGTTAGATCAAATAATCTGAATTTAAAATATCAAAGGTTTACAACATCGAGTTCTAAAGATATTGAGGTTTAAATATTTGATTTTGTTCTAAAGACTATATTCCTTTGTAAAAAAAATTAATTTTAATTGTATTATTTGACATAAAATATACCTTTGTATCCGTTTCTTCATTCTTCTAGAATTGATATACTCTATAACCAGTACTACAGGATACATACGGTCGTCTTCACTATAATATTATACCCTCTATTAAAAGATTTGCATTCTAGAATCACAACAATACCATTTTAAACTTATTCTTATAGAATTCGTATACTCTATAACCAGTACTACAGGATACATACGGTTGTCTTCACTATAATATTATACCCTCTATTAAAAGATTTGCATGCCAGAATCACAACAATACCATTTTAAACTTATTCTTATCGAATTTGTATACTCTATAACCAGTACTACAGGATACATACGGTTGTCTTCACTATAATATTATACCCTCTATTAAAAGATTTGCATGCCAGAATCACAACAATACCATTTTAAACTTAATCTTATCGAATTTGTATACTCTATAACCAGTACTACAGGATACATACGGTCGTCTTCACTATAATATTATACCCTCTTTTAATAGATTTGCATGCCAGAATCACAACAGTACCATTTTAAACTTATTCTGGGCAAACGGAAGTAGATATCCAGGTTTTTATCTAAAAATTGGTGTACTATTGTGAATATGGCATGCAATTCTTAAAATGGGGGTTACTTTAAAGTAGGGTTTCCAATTGCAATTCCGTTGCGCGCAATTGCGCGGAATTGCAGGCAACTGTTCTCGAATTCCGTAGTTTACAGGGCTCGCAATTGTGCGCAAGTAAAATCCACTTGCGTTAGAAACCCTACTTTAATGTACAGGGTGTCCCACGAAACATGACAATAGGAAGACGACTTGAAAGTCGTCTTTGGTATTTGAATTTATTTGTGACATTTAGTCTTCTATCTACTTTAACATGTATGATTCTTCAAACAATTATCACATAATTCTCCTAGCCCTGGCATTTCCAAAAAGTGGTCTGCGTTTTTTGTGCTTTCAATACTACCTGAGATATAAAGAGTTTGGTTCAGATTTCAATTTTGTTAAATAAAAGCAAAATTGTCGAAATCTGAACGAAATTCTTCATATCTCGGGCAATATTGAAAGCACAAAAAAGGCAGACCACATTTTGGAAATGGCAGGACAAGGGAAATTTTGTGCTTATTATCTCTAGAAATTTACTTCTAAAATTAGGTTGACAAATAAACGCAGCAAATTATATCAAAAATCAAGACGACATTCAAGTCGTCCTGCATACTGTCATGTTTCGTGGGACACCCTGTACGTCTGTAGTTCCTTCCAGAACATCCCTGAGCCCAAAACTTAAGACAGGGTATCCTGGGTTTCACAAATGGGTTTACCCAGTTTTGTAGATATCGATATTTTTGTTTTGAAATATTATTTTACTAGAAATTCAAGGCGCTTCGCGCCCTTCTTTCTAGGCTTTAAGGGCGCTTCGCGCCCATCTTCTAAATTAATTGTGAACATGTTCTCTTTGTGTACATCGTAAACAAAACAAAAATAATTCGCGGATTTTCACAAAAACTTTCGCGGATTTTCAAAATTTTTAAAAATTTAATGACGATCGAATTTTGATGGAGACAAATATTTGAAATTTTGATGATTCGTAAACCTTCCCTGGGGTCCCTAGATGTCCCACAAAAAATTTGGGCCCGATCGGTTCAGCCGTTTTGACGTTTATTGGATACAAACAAACAGACAGACAAACAAACAAACAGACAAGCCAAATTTATATATAGATTTAGTTTCTTCATATTTTACCATTTTTTTCTAATCTCTTAAATCAAAATCTACACAAATAATAAAACCCCAAAAAGGAAACCCGGGAGTTTTGTTCAACGATACTCTTTTAAATTTTGGGCTCAGGGGGTTGAGTAAAATAAAATAATCTTGAAACTAAATTTTAAGTATTAGTTTTGATTTTTAAAAAAAGAATCAAAATAAATAATAGAACTCAAATGGATAATTATTTTTAATCTTTCCATGTATAATGTAAAAGTTATGTCTCCCAAAAAATGTATCTTTTATTTAAAAAAAGTTTCTCTAGCAAACAAAAAAGGTACAACAAAAGTATAAAAGTTCGAATTCATTTTCTTTGCAGTAAAATTTAAATAAAAAACCCGTTTTATTTAACCTGAAATTGGAGAATGTAACATTAATGGTGTATTGTACTCGACCATCATAAAGCACTTCGGAGATAAGATTTGAGGATTCCACACAGTCAACCTCGCCTTAAAGGGACTGTACAGGTAATTTCAACTCTTTATTAAAATGCCCGATTCACATAAAAATTATTAATATATCCATTATCCATGTTGTTCTGTCTTCAAATTAATCACTTCGTTTGAAATTTCTTTTCATAAATGACAGATGGATTTATTTTGCAAAGAAAAGGAAGAACCAGAAGTTGTCTAATTTTAAAGATATAAAAAAGGCAATATCTTACTCATTGTTACCCAGATAACAGATTGCTGTTGTGAATCGGGCACGTAACTCTTTAGTACAGTGAGACTCATAAAACTGTGAAAAAAGGAAAACGACATTTAAGCAATCATCTGTGCGAAAATAAAAACATTTGTACCTGTAAATGCGAACGAATGATGTTGTCATAAAGTATTAAAGTAGCTTCATGATAAAATTGTCAAGTGAAAGGTGTCTGTGTGTAGTGCACAATTGTTGTATTTTGTGTAATTAAAAGTCTAAAAGTCGTCTTTTTATTTCACAGTTTTATGGGTCTCACTGTACGCCGAAGGAAACGTTAGTTTATTTTTCTAAATAAATCACTCAAATCAAAAACATCTGATTTTTTAGAATAAAATTCAAATTATTAATTATTTTATTTACAGAACTTAAATTATCAGAAATAAACAAAAATATGTTGTTAATAATTTTTGTTTATCTCAAACAAATTTGAAAATAGCGAGGAATTCTTTAACTTTCAAAAATAAACATTCTGTTCAATGCTATTTAAATTTATATAGAAGATACCTTTAGAGCAGAATTCCTCCTCTGGTTTGAGTTCTATTTCTCTTCTAAGAATCCAATAAACTGACTCTATTCTATCCTAGTATTTGATATTTATACATACAGTGGTACAGTGATACCCAGAAAATTGTAGAAAAGGAATAAGATGTTAAAGCAATAAATTTATTTGATGTCGATCGAAAGCAATAATTAAACTAGTTGCTTGAAAAACCAATTGTTGTACTTGTACTTGACAATCTATTGGAAAAACAACGTTTACGTAAATTAGTTTTGTACATTTTTGTTTGGTGCTTATTGCACTATTAAATCTGACAGCTGTCTTCATATTCCACAGTTCTGTGTCCCACTGTATGCAAAGAAATAACATCAAAATAGTATTTGGCATCAATACTGATATTTTTAACCTAAAATATGGGTTTTTAAAAATGGTATACAAAAAATATTTTGTGTTTATTTTCAAATATATTTTTATCGTTTCTAAATCATAAAATAAGTTACTTTACCCTTCCTGATAGTATCAGCTCATCACTTAACGTTAACTAAAAACATATAACATTTTAATTAGTTAAATTCCAAATCTAATTATAATAAAAAATGTTGTGCTTATTTCCTAGTTTGTATCCAATAAACGTCAAAAACGACTGAACCTAAAGCCAAAGATTTTGTGTCAAATCTTCATCTCAGGAAAGGTTTATGCATTGATAAATTTCCCGGAAAAAAGTCCACTATTTGTATTTTTAAAATGGCAGCTTGAAGAGCAACTGTTAAAAACTAAAATTGTTGAAAGAATAGGAGTGCCAAGCGACCTGAAAGCCTAGTTGTTAATTAATTAACTTTATTACCTCTACCGCCCTGAGCTGTATTATACTATCTAGAAGAGGAGCAGATTTAAGAATATCTAGGCGGGTTCTGCCTTCTAATATCTTACCAGTTAACTTAGATATCATTCTAAAAGACAAGATAACTTGGAGTTTACCCTCATAATAGCTGTCACGTCAACGTATGATAAAAATTCTATATGGCAAAAAACTCATTAATAATAAACCACTTTTGAGGACGCACATTTAATACGTCATTTAGGACGCACGTTTAGGAAGCACAGTTAGGACGCACATTTAGGACACTTTTTTCGGACACATATTTTGGACACACATTTAAAAGGCATCTATGAGACGCACATTTAGAAAACACATTTAGGACACACTTCTCGGGCACATATTTAGGAAAACATTTAAGACACACGTTTAGCTTGGAAACGCGTTTGGAACACACATTTAGGGCGCACAGTGAGGACTGCCACTGTGTGACATACATTTAGGACACACATTTAGGACACACATTTTGGAAGCACATTTAGGACACACAATTAGGACACACATTTAGGACATACATTTAGGACACATATTTAGGAAATACATGTAGGACACACATTTAGGACTCACATTTAGGACACACATTTAGGACACCCCTTTAGGAAACACATTTAGGACACACATTTAGGACACCCCTTTAGGAAACACATTTAGGACATACATTTAGGACAGACATTTAGGACACACATTTAGGAAATACATGTAGGACACACATTTAGGACACACATTTAGGACACACATTAAGGACATACATTTAGGACACACATTTAGGACACACATTTAGGAAATACATGTAGGACACACATTTAGGACGACATCCCTTACATTCATCGTAGCTTTATATTGACAGGATAATATTGACAGGCTATGGCAAAACTATTTTTAACGCCTCTATGCAGCGCTAGCCAAACAACGAGAAATAAAAGAATAAACTGTTTTTAAAGTTAAAACCCGACGGTCACAATATAAATCAAGCAATGAAAATAATACAACAAAAAACGAATAATGTTCAAAATTCTAAGCTTTTTTAAAAACATAAAAAATTTTTTTTAAAAGTTAAGTGAAAAATTGATAAAACATAAATAGAAATCAACCTGCAAGTCCATTTGCCCTGATGCTCTTGACCAACTTTCTTGATAAAAATCCCACATTCTCCTCTAAATATACAAACATTGTTTTTGTTTCGTTCACGTATATTTTCCCTCGAGGCCAAAATTTACCAATGTGTAAGAAAAGAAAATGTTTTTAAAATTGTTTATTCTAAACATTTTCTTTGAAACCGAAAACGAATGTGTAAAAATATATTTTTCAATTATATTTTAATTAATTTAAAATCCGTCGAAATTAGCGTAAACGACACTTTATACTTAAGTAACAAAAATATATCTCAAGAAAAAACCTAAAAATAGCAAATATGAAGTCATTTAACGAATGAAAATGGGTTTCAAAGTTATAAGATTTACTGACTAAACCTTTAGTAATGTCGAAATATATTTACTAAACAGTGGTCTCCATCTATTATATTCAATCTGGAGTTCAAGGCGTTGACCATGGAATTAAAATAAAAACTCTCGAATTGTGGAGGGGGAAAAAATTTACTTTGAAAATTTAATTAAATTTATAAACCTTGAAATATTTCCTGTTTGAATGTACTCCGGATGTTCATAAATCTCACTTCGCCTGAAAGAATATATAAATGCATGAAAGAAGAAAATTCAAAAATGCATTATTGGCCTAAAAAGATCAACTTTTCTTATATTTAATATCTTTTAATATCTGAATTAAAATCATGACTTGTCTGTGTTATAACGCTCCATAAAAGGATTATGAACAAATGCTGCGTTTTCAAAAGGATGATCTACCTGCCAGTTGCCACTGATATGAATAGGTTGACAGTCCAATGATCTACTAACTGCCAATCATCTACTAACTGACAATGATCTACTAACTGCCAATGATCTGCTAACTGCCAATGATCTACTAACAGCCAATGATCTGCTACCTACCAATAATCTACTATTTACCTGCCAATGATCTTCTCTATACCTGCCAATCATCTACTAACTGCCAATGATCTGCTACCTACCAATAATCTACTATTTACCTGCCAATGATCTTCTCTATACCTGCCAATCATCTACTAACTGCCAATGATCTGCTACCTACCAATAATCTACTATTTACCTGCCAATGATCTTCTCTATACCTGCCAATCATCTACTAACTGCCAATGATCTGCTACCTCCCAATGATCTACTAACTACCAATAATCTACTACCTGCTAACAATCTACTTTATACCTGCCAATAATCTACCATATACCTGCCAATGATCTACTACCTGCCAATGATTTGCCACCTGTCAAAGATCTACAATATACCTGCCAATGATATACTACATGTCAATGAACTGCTACCTGCCAAAGATCTATTATACTTACCAATGATCTACTACCTGCCAATAATATGAATAATTTGACCGGCTGGGGTTATCCAAGAGCATACAGGCCAGGAGCCAGAGTCATAAGGTCTAATTCAACCAATACATGTTTCAAGTATTTGCATTCAATTAAAAAAGCTTTAATTCTTAAGAGGAAGGACAAGAATTGAATGACGACCTATAACTTTTTGAATAAAATAATCTGAAGGTTGAATATAGTTAGTTGAATTAGCTATCACAAGGCAACTCTAGGAATTGAATATTTTCCTGCACTGATTCAAATTCTCTAATCCTGATATCTTTACAACCTGAGGGTTTAATTCTTTGCCATTCCAAACTGAGATTTATTGATCTGACCGACTTCATAACATGAAATATCTAAGGTCTACGACATTGGATTAAAAAGATATAGGGATTTTAAAGTTAGAATTTGGGACAAAGACTCAATTCCTGTAAGAAAAAAGACTAAATTCCGTAAAAATAGTTTCTAAAATGTTGTCAGTTGTATGTCATCATAAACTAAAATATATAGAATTGGAAATGGCAAATGTCTCTTAACATTCTTATTATTGTTCTTTTAAACATATTGTACTTTATAAAGCTTACTGCTGGCTTACTTAGACTTAATTAAAGCTTATGTTTGGTTCTTTATAGAGCTTCTTATTAAAGCTTATGTTTGGTTCCTTATAGTGCTTGGACATATTAAAGCTTATGTTTGGTTCCTTATAGTGCTCGGACATATTACAGCTTATGTTTGGTTCCTTATAGTGCTTGGACATATTAAAGCTTATGTTTGGTTCCTTATAATGCTTGAACATATTAAAGCTTATGGTTGGTTCCTTATAGTGCTTGGACATATTAAAGCTTATGGTTGGTTCCTTATAGTGCTTGGACATATTAAAGCTTATGTTTGGTTCCTTATAGTGCTTGGACATATTAAAGCTTATGTTTGGTTCCTTATAGTGCTTGGATATATTAAAGCTTAAGTTTGGTTCCTTATAGTGCTTGGACATATTAAAGCTTATGTTTGGTTCCTTATAGCGCTTGGACATATTAAAGCTTATGTTGGGTTCCTTATAGTGCTTTGACATATTAAAGCTTATGTTTGGTTCCTTATAGTGCTTGTTATTAAAGCTTATGTTTGGTGCCTTATATTAAAGCTTATGTTTGGTTCCTTATAGTGCTTGGATATATTAAAGCTTATGTTTGGTTCCTTATAGTGCTTGGGCATATTAAAGTTATATTTCTTCCTTCTGCTCTTCACACAAATATATGATAAATGGAAACATCATCTTGAGACAGAAACTTTAGGGATTGCTTGTCTAACAAAACCTTAGTTTCTAAACATGGTTCATTAAAAACATTCTTTTTAAAGTTTAAGTTTCCCTTTTTTTTTCCCTATTTTTTTCTATTCTATTTCTATTTGAGATCTGAGTCCAGAAAGTAAAAAAAGTTTAAGAAATCAAATTCAGTAAAAAAAATTTAAATTAATTTTTTTTGTGTTTTTCCTTGTTCTTGGTATTTCTCTTTCATCCTGTATAAAAAGTGTTTTTTTTTTAATTATCTTTATCAAGTTTTCTAAATAAACTAAAATATGATTTTAGGAAAAATTATTTAGTTCATCAAAAAAATACTTTCCCAAGAATCTCTTCTCCATATTCTAAATCCACAAAAATGTATTTTCCTGAAGAAAAACAATAATTTTAAATATGTTCAATTCAATGTGCAGATGTTCCCTGGACTTGAGTATTGAAGAAAAATCATCTGTAACGTATCTTTCAAATATTTTCACAAAGGGGAAAAACGGAGGTTCTCCAACATTTCAAAGATTAATGGTGCCATCGGTGATTATCTCAATTATCACCAAAAACGGACATTAAGAACTGACATAATTAAAGTACTCATTCATAATCATGATTTCTGTGTAATGTAAAATAATAAATTACTCCACTTTCCAAACTCTCGATTTTCACTTTAATAAAGTTTATGTTTTCTAATGGTAAAACTTTAAAAAAAAATCTTAAATGAGTGTCTGATTTTAGAAACACCATAATAATTGGAACCGGATCTAAATCGAACAAATATCAAACTAACCCCCTTTTCATTTTTCTCGAGCACTCCCTTTAAGATCTGTTTGCACTCACCTTGCGACCCCAAATTATCTTGAAATCTACAATTCCATCCTCCGATATTAGAGTCGTCAAGACTAAACAATTATATAATAATGAGATTTTCGATTTTTTCAGTTTTAACGAGATAAAATAAGGATTTCTCCGTCATTCTTGGTCCGTCCAAGATTCGAAGGGTATTGTTGTGAATCTGAAATGCTACTCTTGAAAATGTGTGCCAATTAAAATTACAGTTTCTTAGTGTTAATAAATTTTTCTTTAACAAATTATATATTGAACCCGATCCGCGTATACTGTATAGTCTTGCACTATCAACATTCAGTTCCTACTTCCTTTTTTATGAGAAGTGACAGCATTTAAACAAGTGTAAAAATTGGAAATCCCCCAAATTACCAATCATTTGGGAAATCCCCCAAATACCTGGGAATTTGGGGAATTCCCTAAATTCATTGGAGAATCTGAGGATGATTTTTTTTAATTATAGGACATTTCTCAAATGACTAGCTTTTTGGGAATTCCCCAAAACCTGTGAATCTGGGGAATTCCCCAAATATCCAGACATATGGGGAATTCCCCAAATATCCAGTCATTTGGGAAATTTCCAAAATCTTAAAAATATACCACCCCTCAAATTTCTATAGGAATTTGGGATATCTGGGGAATTCCCAAAATACAATCTGGGGAATTTCCCAAACATATGGGAATCCGGGGGATTCTCCAAATTCCTATTTTCTTCAGAAGTATTATTGCTGTCGGGTCATGTTTTTAATCAACTTCAAGATTTGAAATTTAAAGAAGAAAGAATTTGAGGAATTTGAAAAATAAATCAAATTTTTTCCTTCCATTTTAAGTATATAAAAATCACTGTATAAAAGTTCAGCATATTTTGCGGTTTTATCATATGAGGTTCTATTAATAATTTTTGCAGATCCGAGGTGAGATTATTCATTTTTGAAAACTTTTTTTATCGACCCATTGTAGATGTACGATGTCTTCGCCTTTTAATCTTTTACACACATCTTCTTATATCCTAGTTAATTTTTCAAAACGGAGTATGTTAATCAGATATTTTATTTCAAATATGATATAAATACCTGTAGATGAGTAGAGTGCAGGTTACAGTATCATTTTTAGATCCCTCTCCAGTAGCAACAGATATCTTAAACTTATCAGATTCTGTATTCTCGTTTAACTCTGTCCTGAAGTTATCAATATGTTAATCAATAAGATTGAACTTTAATAGTTCGAATCATATTTAATAGGACAGATAATCCATAGAGTACAAAGTAGAGTGTACTTGTCAGGAATAAGACGGAATATCTCCGGAGTATAGAGCAGAGCAGGATAGAGTTTATAGAGTTTAGTTGTCAGGAGTAGACCAGGAGTGGGACTGAGTAAAAAGCAGGATAGAGTTTAGTTGTCAGGAGTAGACCAGGAGTGGGACTGAGTAAAAGCAGGATAGAGTTTAATTGTCAGGAGTAGACCAAGAGTAGGACTGAGTAAAAAGCAGGACAGAGTTTAATTGTCAGGAGTAGACTAGGAGTAGGACGGGATATCTCCAGAGTATAGAGCAGAGCAGGATAGAGTTTACCTGTCAGGAGTAGACTAGGAGCAGGACGGAATATCTCCGGAGTAAAAAGTAGAGCAGGATAGAGTTTACCTGTCAGGAGTAGACTAGAAGCAGGACGAAATATCTCCTGAGTATAGAGCAGAGCAGGATAGAGTTTACCTGTCAGGAGTAGACCAGGAGCAGGACGGAATATCTCCGGAGTATAGAGCAGAGCAGGATAGAGTTTACTTGTCAGGAGTAGACCAGGAGTAGGACGGAATATCTCCGGAGTATAGAGCAGATGTAGGATAGAGTTTACTTCAGAAGTAGACCAGGAGCAGGACGGAATATCTCCGGAGTATAGAGCAAAGCAGGATAGAGTGTACCTATAAGGAAAAGACCAGGAGTAGGACGGAATATCTCCGGAGTATAGAGAAACCAGGATTGAGTTTACTAGTCAAGAGTAGACTAGGAGTAGGACGGAATATCTCCGGAGTATAGAGCAGAGTAGGATAGAGTTTACCTGTCAGGAGTAGACCAGGAGCAGGACGGAATATCACCGGAGTATAGAGCAGAGTAGGATAGAGTTTACCTGTCAGGAGTAGACCAGGAGCAGGACGGAATATCACCGGAGTATAGAGCAGAGTAGGATAGAGTTTACCTGTCAGGAGTAGACCAGGAGCAGGACGGAATATCACCGGAGTATAGAGCAGAGTAGGATAGAGTTTACCTGTCAGGAGTAGACCAGGAGCAGGACGGAATATCACCGGAGTATAGAGCAGAGTAGGATAGAGTTTACTTGTCAGGAGTAGACCAGGAGTAGGACGGAATATCTCCGGAGTATAGATTAGAGCAGGATAGAGTTTACTTGTCAGGAGTAGACCAGGAGTAGGCCGGAATAACTCCGGAGTATAGATTAGAGCAGGATAGAGTTTACCTGTCAGGAGCAGTCCAAGAGCAGGACGGAATATCTCCATTATATTGAGCAGAACAGGATATAGATTCATCGTCTCCGGGTACCCCCTAATCAGAGGTAGAGATGACTACAGATTTCCCGATAATATAGTGTCTCAAAAACCAAATCCCATGTTTTCACTTTGGCTGTGATGAAAAGGCCTAGTGCTGTATCGAATGGTTAATTATATAATGCATGACAATTATGTAAAGTGTATTCGAAGTGTTATTTTTTCGTAAGTTCAGTGGGGCACGTTCAATTATAATTTTTAGGGAGGTTTTAATTTTTCATGTAATTTATATAATATAGTCATAATTTTTCTCTCTTAAGCTTTACCTTAAGATCTTTGGAATACTGAACAATGTTGATAGCTCCGGTTCTCATAAAGTGAACCATATGACATCTATAGTTAGCGCAAAGTACGCATTAGACCGTAAACTTTTTGATCGTAGATATGAACAAAATAACACTTGAAATGATAAAAGCTTTGGGACGGCTTCTTCTAGCTGTAACAAACATATATGAATTTTTAGGTCACAATGACAGAGAAAAATGGTAAACAGTATATAATTTTGTCTTAAAAAACATTTAAATTATTTATTTATTCTAAAAATAAAGTTGACAGAATTTAAGTAATAAGGAGAAACCACCTCTCAATACGCAATATTTTCATTAAGGAGTTTTTAAGAACAAGCTATCAATTCGATTTTGAGTTCTGAAACATTAATTGTGATATGGTTCACCCTGTAGAGGAGGATAGATAGAGAACTAGAAGAAAGTAAATCATTCTGTTTTTTAAACCATTCAACCAGCTTTATACAACTGATAAGGTTCAAGTGGTTCCATTAGAAGGTTGTGGGGGGGGGGGGGGGTGAAAGATGAACGAAAGGAGGATTATAAAATTAAACTTGTAAACACCTTCAAAAAATATTATTCTTAACTTAATATTGTTTTATAATGTTTTTGTTTGAATAGTTTTTATATTTCAAACCACCATACTTCACGGTTTAGGCTTTTGAACAAGAGCTACTGCAATAAAATTTAATTTTTCTCTCAACCTGTCTGTATACCTGTCTTTAGAATATTATTTTCTTACGCAAAATGTTTAAACTTTATATTTGGTTTTATTTATATGAAAATCTATTTAAAAAAAGATGTAAAATGATTTTATGCCCTGGACAATATTATAAGAAATACAAAGAAATATGAATTTAAATGTTAACACTATCAAAATAAATAAATACAAAAAAATGGCACGTCAATTATATAACATGTAATATAAAGTTTAAACTTTTAAAAAGTACATATTAAAGAAAATCCCAAATATTAAGGCTGGAAGATGATCATTCAAAAGAATGCGGGAACTTCATAGCACACTATTCGCAAATATTGGAAGGTGTACTACGCTGGGGTGATATTTTACTTTTAAACCCATAAGAAAATAGTGAAAATTTTACCCCAGCTCAGCTGGGAATATATGTGTTTCAGGATATGTTCACCATGGATTAAGAAGAGGCCACCAAGGGCATAAAATTATCTAAAACCCTACTGGTTGAAGGGAGGCGAGGTATAAAGTATTTGAGTCAAAAGCTTTTCTTTTTTGAGAGGGTTCGAGACTTTTTTGATGAGATTTTTAACCAGAGCGCAGCGATGGTTAAAAACCTCATCAAACATCTCATCAAAAATCTCGTCAAAGACTTTACTTACAAAGGGACATGCCCGATTCTATACAGTACTCTTTAAATCATATCATCATTTGAAATGTGTTTTTTCTGACAACTTTCTCCATTGTTTCTAAATAAAAATTCCCACCTCAACTGCATGGTATGTTAATTATAATTCTAATGAAATCGTACAAAACTGTTCTTTAAGACATAACTTTATTTAAGACTCAAATTCATATATTTGTAAAGATACAAAATTATCAAATTACATCATTATTCATTACATGGAAGACATAGATTAATAAAAGTATTTAATGTACTGAGTACATTTATTTGTAAAGATGTTTTAAGACGAGTACAATTGTGCTAGTCTTGTAGTCTGGCATTCTAATAGTCTAGATTACTAAAAATCTGGTATTTGGATATTCAAGTAGACTACTAATTTAGTATTCTAATAGTCTTGTAGTCTATTAGTCTTATAATGTAGTATTCTTCTACAGTTATGACCAGAAAACTCTAATATGAAAATACAACTTTAATATTCAATTCATGACTTTAAATAGTCCAATGAACATAAGACACAGCAGTTGTGAATGCGCAAATAGGCCCATAGTTGATTTTTTCAAGCTATTAACTTTATAAACACATGAAAACACTTGATTATTACTTCAATGTCGTCTTCCTATTTTGTAGTTTTCTGGTTCTATCTGTAGTCTAAATAGAATCCTACACGTCTAGTAGTCTATATGAGTCTCATTGATAACGAGCTTATTAGTCTACAATTCACTAGCATTTTAGTCTACTAGTCTACTACATCAATAGTCCACTAAATCAATAGTCTACTAGTTCACTAGTCTAATAATCCAATAGTCTACTAGTTTACTAGTCTACTAGTTTACTAGTCTACTAGTTTACGAGTCTACTAGTCTACTAGTCTACTAGTTTACTAGTCTACTAGTTTACTAGTCTATTAGTTTACTAGTCTACTAGTCCACTAGTCTACTAGTCCACTAGTCTACTAGTCCACTAGTCTACTAGTCCACTAGTCTACTAGTCCACTAGTCTACTAGTCTACTGGTCTACTAGTTTACTAGTCGACTTGTCTTCTAGTCCAGTAGTCCACTAGTCCACTAGTCTACTAGTGGACTAGTCTACTAGTCCACAAGTCTACTAGTCCACTAGTCTACTAATCCACTAGTCTACTATTCCACTAGTCTACTAGTCCACTAGTATACTAGTCCACTAGTCTACTAGTCCACTAGTCTACTAGTCCACTAGTCTACTAGTCCACTAGTCTACTAGTCCACTAGTCTACTAGTCCACTAGTCTACAAGTCTACTGGTCTACTAGTCTACTAGTCGACTAGTCTTCTAGTACAGTAGTCTACTATTAGTCCATTAGTCTACTTTTCTAGGAGCTAATTTTGGTGAATTATCTTCAATATTATTTTGTTCCACTTCTTCCCAGGGTAGTTTCAAGTGCGCAAATCCTAGAAATAATTATTTTTAAAAATGTTACGTACATAATTACTGTTTCTTAAAGTGATCATTAAAATTGAACGGAATGAACGTTGTTTTCGTGCCTGAATCTTTTTGATTACGAACGTCATTCACTACGGATTTTGTAATTGTAAAACTAACAATGAGCCCTGAAGTTTAAACTTTTGTGTTTTGATGGTTTTGGATCAAGCATTGATCTTTTGAAAACATACGGATTTGCAGGGGCAGACACAGGATTTAAGTGAGGGGGGGGGGGGGCAAGATTTTTTAGGAACAAAAAAATTGATAATTAGGAACAAAATTAAAGGAGTAGGACAGGGATTTAGGAACAATAAAAAGATTGTGCAGGATTAGGAACAAAATTTAAGGATTAGGACAAGGATTTAGGAACAATAAAAAGATTGTTCAGGAATAAGGAACAAAATTAAAGGATTAGGACAGGAATTTAGGAACAATAAAATGATTGCTCAGGAAATAGGAACAAAATTAAAGGATTAGGACAGGGATTTAGGAACAATAAAAAGATTGCTCAGGAATAAGGAACAAAAATATAGGATTAGGACAGGGATTTCAGGTGGGTCGGACACAGTATTAGGAACAGGAACAATAATAGGAACATTAGCAATTTAAGAACAAAAAGAAATTACTAGTTTCTTACGAATTTCTAATTCTAAATTCATCGCTAACAATAACATTTACTTGTTGTTGTTGATTTATAAATTAAACTGAAGAAAAGACTCAAGATGTGCAGTGTGCCGCGTACCAATAAAACAAAACACTATGTCTGTCGTCGTATACTTACATCGTTGGTTATAAACTTATATTTATTTTTAACAAGCTAGAAAAATATTTTTTTTCGTCCTTCTCTTCTGATGATTCAATCTTTCAATAAATATTAATTATTATATTTCCATTAAATAAAAAATAATCAAATAGCTTAGAATTGAAAAACACATACGATTTATCAAATTGGGAACATTTTTTGCCTCGAAATCTCAGGGGGTGGCGAATGTCCCCCCGCCACCCCCCTGTGTCCGCCCCTGCGGATTTGATTCCTCTTCGATATCCCTTTGTTGTCCCAATAAACATGGGAATTCGATGACGAATTCGATATCTTTTTTTAAAATAATTCTTTGATTTAGTAAAGTGATACCTACTAAGAAAGCTGTAATCTGTAAGAGTTTACTCTGCTATGTTCACAATTTGTTTGTTAATGTTTTGACTGCATACTGTTGTAAATAGTAAAACAAGAAAATTGCAGTATACAAACAGAGTAAACTTATCAGTCTTCACTGTTCATCTTGCAAAGACATTATAAACACATCTTTATAGTCTTTTACCCAATTCATAAAATAAACTCTATAGCAGACATAATAATATTTTGGCTTTTGAAATTAGGTATTACAATGCTAATTCATAAAAAAGACGATAACGAATTCGTCACTGAATTCCCATGTTTTTTGGAACACCCTGTATCTTGCAGATATAAATTTAAGCGTTCAATATAAAAAGATACTCCACACAAAGTTTCGAGCTCAGAGCTGGTTTTCATACCCTGCAGGGATAACTGAAAGTTTTCATATTTGAAATCGAGACCAAGAGTTCGAGAATAACGACATTCTACTCTAATTACTGATTAAAAGAATGAAAGAAGTTATAAAGATGCGTAATAAAACAATGACATATATTTTGGAAAAAAAATGTCGGTATAGGTTGAGTTGAGATATATAGTGAAATAATAATAAGAATGCAACTTTAATCTTTCTGTAATTAGAAATTGATTCCACCTCTAAAATCATATAAATGTGTCTTTACATTGGTTAAAGACAAAAAAATTATATAAAAAATGTGTAATTTTTATAGTTGAGGGTAAAAAAGTAAAATAAAAACTTGCATTTCTAGCTGTTGAAAGCAACAGAGTTTTTAAAAAAGTTGCAATTCCAGCGGTTAAAACAAAAAATAGTATTATAAAATTTTTGTGTTTCAATTGGTTGAAGACGTAAAATTTATTTTAAAAAAGACTCCATATTTATGTCTCAACCGCTTGTTCAACCGCTACCGCTGGATTTTTTCTCCAAAGAAAAATTAATCATTGGTAATAAAAAGATTTACGAAAATCAATTTTAAATAAATTGATATCAACTATATTGAATATATTAAAATACCTAGTAAAGTATCTTCTTTCCACAACCCCATACATCTAGAAATAACCTTATATTTGTATCAATCCTCATCTAGCATTATTCAATCTCACTTATGATGCATAAATTTATTAGCATGCATCGTAAGGTTAAATATAAAAAGAAAGGTTCTGTAACAAATTAATCAAATTTGAGCTAATTTGAAGAGATGTTTGAAGAAAGAAATTGGGAATCAATATAAGGACATGGCTTTTGATTTTATATATTGATATATTGAAATAATAACCATGGAATTAAGGAAGGGGGGGGTGTAGGGTGAAATTAAAGGGGGGGGGAAGCAATGCCCCATACCTGACAGACGCCATTGATAGAGTCGGAGGAAGGTTTAAATCTAAATAAGTTTTCTCCGGACTGTAATTAAAGTTGAAGGTTTCCTCAGCTATGTGATATTCTAAACAAAAAAAGTGTTTTATTTTTAGAATTATTCTCAAACCATGTGGCGTCTATTGTAGAACCTAAACTTAGACAAATATAATATAATCTAGAGGGAGTAGATACCGATTCCCAAATATAATATAATCTAGAGGGAGTAGATATCGATTCCCAAATCCCAAATAAAAAATAAAAGGTATTTTACTTTGTCGTTTTTGAATGTTAATGTTTATTGGGACACCATGTATTATTTTCCAATTTATAGATACCTATTACTGGTAGACATTCAGTATCTCTCCAGAAGTACGGTTCCAGTACATCTTGTTCTCCTTGTACTGGAAATTCCAGAATTCGTACAGTTGTACTGTTTAGAGCGTATACAGGAGATGCATCATTAGCCACCTGTACACAGTACAGTACAATGAACAAATGTACATTGTACAGTTGTACATGCATGTGAATAAGAATTAATCACAGGAAACTTAAAGATTAAGTTTTAAACTTTAAGAAATTAATGTCCATTTTATAAATATTTTTTTAACATAAATAAGTCTCTGTCCGGGGACGCAAATTATTCAAAAAACTAATCACTCGTCTCAAACTCTATTTCATATTTTTAAAATCTATTTTATCTTTGATATTTCAAACTTTGATTATTTAACATATCAAAGTTCTTCGACATGATGATGCAATGATATAAGCATTATAAAATTATAGTATGCTCCAAGTAATCAGTTTCTATATGAAATTATAGGTTTAGTGTTTACTGCACACATCAATAAGCTTTAATTCATTTTTTTTACATTTTTGAAGACCTTACTAACCTCTATGTTTAAAGCTCCAAGGTAAAGGGGACAGCACACTGTGTTAGATGAATTTTCGCACATCGAGCTTTTAATCTAAATTATTGATTAAGAAACAGAGCAAATCTTATCAGATTATTTTTCAAACATACTGAGCTTTTTTATCTAAATTATTAATTAAGAAACAGAGCAAATCTTATCAGATTATTTTTTAACCATAATGAGCTTTTTATCTAAATTATTGAAAAACAAAACAAATCTTATCAGATTATTTTTTAAACATAATGAGCGTTTTATCTAAATTATTGATTAAGAAACAGAGCAAATCTTATCAGATTATTTTTTAAACATAATGAGCTTTTTATCTAAATTATTGATTGATAAACAGAGCAAATTTTATTAGATTATTTTTTAAACATAATGAGCTGTTTATCTAAATTATTGATTAAGAAACAAAGCAAATCTTATCAGATTATTTTTTAAACATAATGAGCGTTTTATCTAAATTATTGATTAAGAAACAAAGCAAATCTTATAAAATTATTTTTTAAACATTTTTTAACTTCTATATATGTATATTTGGTTTGTCTAGATGTGTTTAGTTATAACCCTAGAGATTGTTTGTGGCCGGTCAACGTTCATGCCCAGACAAAAAATTTCTTTTTAAAGTTTTTTTAAAGCTATCAGTGCAAACCAATAATCTGCATAATGGCTGCTTAAAATACACCATTTAAAAGTTTAAATTGTTATTAGAAAAAGGTCGTGAAGCACTTCGTTTCTTTAAATATAAATAATTGTGAATTATATGAAAGAAATCTTAAAGAGATGTCTAAAGCAAGATTAATAAAAATTTGTGAAAATATGCAATTATTCATTAGCTTGAATCCACATAAAAAACTTACTGCACTTAAAATATTGTTCATAACTCCAAAGCTTCTGTCAGACCTAGCAGATTGGGCCAGTCTAGAAACTCAAGATATAGTTATCTATTCGCTAAATCAAAAATTTGTTATGTTTGATGAACTTTACGTTAAGCTAAGTTTGGATACAGAGATTTACAGATTTAAATATTCACATACAGTGAAACCCTTAATAACGAATACATCGGAAGAATTTATCAAATGTCGTCTTGACAATTTTTCAATGAGTTTTATACTATATTTCGTAAATTTCAGTATTTGCGAAAATAAATAAATAGCCATGAATATGCGGGAACAGTTTTAAAGAGTTCCATATAATCATTTAATTAAAAAACTAAATATCTGCAACATTCCATTATCAGAAAGTGATGAATACGACATTTGAAGAATTCTTTCGATGTATTCGTTATTAAGGCTTTCATTGTATATTGCGACATTTCTGCTACGGCTTTGTGACATCGTAGATCCTTTATGCTTTATTTCTAGCACAGATATGAAAAAACTGAAATTTGTTTGTTCTTCTCAAATAGGTCTTCAACTCCTTCAATAAGAGATGTTATAATTTTAATCTTTCGGTCAATTTACGTTAGTTTGCCTTGCATTATAATTCAGATATTCTAACAGAGCTACTTTAAAGGGTTAATTAAGGGGTTTGATCTTGATTAAAGCCTTCAAACCCACTTATACTTTTGGTTCCTTGGATCTAAGGTTACAACTTTTGATTTTATAGGAGTTTTGAAAAATAAATCGTGATAGCTTTTCGCCTTAAAATGTGCTTATTTTAGTCAGTAGTGCATAAAGTGATAAGCAAGGCATGAAATGGCGTAGTTTTAAAAACGAATTTATGTTTTATTTTCATTGAATTGATCGGCAATGATTGAAAATAAATACGATTTTTTAATACCTAAAGAGCTCATAGAGTTAATGCATAATACACGTTTACTTATAAAAAAAACCTGTTTTTGGTATGCAACAATTTTCACTGAATTCCGCTAATCTAAAACATTTCTTATGCCGGTCCATTTTTATGACACGTGATAAATAATTATTCCTGAGTTGTTGCATAATAAGAGGACATTCTCGTAAAGTTACACAGCTCCTTCCTAGCTCACACTCTGCACTTGAAACTATAACAAGTTTTAATTAGTTTTAAATATTCAAAGATTTCAACGCCAGATCCACACCGGTTCCCTTAAAAGCTTTTATTGATCAAGTTTGAATCATGGATGTTTAAAATATTAAAAACTGTTTATTTTCAATTGTGGTTTCTTAAAAATTGACTTGTGCATTTCTACTACTGGAAAACATTGCTTTTAAGCCTAGGAAAACATCTTTCACAATATTGATCAGATTCAGATTCCAAGGATATTGTTATTAAACGGGAATTGTCATCATTGTCACTTGAAATTACGCTTACAGTCCCTTTAAACATCACTTTGAAGGAAATTAAAATTATGATATTAGAAGATTGAATTTTTGAGAATCTTTTAAATTTTTTAAAGCCTATTTTTTTAAGTATCGTTGATATCACCCTGCAAACTGATATTGATATTTGATTTGATATTATTTGATTCAACAGAATTCATAGTTTGAAATATCGAAGATCTACGACATTGGGTTGCAAATATATAATGATTAGACAATCAGAGTTTACGGTCTGAACTCAGTTTCTTTTTTTTCAATTTTTATTTAACATAAAAAGAACATTATGAGTACCTGAGTTCCAGAGGGAGAAGGTTGAAATAAAAACTGCTAATCAGAAAAATAATCATAATTTTTCCGGAATAATTTAAAAATCCCGTTTAAAGAAAAACTTTCTTATTCATTATTATTCAATAAATATTTAATATCAAACAGAGAATGCTTTTTTACATAAAATGAGTAAAATTTAATTGGTTTTATGAAAATATTTTTTTATTGTTTTTAAAATATCCAATTTAGTTTTGATTTATTATCAGAAATAAATGTTTAAGGAAAATGATAATTGCTTAAGAAGTATATTTCAAAAATTTGAGCTAAGAGATATTTTGAATAAATTATTTGAAGATATTTTGAATTAATTATTAACAACTCAGAATGTAAATCTTTAAATGTCGGGACACTTTAAGTTAATTCGGCAGGTATTTTAAACCATTTAAAAATCCATAAAATACTAAAAATTTGACCTATTTTAATAGTTTAAAGCAATAAAACTAATTTAACATTATATGATATTTTTATATTCCTAGAAGTTTCATGGTTTTCAATTAAGATTCAAATGCCAGTTGTGTTATTTTTGGCTTGTTATGCACAGCACACCATTTATGTCTAAAAATTAAATACTTGTCGTCAATATATTGCATATCCTATTGTTAAAATTTTATTGGATTTTTAATTTTTATTTAAAATCCACAAAAATGTATAATTACTTTTAATTCGAAATAAACGTAATTTCCGTAAATAATTAATGAAAATTGTTTAAAATAACAAAATGAAATCAAACTTTATTAGATTTGATACCATTTTTAACATTAGCCACATCCTAGATGAATACATCATAAGATCGATCAAATAGTTTATAGGTTGGGGACAAGTTGTGGAAAATTGAACACTCTCCTTTTAGTGTTACATAACAAGAATTTTAGCGCTAAAATATAATGATTGATAAATCCGGAAAATGTACATTTTGCAAAAGTTTATTTATACCGTGGTTTAAACAATTCTCAAAAAGGCTTGTTTACTTTGTTTAAATCTGAATCTTTCCAAAATTTGTGGAAAGAGGAACACAAAAAAGGCCCAAAAAAAGAAAACATTTTTTTGAATTATTGATAAACGAGTTTTTTTTTTGTTGAGTCATTGTCAAATATAGTTAAATCTATTTGTTAAAGAATTGAGTCTTTGCAACAAATCCCAATTTTCCAATACCAATATATCTACAACCAAATTATGTAGACCTTTGATATTTCAAACTTTGATTGTTTGATGTAACAGAAGTCATAGTTTGAAATATCTAAGGTCTACAACATTGGGTTGTTAAGATATAGGGATTTAAAAATCAGAGTTTGTGACAAAGACTCAATTCCTTTAAATAAAGAAGAGTTTCTTAATGTAAAATTGAATCTATCTATACCAAGAAATTTACCCTTTATTAATGTCAGTTTCAGTATTTTAACCTGAATTATGAACCTAACCTACTAAACGTGTGTCACTATAAACCGTCCCCCAGTGTTTAGTCACTACTCAAGAAAATAAACAGTTAGCTCCCTAGCTGCAACTACCAAGGTTTCAAATCTCAGGATGAACTGGGAAGAGTAGACTGAAGAGAACCAAGGGACGGAAAATTAAGAGATTTAGAAACCGAGTTTACTTTCCTAAGTTATTTATTTTAAAATTGGTTTTTAGTAAACCGTGCATGTAAAAATGGGAATAAAGGAATTAAACAAGACGCCTTAATAAGACTGGAATCGTAATTTCCAATAAACCTCTATTACAAGCTTTGATGAAAAAGTGACTTGCAAATTTCTTGCAGAAACAACGGAAAATTAAATTATCAGAATTAAACTCTTTTCACGCCAGAAAAAACTATGATTTCTTCCACATCTTGGTCAGACAAGTTTCTCTTCATGCTTCCGACTTTCAGCGCTGCAATTAATGGATAATGTAAAAGTTTTAAATCAACTGTCGTGTATCGTGTATGTACTCAACAAATATTTCATTAAAAATCCTTTTCAGAGGTTATGATGTCCTGAAACCAAAGTATGATAAAAGCTTTATGATTTTGGAATTTTAAAACCGGGTTTTGTTTGCAAATCATGTAAAGTTTCCAGCTCCAATGAGAGACACATTTGACATAAATTGAGTTTAAGATAGCTTAACATGGAGACATGTGACATAGATTAAAGATACAAGGAGACGTGATTCACCGACATAGGGTCAAACAACCTATAGAGCCAAATGCCATAGGGTCAAACGAAATAGGGTTAAACCACCTAGGGTCAAACAACCTAGGGTCAAACTACAAACGGTCAAAAACGCGAAAAAGGGTGTAACGACCTTGGGTCAAAAAGTGCGACACACGGGCTAAATTTCATTAAGACTATTTTTGGTTGATTTGAACTATGTTCATTAGAACTAGTAATCGCAGCGCTCAGTCCCCTAGCATATCCTAGCCGCAGCGCTCGGCCCAGAAATTGGCTTAACCTAACCTAACCCTGAAGTTATGTTTTGTGTTCATTTGAACTAATAGCCGCAGCTCTCGGCTTCTAATCTGTCCTAGCCGCAGTGGCCGGCTCAGAAATTGTCTTAACCTAACCTAACCCTGAAATAATACATTTTTTTTATTTTGACCCTTTGTCGTTTTACCCTTTGTCGCGCGCGTTTGTTACCGTTTGTCGTTTGACTCTAGATCGCTTGACCCTAGGTCGTTTGACCCTGGGTCTTTTGACCCTAAGTCGCTTGACCCTATGTCGGTGAACCACTCAAGATGATAAAGATAAACATTTTTGGCACAATGCATAACAAAAGAATGGAGTTGTTTGCTTAAAAATTTGCCTAAAACGTAAGCCAAAACTATTGCTAATACGCAAAATGATTCGCAAATTTTCTTGCGATAGAAATTTGGATATTTGAGTCACATAGTACGTATTACTTTATAGCTACATAAGTTTAAATGATTAGAAAAAGAAAATTTAGATAATTTTGAAATTTTGTAAAAATATGTTTCAAAACTGAGGGAACACATATCATTGATGAGCTAAAATGTCTGTAGCATTTTTTCCTGGAAAGAGTTTTGTTTACAGACTGTCCTGTTAGGGGTATATGACAAAAGTGTCAATAACAATAACGTGATTTAAATTAAGAATAAGATTAAAAAGTATTAAATTTAATCACTTCGCTTATCGCTCTTCGTTAAACGGCTGGACCAAATTAGCTGAAATTTGTTGAGGGAATCCATAGGTACCTTGGGGGTGGCATAGGAAAAAGTTTTTATTTTGATTCCTTGGGAAACAATGAACACATCAACTAAAATCGTCATTTAAGACTAAGCTATGAATAACCTGGGCCGGGTACTTCACTTCCGCTATAGTTACATTTATAATTGTAATTTTCTAGCGAAGTTTCGCTCTAAATCCAGAAAGTAAAATATATATTGTTATTATTGTTATTACTCAGTAAAGATTCTATGATAAACTGCGCCCAATTTCTTGGTTTCTCTTTGGTCTAAGTATTTGATATATATATATATATATATATATATATATATATACATTTATTTATAGTACGAATCGCTTTCCCAAGCGGTTTATTTTTTATTTTAAACAACAATAATAATAATGTTTATTAAACTGAGTGTTTCAATAAAATCAAATATTTTCTCAGAAATAAAGAGAGTTTTTTATCCCCCCTGTACACTTAAGCGCCTGGTGAAAGCAGTCCAGTGGTGTAAAAACCTGAGCAGTTTAATCTTTAAACGAATCACTATTTTTTACTTCCGACAGATTAAATGGATGGTTTAAAAAGAAAGAACATAACCAACAGGGGAATGGTGGAAGGAAAGGTGGAGGGAGGGATGACTAAATATTTAGATTTTTTGTCCCCTTTTGCCAACTTTTGTACTGCCCTGTTAAATAATGGGCCCCATGGCTGGGATGTAATGCAAGAGTTACGCATTACCAGTTTTCTCGGCTTTATGAAAAAATCAAATTTTTAGCAATTTGGTAAAATAAAAGAATATTTTAAATTGAATTTATTGCTACGAAAACATCTTACCTAGTTTAAATAAATACTCATAGTTAATTATTTATAACAATTAATAAATTATGACTAAGGAGAAATTATTCTCTTATATTTCTCTTAAAATCTCACTTCGTAGAATCAATCTCAAGGTCACAAAGTCGTACCAATAATGTTGTAAAATTAAACATTCCCCCTCCTGATTTAAACTAGTTTAAAAACCATTTACAATTTTCTGGGTTAGGGCTGACAAATTTCTTAAAACGTTTGTTTTCCCCCTACATCTCATTTTCTTGATATGGAGCTGCGTACGTGGGAGTAGATGATAATGTATCATGTGCCTAGTATATGAATGGTACCGGCTTATAGGTTCATTCACCCAGTCTTAACAAACCATTCAGGATTCATACAAACTTACTTACCACCTACTCAACAGGGTTACCCACAAAGGATAAAATTTCACAGACGACTGTTTGAATCAAATTTTACTTACTTTGTTCCTTTCAGCTGTATAATTTATTTTTTCATTCTTTCCTTGGAAAATCATAAATTAACTGTACAAGACAATACTGACAGGTAACCCCAAATTATCCTTCAAGTGGATGTATCTAATTTAGTTTCAGGTCATCATTTAATTCACATTCTTTGTGGGTAACCCTGTAGCTTCTAAATCTGTGCATACATTTCTGCTTCAAGGATTTGTCTGAATGTAATTCAAAGTGATCCTTTAGTCAGAAAGCACTTTTAACGATGTATTTCACTTGTCAGTTTATGTCTGATTTTTAAAGGTTTAGAGATAAAAAACCGGATTGAATATTTACCATAATACTATTAGATTAATAGATTTCAAATATTCTGCAGCACCGGCTTCAGGATACACATTTGATTGTTGAAACACGCGAATCTAATAAGATCTAAGATGTTCTTGCAGTATTAAACATGGATAAAGCTTTATAACAAAATCTTTGTTTCTCTGGGGGGTGTCTAGTCTGGGTTATTGTTTGTTTGTATCCAATAAACGTAAAAACGGTTCAACTGATAGAACCCAAATTGTGTGTGGGACCTCACATGACTGCAAGGAAGGTTATGGATGATCAAAGTTTCAAAAATTAGCCTCCAACAAAATTAGATCTTCATTAAATTTTGAAAATCCACGAAATGGTTTTCTTTAAATCTGCGAACTTTTTTTGTTTTTGTTTTACAATGTATACAAAGAGAAGCGCCCTGAAAGCCAAGTAATAATATTGAATCTCATACAGTCATAAAGAAAATATATCACGGAAACTCTGGTTCATTTGAAATAATATACGGACTTTACCGACTTTTCCGACTTTAACGACTTTTCCGACTTTTCCGACTTTTCCGACTTCACCGAATTTTAGGCAGCTATAGGGCAAGCTTGTCCAGTATTTAAACGACCATATTAAGCATAGGGATAAGCATCATTCAAATATATATATAAAAGTAAGGATGGGTATCATTCAAATATATAAATATAAAAGTAGGGATGGGCATCATTCAAATATATATATAAAAGTAGGGATGGTAATCATTCAAATATATACATAAAAGTAAGGATGGGCATCATTCAAATATATATATAAAAGTAAGGATGGGCATCATTCAAATATATACATAAAAGTAAGGATGTGTATCATTCAAATATATACATAAAAGTAAGGATGTGTATCATTCAAATATACATATAAAAGTAGGAATGGGCATGAATCAAATATATACATGAAAGTAGGGATGGGCATCATTCAAATATATACCTAAAAGTAATGATGGGCATCATTCAAATATATTCATAAAAGTAAGAATGGGCATCATTCAAATATATACATAAAAGTAAGGATGGGCATCATTCAAATATATATATAAAAGTAGGGATGGGTATCATTCAAATATATATATATAAGTAGGGATTGGCATCATTCAAATATATATATATAAAAGTAGGGATGGGCATCATTCAAATATATACATAAAAGTAGGGATGGGCATCGTTTTCGATTATTTTTCTTCAAAACGATCTTTTTTCATTTTGGATGTCAATTTCGAAAAACTGACAAAATTTTTTTTTATTTAAAAACAAAAAAACTGAAAAAATCGTTTTCTGTTTCAAAACGAAAAAAGAAATAAGAACAACTTGTCAATGTTGTCTTTTGTTCAGAACTTTATATTTTCTTTATAAAAACGAATTTGTTGGCGTTTTATTTAGACATGATATCTGAAATAATTATAAAAGTTGATGTATTGTATTGTATCACAGTATAGAAAGTAGAGTGGCGATGTGAGGTGTAGAGTATGGTTGGAGAAACTTGAAATAAACCGGTTCCAGTCCTTCTTCCCAGATCAGCAGGTCATCTCGAGCCCGGAGCAGGTCAGCTAGTGCTTCACTAGAAACCTGGAGAAATGATAACGGTGAGAAACGAAAAAGATTATTTATTGCTACTTTATTTTTTACTAGTTTAGGAACCCAACTCCTGTCGTATATCCACACTTAAACGATTTTTACGGGAAACTAAATTTTCGCTATAAGTCAACCCACTAAATTTAGAATCTTAAAACCAAGTTAAGAACATTCCCGTGTGTCTCCCGAGTTCCCCAATCACAATGTGAGTCAAATCAGTCCAGCGGCTCAGCTGAGTTATGATCGGACGGAAAAACAAACTGACACCCAACTTTATATATATATAGATTTCGATGATTTGTTGAATTAAGATTATTTTCAACAAAATATTCCAGATATATACCGCTTTAAACATACAGGAAAGAAAGATGTTGTAATTATATTTTAGTTAATCTAGTTCTCATTACGCTTAAAGGAACTGTTAACGTAATTTTAAAATTAGTGAACCTATAGATTTATAGCTAGTTAATATGTCCGATACCCTTTAGAGCTTTGTCTGACCAAGCATAAATGAGATGTTCATGTTTCTCTTTTTGAAAGTAATTGAGTCTATGCCACAAACTCGGATTGTCTAATCTTTATTCTGCGAACCAATGTAGCAGACCTTGTCACCTTATAGATATTTTAAATTAAGAATTCTGTTGGATCAAATAAGTTTCATATGTCTAAAGTTTACATCATCAGTATGCAAAAATGTAGGGAGTAGAAAATTTAAGTTTGTGGCAAAGACTCAATTTCTTTGTTTATTTTCAATTGTGGTTTCTCTAAAAATTGAATTTTAGTTTTCTACTTTAAAAAACAATGCAGTCAATTGTCAAAATTAAACACTTCCGTACCTTAAGATCTGCCTGTATAGATGCCTGAGTAGCCTGGAGATCATTAAATAGTGCCTGATTATCTAGAGCCAGGATATTGGTAGAATCTTCACTAAGGAAATAAGAACAGATGAATGAGAATATCCATCTCTGCTGCTCTATACTGGTTCCGTAGCTTCCGGTCTTCTTGTACTGAGCTTTCAGGGGCTAAAGTAGTAGAATATATATTAAACATGACATAATCACATTTTTTGTGTTTTTATTGAAAAAAGAATTGAGTGTTTGCAACATACTCAGATTTTCTAATACCTAAATCTTTGCAACCTGATGTCGTAGACCTTTGATTTTTCAAACTATGAATAAAATAGTTTAGGTTAGAATATTAGGCTACAGAATATAGGGGTTAGAAAATTAGATTTTGTGGAAAAAACTCAATTCCTTGCACATACATTTTTCTTTTAAGGATTCTTATGCTTGATAAGAACTTTTATGGTTTATATTGAAAAAACTTACTGGTAGAAACAAAATAAATTTTTAGTTATAAAGTAATATATTTCAATTGTCCATTACTTTCGAATTTTAATGATAACCAAATTTTAATGAAATAAATTGTTTACCAGGGTAAGTATGAGGAACTGTATTGTTTACCTGGGTAAGAATGAGGAACTGTATTGTTTACCTGGGTAAGAATGAGGAATTGTATTGTTTACCTGGGTAAGGATGATGAACTGTATTGTTTACCTGGGTAAGGATGAGGAACTGTATTGTTTACCTAGGTAAGAATAAGGAACTGTATTGTTTACCTGGGTAAGAATGAGGAACTGTATTATTTACCTGGGTAAGAATGAGGAACTGTATTGTTTACCTGGGTAAGGATGAGTAACTGTATTGTTTACCTGGGTAAGAATAAGGAACTGTATTGTTTACCTGGGTAAGAATGAGGAACTGTATTATTTACCTGGGTAAGAATGAGGAACTGTATTGTTTACCTGGGTAAGGATGAGTAACTGTATTGTTTACCTGGGTAAGAATAAGGAACTGTATTGTTTACCTGGGTAAGAATGAGGAACTGTATTGTTTACCTGGGTAGGAATGAGGAACTGTATTGTTTACCTGGGTAAGGATGAGGAACTGTATTGTTTACCTGGGTAAAAATGAGGAACTGTATTGTTTACCTGGGTAAGGATGAGGAACTTGAGACTAGTTTCTTCATCTTCAAGATTCCGTTTCCGTAAATAATCAACAAACCTAAAATAAATTTAGAAATTAAAGAGATTGAAGGCGTCCTATTAACAACGATACACTTTAAACATTTTACTGAGAAAAAATAATCAAGTTATACTTGTTCTTCTTCTTTCTATTAATTAATTATTTTCAAGTAAAGTTTTCTATAAAATAAAGTTGCGGTGTGGTGCAAATAAAGAAAGAAAGAAGTCATTCAAAATTTACACTTTTTTAGATCTAAAAACAAGGATTTCTTTCTCACTTTTGTGCAGATAAAAGTGAGAAGGGTTCCATTGTGAATTGGGCCATGCCCACGTAGAAATGGCTTTACACAACATTCCCTTTAAAGGGAGTAACCGGCAAGTACTTAGGATTTATTTGGGACATATTAAACGTTTTTAAAAAATGTATAATTATACTGAGTTTGAGTGAAAATTCGACTTTCAAAATCATCCATTTGGGCAATTACATTTTGAGAATCGATTTTTTTTAAATTTTCATTAACGACGACAAAAAATGTAACAAAATTCGACAGTAAAGTAGTTAGTTGTTTAAAGAACAGGTTGAGAACACAAAAATTATCTATTATCATCGAAAATGAGCAATCTTATTCAGTTATTAGTTTCTGTAATGTCTCATTGTTCACAAACATTTTCCGTAGGTTTCCTGAAATGTTTATGGAAAAGACGACATTTGAAGAATTAAAAAAATCTGTGAACAAATTCATAAAAAATAAGAAAGTCAATATAATCATAAAACGCCCCCCCCCCCCCCAGCCTGTTTAGGATTTAAAAATCCCAAACATATTTATAATCCCACTATGAAGTAGTATTTTATAAATGCATATTGGACAATTTACTATTTCCACTATAAAACTTTATTTATTTATTTAATCATGGAGTAATTCTTAAAAAAAATGTTCCAACATCGATTGATTGATAAAAATGTAATTCTCAATATGTCTCCTAGTGTTCCAGCATCTTCTGTCTCTAGAATTTGATTAATAAATATGTCCCCTAGTGTCCTCTGTAGGACACAAAAAAATATTGTTTTTAATCCACCTAAAAACTATCCAAAAGTCATAATTTATGTTTGTTGAGACATATCCTGTCAATATCCAACGGAATTATGTCGTTGCTGCAAACTCAAATTTTCTAATCCCTTACATATTTCAAACTATGAATTCTGTATTAGATAAAATAATTTAAGTTTGAAATAAAAAAGGTTTACGCTATCAGATGAGCGGGGGAAGGCAGTCGGCCATAAGCCACAACATTTTCCCCTTCCATGCCATATAGTAGCTTTTTTGTCTTCCGGCAGCCATGAGCCACAACCGTACGGTCTTCCATGCCATAGCATTTGAGTCTTACGGCAGTTGTTACGTTTTTAAATGATAAATTTAGTGCATTGAAATTGTAATTTTCATAAATCCAACGACGTCATACAAAAGATATTTTAAGAACTTTATATTCAAGTTTTAAATTGGAATAATGACGATTTCTTTAATTGTAAACTGCTATACTTATTTTCCCAAAAAATAAATTCAATCTTTCCTTTAAAACGACTTATTTTTGAAAACATTATGAATGATAAAAAGGATACACCATACTTCATACTCTTAAATCTCAAAGGGTGCACATAACCAAAAATTTGCACTATTTAACGAGGAAATTGCAAAATAGAATGTTTTTGTGGAAATCTGGAACACGCAGGTAATGACTGCAGTTAATATTGTGATTTTTCTTATCTTTTGTTATTCTTTAGACTACCCCAAACAATTTGTCGCGGTGCTCACAATGCGTAAAATGATGTAAAATTTTTTTTGTAAAATGCAAAGCAGTTAATAAACTGAACACATTATTCATTGATCTTTAATAAACTTTTGCAATTTTTTAAAGGTATCACTATCATGTTTCGTGTAGGATTTTTAAAAATTGCAATTTCAGTGCTCTACATTTTTCATTTAAAAACGTTATAACAGCCGGAAGACTCAAATGCTGTGGCATGGAAGACCGTATGGTTGTGGCTCATAGCTGCCGGAAGACAAAAAGGTAATTTGTGGCACGGAAGGGGAAATTGTTGTGGCGCCTGCCTTCCCCCGCTCATCTGGTTCCAATTTGCAAATATTATAGTTCGTGGCAAAATCTCAGTTCCTTTAAACCAATTTGCATGGAGTCACAAAATTGATTGTTCATTTAAAAAAAAAAATAAAAAACATGTCACCTACTGATCCAGATATTGTTAATGAGCTCAGTATTTAAATTCTGTTCTGAGATCTCCGAAAATCCAACTGTTGAGAGTAGCTCACTAAGCGTGTGTGGAGGGGAAGCTTTCTGCAACAGAAATAAATGTCGTCTTCAAAGTATTCACTTATTTAAGTTTTGTAAGTCATATACATAGGGGTTTAAAAATGTATTTCCAAAACAAAATGATTATTACCTTTTTTTCTGTACAGAATTTGTCACAAATAGTCCCCATGTCAACATTAAGTTTATAAGTATTGCCCATTTAAACTTTCAGCTTCGCTGCAGCTAGAAAAAACATTGAGTGAATCATAGAAATTGATGATGTTAGTCATTATTTAATTAATTTTTGTTTGTGTATAAAATGTGTGTTTCGATGCAACTAACCTGTAACCCATTAACCTAGTAAATCCTCCAAAATTTGATTTTAATCACTCGAAACTATTCTTAACAATGGCGACCAAGAACTAGAACAGAATAGAATACATCTTCAAGAACATAAAACCTATGGTATTTAGGTACTGCACACAAAATACACTGTTTTACTTGCAGGTATATTGGTTGCAGTAAATCTGCACTAAAACTGCATTGGTTGAGAATGCATATTTGCAATATCCTTGCTGCACCGCGCCTATGCACTCTGCACTGCAACGCAGCACATGCATTTACAGGAATACAGCAAGTCACAGAAAAAGCAATTAACAAAATATGAAACTGATTCAAATCCACTTTTGCAGGATTAAAATCATGGTTTTTGATTATTAAAAGCTTTTGAACCTGATCCGAAAACTTACAATGTTTGACAGCTTCAGGTTGGATTTGGTTGAATGAATCAAAAGGATAAAAAATTAATGCAATCAAGGAAAACCATTCAAATTCTAGTTTAATAAAGAAGAAAGAAAACATAGTATCTTGTGCAGTATCTACAAACCAAACAGGCAGAACAGGTAGTTTAAATAAAGTGAGAAGAAGACTATAAGAAAGTGTTTAATTAGCTTATCAAGACTAAATAAGCGAAATATTTACAAATAGAAAATGTCTTCAATCACTACTTTCTCATTTTTTGTAATTAAGAGAACTTATAACTTAGAATTTCATGTAATTACTTCATTTTAGCAAAAATAAACTTTATTCTTCCATGTCTAAGGATGTTAGGTTAGGGCTATGTATCAATGTCGTCTTCTGTACAGATAATGACTTACCAAGGTCAGTGAAAGTAAGCGCAACTTAAAACCAAATTTACTCTCTTTGATTGCGCAATTGTTTCAAAAATCTCAAACAATAAAAATAAATAATAATTTCTTATTTTTTTTTATAAACAGGGATAACTCTTCAAACAAAACAATTTGAAAGTTAAATATATTTTTTTCTGCCTTACCAACGTGTTCAAATAATCTAGTTTTATAACAAAGAAAAAAAACAATTTGACAAATTGAAAATAGCTAAGTATCCAAATTCTGTATATATAGTTATAGTAATTTCCATGCTCAAAATACATTTTGAATAACTATCAAATTTTGATAAGATTTCGTTCCAATTTGTATTTCGGAGTGGCATAATAAAGGCGTTTTCTGTCAAATTTCTTAATTTTTTCTTCAAGGACCAGACTATATTAATAGAACTGAGTAATCATAGTTGAACCACTTCTCTTGTGCACCGGTTACAGCTCAAGAGAAGTGGTTCAACTTCAGTCTACATAGTTCAACTACTTCTCTTGTGCACCGGATACAGCTCAAGAGAAGTGGTTCAACTTCAGTCTACATAGTTCAACTACTTCTCTTGTGCACCGGATACAGCTCAAGAGAAGTGGTTCAACTTCAGTCTACATAGTTCAACTACTTTTCTCTTTTCATTCAATTTGGTTCCGGAAACGCGTAAATGTTAAAAAATTTCAGAAAATGCTAGAATTAATTTTACCTAACAATTAATACTTTTTTCAGTCAGGATTCAGGTCTCTTTACAGAAATTACTCATTTTTATCTGAAAATATATACTTAAAAAATCAATTTTCGAGCAAATTTTATCCTAAACACATGTTATACATGTTTGAAAAAACACATTTATGTATATTGATTTACAACTGGTCGCTGCACCAAACTTGAACTGAAGTTTCAGGTAACCCTTATCAAGCTCATGAATACATAATACATTACACACATATATACATATATACATACATATATATATATATATATATATATATAAATAATCAATATATTAAAAACATGATTTGAAGTTTTATTGTATCGACATTATTTTCATGCTAGGCGTTCTCCAGGATAATAATTTGGTGATATATATACACAAGGGTTTACACATTTAAAAAAAATAATTTGGGGATTTATAATGAAAGATTACATTCAAAAACATTTATAAAATTGCATCAAAACCCCGTTTTAATGTCAAAACTTGTGTTTGATATCCGGTGTTTTGATTGTTATCAAGCTAATTCAGATTTCACATTCAGTTTGTTGATTTAATTTCAAGTGAAAACAATACATAACATGATTGGATTAATGTAGGGCAGATATATACACTATAATAGGCAGATAGGCCATACTCAATCCAATAGGCAATATGATAATATAAACGACATAATTACACCACGTCAAACTACAGTAAAAAAAGGACCGAAAAGACACTCTAGTATGCGGAGTCCATTAGCGCCTGATCCAATCAGGGTTTAGCCATGTGTTTGGTGTCTATTCTGAACCAATAGAAATAGTATGGTGGTAACATCTATCTATCTTTCTAGCTCATTATCCAATTAGAGATAAATCCTTATATCGACGCTAAACAGTAAATGGAAATATTAGCTTCTACTGAAACTATGGTAAAGATTACAATCCTTTATGGTTTTAATCATAACTCTCCTCTTATAAAAGAGGTATTGCATAAGAAGAACAAAAATGATTAAATTTTCTGATATTTAACGGGATAAATTGTTCATAAAATCCAAACTAAGGGAGATACGAGGTCCCAAAGTTGTACCAGTAATATTGCATAAATTTAACACAAGTAAAGCAGAAGCAACCCATTTTTAAAACTTTATATATTAAATGATTTAATTTTACCCAATTACAAAATTTAAATATGATTTTAGTCGATATATAAGCTTCCAAAGGTGTACTTACATTTTAACTCATCTTTTCTGATTATTAACTGCATTTAAACACAAGCAAAACATGTCTCTTATGTACAAAAGATAATAAACCTTGCAATTTGTCGCAAATTTGTGATTACATTTTTACTTTTCTTTTTTCCATAATCACTGCATATCAAAGAACAAGAGGTTTGAAATATCAACTGTTTACACCTGTACTTAGTGTATACGCTAACACCCTTTTGAGGCAATTAAAGAGAAAGCATGTATATTCTATATGTGTATTGAATATGTGTTGAATAGGTAGAAAGCAGAGAAAGCTTGGAAAGTTCTGTGTTTAGGTGAAAAGAAAATATTGGGGAATCTATAAACTGCAGTGTGATATCAAAATTTACTATGCATGTGTTTCTAGCAGTAATATTTGTACGTATAGCTCTTAAGAAATTACGCTAGTTTGTGATTGTTGTAAAGTTTCAGTGTAAAAAAGTGAATATAACTATATATAATTTGGAATATTAATAACACATGGAGTTAGTTTTTATAATAAAGTAAAATCTAAATAAATGACTCGCATTTTTTATCAATCTACATAGAAAGACTAGTTAAAACTCACAGTGATCTATACAATTATGAAAACTCGAAGCAAGGCTTTTCCCCCTTATTTGACCCTTACAATTTGAATATTTTTGAAGCCCTGGATAACAATATTATAAACTGAAAAGCAGTTGATTAGGTTTGGACGAACAAATTTCAAATTCTGGAGATTGAAACTTGTTTGAACTGTCAAGTTGGAAAAAGACTAGAAGTTTATTTCCAAACTATTAACTATTTATATATATATATATAGGGATCTTAACGTTTTCATTTTTTTGAAACACGATCGTTTCATCATGAAAACGACAATGAAAAAGCGAAAACGAAACGATCGTTTTTATAAAAATCTAATACGATCATTATTCGTTTTCTAAAAGTTCAAAACGATTGAAAAACGAAACAAAAAACGATTGTTTAACGATCGTTTTCAAAAACGATTAACAATCCTACATATATAACACAACAACATCAAATAATTACACATGATTGCTAAAATTCTCAAAGTAAACTGAACACTGAAATAATTCTTGACAAAATTTCTATTTCAGAATTTATTGGAAAATAAGTTTGAAGCGTGTAATTAGACGTTTAGATTACGCCATGTTTATCATACCGTTTCTTGAATACACAATTACAGTTTGATGAAAGCAGCTTGTTTAATGAGTTTAATCCTCGATCATAGATTGTATTCTTTGTAAAAATCTGTAAGATATAAATCTAAAGCCCAGAGTAATATTGTACATTAGAGGCCCGCTACAGTTTACATTAAATAAGCTCAAACATAATTGAAAATGACAAGTGTGCATGTGAACAGTGAACGCAGTATGCGCGTTATAAATGTGCAATGAATTGGGACATTCACAATCACATTCTTCTTTCTAGAAATGCAAATGTACCACACATACATCAAATATTGTATCACCGTTACAATAGAGCTATAAAGCTCCGATGTATCGACCTCCGGGAGTCAAAAGTTAAACAAGAGGTTAGAGGCCAACAATACTTAGTATTATTCTATACAAACTTAATATCTTAAACATTTGGGGCCTCGGAGGAAAAAAGGACTTATTTAAATCTTCAATTCGTAACACGTGCAGAAATTTTAACTATTTCCCCCTTTGCCCCTTGGATGAGAATAGGTTGATTTAATGTATGAAAGTATGTTACAAAAGCTCCTGTTTCTCCCCCCCCCGAGCCTCCCTCCTCAACCCCCCCCCCCAGTGAGCCCTGCTACCTTTTATCAACTATGACATGGAATTTGCAGATGAAAAAGAGGGTTAGATGTTGATACAGGGATAATGATATAAACTAATAAATACAAAAGTTGATTAAACTAAAATATGAAAGTTCTTTTCCAGATCTATCTATCTATCATCTTTTTGTTGAGTCTCTTTATCTCGATATTATCCGATTATAAAATGACCCGGGTCGTCTTTTATTTTCAGTTTACACTACATGGGGTTGGCCACAATGGACTAGTAAAGACGACCTGCAATTGTTCATAACGTTTCTGAGATTATATTTAGTATTCTGCCATGAATATAGTAATTCTGTCACCTTTTAAATGATTAGGCAAAGCAAAAACAAATTAACAGTTGCAGAGAATGTCGTAGTTTGTCTCTAATGACACAGTATTTTTATTATTGAAATGGGAGTAACTTTCTTCCTAATCTAGACTCCTATAAGCCTTAAAGGTAACACCCTTTTTTTGATTAGTTAAAAAAGACTGAATCCACAAAAAATGATTAAAAAATATTAACGGTTTGAATTTGTTAAAAAAAAAAGAATTAGCAGAGTTAAGAAATTATAAATGTGGTTCAATTTTAATCAAGCTCGAAATTATTGTCGGAAATTTCTAGCCACGAAAGAAGCAATTAAACCGGAAGAAGCCACTTCAACTACTTCTTTCATCTTCATAAATGTCCATCTTCCAGTAATTATGTTGACAATTTCTCCCTAAAAGTAAAAAATAAAACCCTGTCCACAATTCTCCATATTTTCTGAATGCTAAGATATAAAGATATGTGCATCCAGATATAGATAAATCAAAAACTTTAATGTTTCTTTTTTTATTGATTAATCCCCCCCCTTTAATATTGAAACCCTGTTGAGTGACCAATGTCCAGTGTGTCCTGCAATGTAGGTAGAAAATCGATTTTTAGTCTCAGTCTAAATCCCTCTCTGTATTGTGTATTGAACTATTATGTAAAAAAATGTTTTAGATAAATTTGTTTACGTGTTTAGAAGGATGGTCGTTGTGCTTTCAAGTGGTCAACCATTTAAAAAGGGCCCTGCCTTGCCCGATTCTCTTTAAATATCTGATCATTTATATGAAATATATCGCCGTTTATAGCTTAAAAAGTTTTTTTCTTCATCAATGTTTTGAAACAGAATCCGTTAGTTACTTTTCTACAGAAGGCAAAAAAGGCTATAATTTTCAATTGAAAAAAAAACATGAATATCTCGTTCATTTTTGATCAGTCAAAGCTTTTTATGCTGCACTGTTGTGAATAACTTGAAAGACCACTTTAAAAATGGAGATAAATTAAATTTTGCTATCTTCGGTTTCCAAGTTAACTGCTCTAACTGAGTTCTAGATTGACATTTTCTGCTTAATAAATGCGGGAATATATCTTGAAACTGTCTCATCACGTGATTTTTATATAATCAATCCTTTATGATTTAATTTAAGCCTTTAAAGGGTTCTGCTCATAGCACAACGTAGATTTCATATAAGACACAAAATATTTCTTCGGGGATGAAATTTAAACACATATTTTTATTTTGTCTGATCGATCTTTTCTTTGAAAATGTGGAAGACATTTTTTTTAAAAGCAATTACATACAGGTATTTCAAATATAAGATTTAGTAATAGAGGTTTAAAGATTTTATAATTGAATTTTATTAAAAAAAAATTCCAACGTTTTTGTGTCAATTTTCAAATTATTGTGCCACAGTTTATACAGTTTAAAAAACTGAAAAGTACGAATCCAGAATATTTCTTATAAACTAATACATAATAAAAGATGTGTGAGTAAGTTAGAAGTTAAAATTGTCGCATTGTTGAATAAAATCTTGCAGTCCGACTCCAGTAGTCTATATATATTCAAAGAGCAACGTTGGTAAACTGTCAAAGTGGCGACAATCACGTGTTAAAGTATGAGAATGACGTTTTTTGTAGCCTTGTCAAGGTGTCCCGTTTTGTTGTATACTTGTCAAGGTGTCACGTTTTGTTGTAGGCAATTGGCAAGGTGTCACGTTTTTTGTAGGCTTGTAAGGTGTCGCGTTTTGTTGTAGACTTATCAAGGTGTCACGTTTTGTTGTAGGCTTGTCAAGGTGTCAAGTTTTGTTGCAGGCTTATCAAGGTGTCACGTTTTGTTGTATGCTTGTCAAGGTGTCCCGTTTTGTTGTATGCTTGTCAATGTATCACGTTTTGTTGTAGGCAATTGTCAAGGTGTCAAGATTTGTTGTAGGCTTATCAAGGTGTCACGTTTTGTTGTAGGCTTGTCAAGGTGTCACGATTTTTTTTAGGCTTGTCAAGGTGTCACTTTTTGTTGTAGGCTTGTCAATGTGTCACTTTTTGTTGTAGGCTTGTCAAGGTGTCAAGATTTGTTGTAGGCTTATCAAGGTGTCACGTTTTGTTGTAGGCTTGTCAAGGTGTCACGTTTTGTTGTAGGCTTGCCAAGGTGTCAAGATTTGTTGTAGGCTTATCAATGTGTCAAGATTTGTTGTAGGCTTGTCAATGTGTCACGTTTTGTTGTAGGCTTGTTAAGCTGTTTTCGATATTAATAATCAGCTTTCCTGCAGTTTCCTTCCATAAACATATTTTATTCATAATTTATGTTTCATATTTTTTTTTGGAGCTTTATGTTAATTTAAATACAGTGGACGTAAGGGGTTCAAGATCTTTTAGGGAAACGTTTATTCAAAATTCTGTATTTTGACTGTACTGTATAATAGATCTGTTCTGTGACCAGCTTATTCTCGTGAGAGTAGTTTTTGTATTAATTGTGCCAATGGTTTAGCTGTAACCGGTAATGGTAACCGGCTTAGTGTTGTAATCACAGTTTTGAATCACGACAGTTTTGAATCACAACTCATTAAACATTAAAAAAAGGATCTTTTGGTTTAGCAAGTTGGACGCCGTGTAAACTAACATCATATTTAATTTAAAAAAGGATTTAAAAGTATTTGCATAGATTTTTCTCGGATTTCAATTTTTTCTTTTATTTTTACTAAATATAATGAATTTAAAAAATTTATATGCGCAGCTAGACAAGTTTGAGTAATTAGTAATTCTGTCATTTCTAGATTATTTATTATTTTAAGGAAAAAAAATAGAATGTGTGTGCAATTATGTAAAAAACATATCATGTATGCATTATTCTTTATTATTGCAGAACATTTAACTGTTGCAGGTTTAAATTTTTAGGTCGTCTTATTTTAAGCCAAATGTGGCAGCATGTTGCGGTGTAAATTTGAAGACACGAAGCACCAAAAATTCCTGTTGAATCCTATTTCATGTTGAAATTCTGTTACTTTATATCAATACAGACCAAAGGAGTAATTATGAATTAACCCNCCCCCCCCCCCCAGCACTATATAGGGTTAACAAGTATACACCACTGCCTGTGATACAGGCAGGTATTTAAGCAATTTGGGGGAATCTAGGTCTATTTTTCATAAGATTTTATTTTAATAAAGTTATTTTGATTTTAAGCAAAGTTTTAAGAACACTTTCAATCAGAGATACTCTCCCTGTCATAATAATAGAAGATTTAGACATTAGAAAGGCAAAAAAAGAGGTCAAAACTGAAATTTTGAATCTTTTATAAAAGTTTTGGAAAAGAAAATTGTTGCTTTTAACTCATAATTTATGTATTTTAAAGTATTTATTTTTCAGATAAATGTCGTCGTTGAAATCCTGAAACCCAGACTCACTCAACCTCGATGGTAAGTATAAGGTTTAAACTAAAACATAATAAGACATTTTTCAATGAAAAAGACTTCAGAAAAGGACCTAGAGAACCCCAAGAACAGGTTTCCGTTGATTAAACAGAACATGGTCCGCCATATTGGGATAATGTTCTCAGTCGGAGGGAACATCCTGGAGCATAGTAGAATATTATTCCTTGAGCTAGTAAAATATCAATTCTGGAGCTAATAGAATACTAATCCTAGAGTAGAATATTAATCCTAGAGTAAAATATTACTCCTAGAGTAGAATATTAAACCTAGAGTAGAATATTAATCCTAGAGTAGAATATTAATCCTAGAGTAAAATATTACTCCTAGAGTAGAATATTAATCCTAAAGTAGAATATTAATCCTAGAGTAAAATATTACTCCTAGAGCAGAATATTAATCCTAGAAAAGAATATTTATCCTAGAGTAGAATTTTAATACTAGAGCAGAATATTAATCCTAGAAAAGAATATTAATCCTAGAGTAGAATATTAATACTAGAGCAGAATATTAATCCTAGAAAAGAATATTAATACTAGAGTAGAATATTAATACTAGAGTAGAATATTATTCTTAAAGTAGAATATTATTCCTAGAGTAGAATATTAATCCTAGAGTAGAATATTAATCCTAGAGTAGAATACTACTCCTAGAGTAGAATATTAATACTAGAGTAGAATATTAATCCTAGAGTAGAATATTAATCCTAGAGTAGAATATTAATCACTAGAGTAGAATATTAATACTAGAGTAGATATTAATCCTAGAGTAGAATACTACTCATAGAGTAGATATTAATCCTAGAGTAGAATATTAATACTAGAGTAGATATTAATCACTAGAGTAGAATATTAATCCTAGAGTAGAATATTAATCCTAGAGTAGAATATTAATACTAGAGTAGATATTAATCACTAGAGTAGAATATTAATACTAGAGTAGAATATTAATCCTAGAGTAGAATATTAATACTAGAGTAGAATATTAATACTAGAGTAGAATATTAATACTAGAGTAGATATTAATCACTAGAGTAGATATTAATCACTAGAGTAGAATATTAATCCTAGAGTAGAATATTAATCCTAGAGTAGAATATTAATCCTAGAGTAGAATACTACTCCTAGAGTAGAATATTAATCCTAGAGTAGAATATTAATCCTAGATTAGATATTAATCCTAGAGTAGAATATTAATACTAGAGTAGAATATTAATACTAGAGTAGATATTAATCCTAGAGTAGAATACTACTCCTAGAGTAGAATATTAATCCTAGAGTAGAACTTTATATTCCAGAATCTTGATGATATTGAAGGTCGAGACAAGAATAAAGAAGATGGGAGCAAATCTTTCTAAAAAGAAGAAGAAGCATCATGAATCTCTTCTCACTCAGACAAGAACAGTTATTGGGGTAAATCAATTTGAGCATGAAATCATGAAATATTCTAAATAAATGTTACTTTACAGAGAAAAAAAAAACAAATTATAAAACAGGAAATCTATTGGCAAAAATAATTTTTTTTCTTTCTTTTCACAGGACGAATCTCCGCCGCAATCTCCTCGATCCTTGAGCTCCACCCTGTCCTCCTCCGCCCTCACGGCGGAGTTTAAGGCGTTCCTAGCCAGACTTGACTCAGCGGATCCAGGTATTATTATATTATTATTATCATTATCATAATCATGTTATCATTTTATTTTTATTATTATTATTATTATTATTTTTATCAATAATCAATAATGAAATTTTAAAATGTGAAGAAATTTTAGCCCTCTAATGTAAGCCGTTTTTAAGCTATCAAGAAAAAACACAGGGCGGGGGGGTGATAGGGTGTTAGAAACAAAACAATTCAAAAATGTACTAGGAAATATGGTTTTCCGATTGAAACCTTAATATTATTTTTAGAGCACTATGTAAAGCGTCGGACGAGCTGAGAGGAGAGATGGTTGAGGAGATCGGAGACCTTTACTTCAAGGTACCTGGAGAAGGATTGGTCTTAGAAAATAATCAGGTAGTAATAAAACCTTGACATATCACTCCATGACTGAACTGAGAAATAGAAAAAACGACAAAATTATGAAATAAATAAAAACGCCCGGGACCCGATATCATGAATAGCGAGAAATAGTTAATACGCTGAACCACCTCTTCGTGAGCCTGTTCAATTTGTAAAAAGGGAATTAACTGAAGGGGTTTACTACTTTTTGCTATTAATTAAATCTGATTTCTGGAAATAAAAAAATATATGTTTTTTTTTTACTTAGTTATGTTATATTTAATCAAATCGCTATATCTTTGCAACCAAATTCCGTAAACCTTTTATATTTTAAACTAAAAATTTAGTTACAGGGTGTCCCAATAAACATGGGAATTCAGTGACGAATTCGATATCGTCTTTTTAAATAGTTCTTTGATTTAGTATAGTGATACCTACTGAGAAAGCTGTAATCTGTCTGCTATGTTCACATTTTGTTTGTTTATGTTTTGACTGCATACGGTTGTACTTTGTAGAACAAGAAAATTGCAGAATACAAACAGAGTAAACTTATCAGTCTTCACTGTTCATCTTGCGGAGACATTATAGACACATCTTTGCAGTCTTTTACCCTTTTGATAAAATAAACTCTAGTAGACATAATATAATTATGGCTTTTGAAATTAGGTATTACAATGCTAATTCATAACAAAGACGTTATCAAATTCTTCACTGAATTCCCATGTTTTTTGGGACACCAGTTGTAGATCAGATAATCTTAAATCAAAATATCAAAGGTTTACACGATCAGGTTGCAAAGACATAGAGTGAAGAAATTTTGAACTTTTAGCAAAAGCTTTGTCGAAAATAAGTTGATTTTCTGTTCCAGCTGTGGGTTCGATGCAGTGAGGTTTGTAGATCATCTGTACAACCTGTAGATCTGGTTTACCTGGAGAAGGCCAGAGATTCCGTCCTAGGAGAGATGGATGATCTTCATCTCATATTTATGGCACAAAGAGATTCAAATCCACTCAAAGAGATTGTCAACTGTATCCTGTAAAATTCAAGACTTTTGCTCATGTGCATTTTGATTTCTTTTAAAAATGTCTCCTTCATATCATGAGAGACACAACTTACTGTTGCACATAAAGTTATAATGCACCTGAAGTGCAAAAAAAGAGGGAAAAGTGATCAGTTAAGAAATTAAACACCAACGTTATAGTACCGACCAGACCAACGTTAAACGTACTTGTACATTGATAATGTACAATTGTCGGCACAGTACGGCATTAGAAAGCTCTGATGTGAATAAATGTTCCTTTAAGAAAATTTTCACGATTTTAAAATTCAAAGTGTCAAAATTTATGATTTGTTTTTTTTTAAATTTTGAATCGCCAAATTTACACGATTTTGTCTGAAACTCAGTCTAAATTTAGTCAAATGATCAGATAGAAGCATTTATTTCTACATAAAATTAAAGATGCTAAATTTAAGTTCCTCGCACAAATTTATTAAACCTCTAAAAATGTTACTGCAAACCTAAGTAAATCTTTCAAAGTTGCCACAGTCCTTTGTAAACCTCTAATAACGTGATCACAATTCTTAGTAAACCTATAAAAGTTACCACAATCTTTAGCAAACCTGGAGTTACCACAATTCTTAGAAACCCTCTAATAATGTTACCACAATCCTTGAATTAAACCTCTAAAAATGTCATCTCAATTCTTCTTTAAACCTCTAATAATGTTACCACAATCCTTGAATAAAACCTCTAAAAATGTCATCTCAATCCTTGTTTAAACCTCTCGTAATGTTACCATAATTTCTAGTAAACCTCTATTAAAATGTTACCATACTTCTTTGTTAAACCTCAAAAAAGTTACAACAATCCATTGTAAACCACTAAAAGTTACCAAAATAACATTAAACAACAACTAAAGTTACCAGTTGTTTAGGTATAATTAGTAAAAGTGTTATTTAAACATATTTTACTATTATTGATAGGGCCAAATAAAGGAAATTGTCGAGGGAGGGGTTAAATTTTTCCAACATTTAAGGTGAGGAATGTTAGAGCGGCGAATACGTCTGAAAATCATAGTTTTCACTTTTCAAGGAGGGGGGGGGGTGACTTTCTAACTATAGCCCCCCACCTCCCTGTATACAAGCATGTCTTGATGATAATTTGTAACAGAAGTTCAGTTACAGCCAATCTAACCTCTGTAAATATACACCTTGTAAAATAGTTCCACAAATGTAAATACAGTTTAACGCAGACTTCAAAAGAATTTATAAAATGTGGTTTGAATATTTTTCAATGGGTTTTACTATGGATTTACCTAAGTCTAAGTAATTATAAAAATAAAAAATAGCATGCAATATGCGGGAATAGTTTAAAAGGCTTCATATAATTTTTCTATTAAAAAGCTAAAAATCTACAGTATTCCATTTTTAGTAAGTTTAGAAAACAACATTTTATAAATTCTTTCGATGTCTCCGAAGTTCCAGCTTGAACTGTATAAAAAATAAAAATATAAAATAGAAAAAGCTTTAAACATGATGCCCTAATGTTAAACTTTTTTTTCGTTTAATTGAAAACTATTTATCTTATATATACAATTATAATGTTCAATTACAATACATAAATAATATTTGTCAATGTATTTTTTACAGAAAACAATATATCTTTTAATATTCCCTCCTCGTTTAACTTTTATAGCTATAGTGTTACAAGCTGCATAAAATAATAATTAAAGTATCAAATTTTAGTGTTTCAACTTTAACATAAAATATAAATTTTTAATTACAGGCAAGTGCAATATAAAACCAAACACATTCTAAAATTGGAAAGATTTTTTGTGTGTATGATAGTATTTGTACGTAGGGTTTCTCGGTTTTACGCCCTTGCGTATTGCCCTAGCCCCTTTGCGTATATCATTACGTGTTTGCGTATATTTAGTCAGTGGTTGAATAATCTCGCAACCTCGAAGGCAGTTTCCGTATCCACTGACTCAAACTGAGCATGTCCTGTAAGCCTGGGCCCTGAAATATCTAAAATAATCGATAAATGACAAAATTATTATCATTTTATGTTTTTAATGACCAAATAAATATCCCAAAACTATAAAGTTCAAAAGAAAAATTATATTTGTTTATATAAAAAGTGAAGGTTTCAGGGTCCGTCTTACTGATACCAAAATATTGCCTTTAGTCTGGTTCTATACTGTTGCACTGTACGAAAATATTGCACACAGACAGTTCTGAGAACTTAACAATACACATGCTTCACTCCTCAGCACAAAAACTTAGGTAAAACATACACAATTGAAGGAAGTCGTCCCTTTTCCTACCTCTTCATTAGTTCTCTCCAAGCAATTTTGATTAGGGTTGATGCCAATGTAAGTATTTTGATTCATGTTGATGCAAATGCAAGTATTTTAGATTCAGTTGATGCCAACGTAAGTATTTTAATTCAGTTGATGCCAACGTAAGTATTTTAGATTCAGTTGATGCCAATTGCCAATGTAAGTATTTTAGATTCAGTTAATGCAATAAAGTATTTTTGATTCAGTTGATGCCAGTCTAAGTATTTTTGATTAGGGTTGATGCCAATGTAAGTATTTTTGATTAGGGTTGATGCAAATATAAGTATTTTTGAATCAGTTGATGCCAATCTAAGTATTTTTGATTCAGTTGATGCCAATGTAAGTATTTTTGATTCAGTTGATGCCAATGTAAGTATTTTTGATTAGTGTTGATGCAAATATAAGTATTTTTTATTCAGTTGATGTAAACTGTAATTTGTCACAAAGTCTGATTTTCTTATCCCTATATCTTTGCAAACCTTTAAAATTTTTAACTATAAATTCTGCTAAATTAAATAACCTTAGTTTGAAATATCCAAGATATAGTTAGATACACCATCAGAATGCTAAGATAAAGGTATTAGTAAATTTGAGTTTATGGCAAAAGCTGAGTTCCTGTGTTTAAATGAGTCTAACTCGTCTTAATATTCCTCGTTAGTAAACAGTTTGAGGATTAACCAACGATAAATAAGTTAATGAGATCTACTTTTTATACCGGAAAGTTCCGAGGTAAAAACTTTGAACTTTTTGATCAAGATAATCCTTGTGGGAACTGTTAAATTGAAGGGTTTAATATGCTTGATCTACCGCCAGTTTCAATTTTGCTCTCTGGGTTCCGATCGCACCGGGACATCCAATAAGAATTAATTCAATTCTTCAATCGTATTATTAGTTGATCTCCGGATTTACAAAACAAAAGTTTTGATCTCCATCCAGTCAAAAGTTGTTTTCTCCTCAGAACTATCAAAATTTCTAACTGTAGGAGAGTTGAACCTGGAGAGGACGGAATGCCTCTAGTAGAGAAAGGACAAGGACAAGAAGGAGGACAAGGTTCTTTGTGTCGGACAACCAGCTGTATAGAGGATCCTCAGGTAGAGTTTGATCCTAGTTTAATCCTAGTTTAATCCTAGTTTAATCCTAGTTTAATCCTAGTTTAATTCTATTTTAATCCTAGTTTAATCCTAGTTTAATCCTATTTTAATCCTAATTTAATCCTATCTAAATCCTAGTTTAATCCTAGTTTAATCCTAGTTTAATCTAGTTTAATCCTAGTTTAATCCTAGTTTAATCCTAGTTTAATCCTAGTTTAATCCTAGTTTAATCCTAGTTTAATCCTAGTTTAATCCTAGTTTATTCCTAGTTTAATCCTAGTTTAATACTAGTTTATTCCTAGTTTAATCCTAATTTAATCCTATTTTAATCCTAGTTTAATCCTAGTTTAATCCTAGTTTAATCCTAGTTTAATCCTATGACAACTAGGTAAAGTATCAAATGGCAAAATACTGCTTGATTATTGTGCTCTGAGTCTCTGGTTCCTCTTTATTGTTAATCCTTGTTCTGATCTATAGTTAATTCATAGTTTGAAATATCTCAGGTCTACGACATTAGGTTGCAAAGAAACATAGAGTTTAGAAAATTAGACTTTGTGGCAAAAAGTCGATTCCTTTAAAACTTAAAAACGTGATCTATAAAAGTTAAAAATTATAAAAACATCACGACTTACTTATCAAGGGAAACTTTCTTCAGTAAGACCCATACATCTGTGGAATAGGAAGACGACCGTCAGACTTAATATACGATTTTGAACATACCAATTTGAACATTAACCACAGCTAGTTTTCAGGGTATACAATTATAGATCCATCTCACGGAAAAATTGGCAAAACTATTTGCTCTATAACAGCAGCAAATACAAATAAAGGTTTTCTTTCTTTTTCAGTAGTTTTATGGGTCCCACTGTATCTAAAAATAGATAAACTTCTTGATATATAATATTTAAACAGGGTTCTGCTCTCGCCTGCCTCAAGCATGGAGACCTAAGACAACTTTCCGACATTCTCTCAGAGCTGGGTGGAAACCTAAACCTTAATCATGGATACCCGGAGGAGAGCTTTAAAACCTTACTCCAGGTACCCCGTGATACACAGACAAAATAGATGAAGCCTTAAATTTACTCCAAGGCCCAAGAACACCTAGCATAACTAAACCTTACTCCAACTTCCAAGTACAGTCGACATACAGAACAAAACGTATTATAACTAAACGTTATTGAGTACACCTTAAATATAAGACCATACCATATATTATAATTAAACCTTACTCCAAGTACAGTTATTGTACAGCTTAATATAAAGAACATAACTTATAAAAACTTAACCTTACTACAATATATATATATATATATAGAACATAACGTATAATAACTAAATTAAAATAGATATTGGTGTCACATTGTTTTACGGCTTAGTAAAATAAATATTGGTGTAACATTGTTTTACTGTTTGGTAAAATAAATATTGGCGTAACATTTTTTACTGTTTAATAAAATAAATATTAGTGTAACATTGTTTTACTCCAGTTTAATAAAATAAATATAAGTGTAACATTGTTTTACTGTTTAATAAAATCCTAGAGTAGNCTGTTTAATAAAATGAATATTGGTGAACATGGTTTGCTGTTTAATATCATGAATATTGGTGAACATGGTTTGCTGTTTAATAAAATGAATATTGATGAACATGGTTTGCTGTTTAATAAAATGTATATTGGTGAATATGGTTTGCTGTTTAATAATATAAATATTGGTGGACATGGTTTACTGTTTAATAAAATAAATATTGGTGTAACATTGTTTTACTGTTTAATAAAATGAATATTGGTGTAACATTGTTTTACTGTTTAATAAAGATTTATTTGCAAAAATATATTGTACCATCGTTAAAATCTTATTTTCTAATTCTGATATCTTTTCAACCAGCTTTTTTATATTAAAAAACCACGAATTTTGCAGAATTATAAACTATAAGTTTGACGCAGTGGTAGGCGATTATTTCAATAAAGCCGACTTTTGATTTCAATAATGATTTTTATTGAGCTGTTTAACATACACATCTATATATAAATTTGGCTTGTCATGGTGTTTGTCTGTTTGTTTGTATCCAATAAACGTCAAAACGGCTGAACCGATCGGGCCCAAATTTTTTGTGGGACCTCACGTGACCCCAGGGAAGGTTTATGAATGATCAAAATTTTAAAAATTTGCGTTGAAAAGTTTTTTATTTTTGAAAATTTTGAAAATGCGCGAAAAAATATTACAAAATCTGCAAACTTTTTTGTTTTTGTTTTATACTGTACAAAGAGAAGATGTTCAGAGATAAAGCCACAATTAAAAGTTGAAATAAAAGATGCGCGCGAAGCGCCCTAAAAGCCTAGAAATTCAGGGTGCGAAGCGCCCTGAATTTCTAGTAAACATAGAAGTCAAGAGAAGCTGTCAAGCGAAAAGCAATCATAAAACCTTCTCTTCGATTTCTATATGTATTTGAAAAAAGTTTGTTAACAATAAAAACTTGAATAAAAATTTGTCATCATTGTATTGATATATTCGCCTACCACTGTATTTTAAAGGTTGCGAAGATAAATGAATTAGAAATTTTAATTTTGAGTCAAGTAATTACAGCTCCTTTGAATAAGAAACCTTCTTATCTGAAAACCTGAACATAAAACAAAATACAATGATAACCAGAAAATTCTGGAATAGCAAGACAAATTTTAGAATTGATATAACTTTTAACAGTCCAAGGAGCATAAGACACAGCAATTAGTTGTGTAGTGTAATCAAACCCATTTTACTAAATTAGTGATGTGATATTTGTCCAGTAAAACTATTTGCTTTGTAACAACATCAATTACACTAAAGTTGTTAACACAAATTCGAAATATAAGGAAGATGATTTTACCGACTCAGATGCCGTGGTCTATTCTCAAGACGTGTGTATCCATTTCCTCTATGAAGCACCCACATGTCCCCCTCGCTCCTTCGTCCCCTCCTTACCCCTCTACACATCCCAGCCCTCAGTCAGGTTAGGAGAGTTGAGCTAGTAACAGCTCCGACACAGGGAGCCTCTTGACTCCTTCATGATGATGAAACAGATTTTCAGCTAACAGCAGGCGTGCTTACTGCTTTTACCCGAGGGTTCCCAGTTCATCATGCATTCCAGAGACAACATAATCGCTCATAGCCAGCATGGCAAGCCGCGATCTCTTCCTACTGATTTTGATAAGCCCTGTTGTCTAAGTTCCTGTTGATCTGCTCCACCAACACGAAGCTCTACAACACTCCCATGAAGTGCCATCAAATATTCATCATTAATTCCTTTGTTAATATCTAAATCAACCAATTTTAACTCCGTCTTATATGCAAATATTTCAAAACTTTCGTTTTTAAATAAATGTTAGAAATATCCATTTTAGATCTCTTTATTTTACTATAGTGACTTTTAAAGTCAACAAAAGTATAATACTAATATAATGTCGTCTTCCTATTCCATTGTTTTCTGGTTATCACTGCACGTGAATTAACCTCACAGTCGAATATAACTTAATTTTTTAAGGAAAAAAAAATAAAATAAAAATGTGCAGTGATAACCATTATAGGAAGACGACTTTTAGACTCAATTTATGAATTAAAATAGTCCAATATGCATGAGATACGGCAATGTGCATTGTAAACAGACCCATTCCACTTTATTTGTGATTTAATAAGTGTCTAGTAAAACTATTTGCTTTGTAACATCAAATACACTTAAGTATTTCTATAAAAGTCGTCTTGCTATTTCAGAGTTTTCTGGTTAGCACTGTATAATGCGGAATCGGATGGCCCAAATAAAGTATTTGATATAATATAATATAATATTTGATATATATTTTGAAATGTTCTGATTTACATAAGACTAAAAGTTAATAGTTTTGTAGTAAAATGTATATTCAAATGTAAGTTTGATTTGTTTTCAATATGTCCTCATACTTAGATAATAGGCATAGTTCATATTGATAAATTAAAACTTTTAAATCTGAATTCTTAAAAATAAAATCAAGATTCTTTTTTTGTCACTTTAGCTGTTATACTAGGTCAAACCTTTGAGTGAGACGAGGGAACTGTAAGAGCATTGTTAGTGCTTACTGAAAATAAGCAACATATTGTTACGTTGGAAGAAGGCAAGTTTATACATGTACAATATATACAATATATATACAATATAAATACAATAAACATATCATTGTTGACCATAAATATAACTTCTGAACCTAACCCCCTCCCACCTGTAAGTCGTCGTTACCAAATCCTTTTGCAGACAATAATGATTTGCGGATTTCATAATCTTCGTTCAGGGATTTCTTTCTTTACCGTACAATTGAAGGAAGGGGGATTTCGTTATGTTTGATTTTAGGTATGGTTGGTTGGTTAATTGGCTAATTGGTTCGTTGGTTAATTGGTTTGTAGGTACACGTCTCAGTTCTTTTTACGGAGGAGTTCGTCAACCCTGGTAGCTGAGATTGATTTCGTGGCGCGGGAGACAAGTTCATTCTTGAAGAGGATGATTTTCTTCCTCGAGGTTTGAGGTTGAACCGGATGTGGGTCAGCTGGAGGATCAGGCTTGGGTGGAGGACTTGGTTCGTTTGGAGGATCTGGATTGGCAGGAGGATCTGGTTCAATTGGAGGATCTGGTTCAGTTAAAGGATCTGGATTGTGAGAAGAATCTGGTTTGATAGAAGGACCCGGACTGGTCGGAGGATATGGATTGGTAGGAGAATCTGGTTTGATTGGAGGATAAGGTATGGTTGAAGGATTTGATTTGGTTGGAGGATCTGGTTCGATGGGAGGAATTGGATTGCTATGAGAATCAGGTTCCATTGGAGGATCTGGATTGGTAGGTAGACCCGGTTTGATTGGAAGATCAGGTGCGGTTGAAGGATCTGGATTGGTTGAAGGATCTCGTTTGATTAGAGGATCAGGATTGGTATGAGGATCTTTTTCAAATGAAGGATTTGCATTGATTGGAGGATCAGGTTCCATTGGAGGATCTTGTTCGATTGGAGGATTTGGATTGGTCATAGGATCTGGTTCAATTGGAGGGTCTGGATTGGCTGGAGGATCTGGTTTGATTGAAGGATCAGGTTTGGTTGAAGGGTCTGGTTTAATAAGAGGTTTAGTGTTGGTAAGAGGATTATGTTTGGAATGAATGGAATTAAATTAATGACAATGTTAATTTTATAAAACGACAATGTTCATACGATTAAATGACAATGTTAGTAAAATTAATTGACCATCGTAATGAAATTAATATTATAAAATCACAATGTTAATATTATAAAATCACAATGTTATTAAAATTAAATGACCATGTTAGGGAGTGTTCGCGAAAAATGAAAGGGGGTATAGGCTTAATGCGAAAAAAAGCGCTTTTGATCGTTACTAATCTTACTTCTATCTGTTGCGTCTATAAGGAGAAAATTGTTAAAGACGTCTCATACCGAATAACTTAGGGCCCATACAAATTCAGAAAATTGCAACATACGACTTAGACCGTAAAAAATCCCATGTTTATTTTAATTTTCGGCGGCAGAAAAAACATTCAATATAATGGTGTTTAATTTTTAACTCCTAGTTTGATGTGAACTAAATTTCTTTCTTTTATTTATATATATTGTTTAATTTTACGTTTTCTATACTAAAAGAAAGGACTGTGGCGCATTTTATGCAAATGATGTAATTTCTTCAAAATTGTACTTGATAATCTATATTTGGTACTGTATACTATTTAATGTATAGAAGTGAACTATATAGATTTAATTTCTTCTTGACATTATTGATTAATGGGAAAATGATGTAATAAAATATTAGTGATTAAGGTCACTTACCTCAGGTGTCATTAGGAGAATACAATCTTTGCTCTTCTATACGTTTAAGGAGGGGGGAGGAAGGCTAAAACCTAACCTACTATAAGGTTAGAGAAACTAAATGGTTTAAATGGCAATACAATAATAAATGGCGCGACTTGCATATATAATTTTTAAAGATTTTCGGGATTCAATGGAAGTTGTTTCATCCAAAAAGATTAATAAAAGAATGAATTTTAAAAAAAATGAAATTTAAACATGAACAGATATTGACAGAATATAAAGAAACTAGTTTAAAACAAAATCGTGTTAATTATAGATAAAAGTTCTACTTTAGACTGAAATATTATGAATTATTGAAAGCAAATTCTATTTTTAACTTTTATACAGTCATAACCAGAAAGACCGGGAATTAATCAACAGTTAATCAGACGACTTTAGTCTTTACATATATATTTCTGATAATTTAAACCTACAGTAAAGAGGCAGGCTAGTGCTATTTTGTTATCATTGTGTCATCAATCTTAGTTGTAAAATTTGTCTGAATAATTTAAAATTAATTCCGGGTCTTTCTGGTTATTACCGTAAAAAATAACGCAGCTCTGTCTTACATTTGGCAGTCAATTCTAAATGTAAACCTGTAGAAAAATATGACTGAATTATGAAAATCAAACAAACCAACGTGTTTGTCATTGGTTTTCTTGGCTGAATTCATGATAATGTGGAAAACCCCGGAATGTAAGGGGGAAAGTATAAAGATCGAATCATGCAATTGAAGTTTAGTAGAGGCTGAAACCCCGGTCTGTCAAGAGGTTCAATTCACCAAATTTATTCAGGTTATTAAAATAATTAAGTCCAAATAAATGATTAAAATTTAATTTTTCAGATTACAAAATGCATGTCTATCGCGGTCCATTTAAGTTCCAGGTTGAACCTTATACAGACTACTACAACCAATTTTCAAGCCAGGAGCGCAACATTGGGGAGGATATTCATTCCACGGGGCCATCTCTTGAGAGCAACGAAGACGAAGAATTCTGGTGGATGTTTGCGGCATTGTTCGTCGTCATCTGTTTCCTCATTTTACTCTTTGGACTTTCACTGCAGCTTCTAGCCAGGGCTATTCTCAGGCACAATCAGGTACAGCCTACAGTGCGTCTCATTAAACATGAAAGTTGAAGATTTTTTTTTTCTGCGGCACTCATTCGTAAATCGTATTTTACTAGTAAATCCTTGAATTGAAAATCACAAAATACTTGTAGTCATCACATTTCCAAAATGTGGCCTCCTTTTTTTGGTCATATGACCGTAGATCTTCAAGTCGTCCCTCAACCGTCATGATTTGTGGGATACCCTGTAGTTGAAGTCAAAATCAAACATCTTCTATTGATTAAATGATTTCTCTCCAATTGTCCTTTTTACTTTTTTAGAATTTAATGCTCAAGCAGAATATGGAGGATTATTTCTCCACACCTCGGAATTCCAAAACTCAATTGATCAGATCTCTTTCTTCCACCTTTCCTGCAACAGGTCAGGTCACAGGCGTTATTATAGATCGTCTTTTATTTTTATGAAAAAATATATTTCTTACGAGCTAAATTGTTTTTTTTTTAATTAAAGATTTACAAAACTTGAACAAAAAGGGATTTATTGTGACGTTTTAAGAAAGTTCTAAAACTAGTTTTAGTGTACATTTATCAAACATATTTATTTCAAACATCATTTAACAAACATCATTTAACAAACATCATTTAACAAACATCATTTAACAAACATCATTTAACAAACATCATTTAACAAACATCATTTAAGAAACATCATTTAACAAACATCATTTAAGAGACATAATTTAACAAACATTAGTTAACAAACACCATTTCATTCACAATTATTAAATATCATTTAACACACATTATTTTACAAATATCATTTAACAAACATCATTTAACAAACATTAGTTAACAAACATTAGTTAACAAACATTACTTAACAGACATCATTTAACAAACATTAGTTAACAAACATTAGTTAACAAACATCATTTTAACAAATATCATTTAACAAATTTCATTTAAGAAACATCATTTAACAAACATCCTTTAACAAACATCATTTAACAAACATCATTTAAAAAACATCATTTCAGAGACATAATGTAACAAACATAAGTTAACAAACATTAGTTAACAAACATCATTTAACAAATATCATTTAACAAATATCATTTAACAGACATTAGTTAACAAACATTTTTTAACAAACATTACTTAACAAACATCACTTAACAAACATTAGTTAACAAACATCAGTTAAGAAAAATCACTTAACAAAAATCAATTAACAAACATTTCTAACAAGTAACAACATCATTAATTAAACAAACATCATTAAAAAAAACTTTATTCAACAAGCAATATTTCTGACTGCTAGACGGTTCCAAAACTTTGATGTGTCTAAAATGTCACAATAAAAAAAATATAAAAAATCCTAATCCCTCCAATAAGTTCCTTTCTCAACGATAAAGTCTATTAAATTTAATTTAATGCAATAAAAAGTAAAATGTAGTAGTTTTCTCTTCATGTAAAAGACAAATATGCGGCTATAATACAAACATAGCAAACGATAACCTGAAATCTAATAACACATTTTATTCTTTATTTTTAGAAGATGACGTTCAGCAACTAGTTCAAACCTGCCATTGCCACGGTCTCAAGATATCCGTATGAAAAGTACAGAAGAAGTTTCCTTAAGAAGCAATTTTATATAAAAATTTACATCTTTTACAATTATATGCATTTACGCGACATTTTTAACCATTTATATATAAACTTGTGACAATACTTTTATATAAACATATATTTAAGAACCATGAACATTAAAATGACGGGGCGACATGTCGTCTTCTAATGGCAAATAACTAGAAATATGATTCGAACTTGCCAGCGCCCAGCCAATTGATCGATTTACAAAATACTTCCGAAATTTTTTTAATTTACAGTTAAACTGGGAAGCAACTATTTTAGAAATTAAAAAGAGAATTTTTTTTATAAATTTACTAACTTTTAGTGTCGTCCCTTTTAGAAGATTTTACTACTAATTATCTTAATAATAACATAATTTATACATATTAATTGAAGTTGTTCTCAGTGATATTAGCCAAATGTGACTCGAAATATACTATTCTATAAATTTTAATTGCAAATAAGATTTTCAATTACACATCTACTTGTAATTCAAAAGTCATGATCTAATTTTAGAAGTATTATTATATAAATCATTAGGTACAGTGCAGTTTTTAAAGAACTGGAATGAATAAAGGTCTTCTTTGATTTACTCCGAGAAGTGTATGCTCATAGCTTTCAATATAATTAGAAAGTTTAAACTGCAATTTTTCAGGGAGCTTTTTTACAATTTTTTTTACAAATTGGAAAAGGCTGAACATTTTTTACTTGTAAAATTTTCGACATCAACAATGTGAGCACCAATTTTTTAATGAATTTATGCCCCACCTTTGGCAGTTTGCTTTAGAAAGCTTCGTAAAAAGAGGGAAGAATGACTACTTGTTCTCCGAGCCCTCCTTCCCAATGTCTAGTCCGAACCACCGCTTAAATGCTGCATGACACATTTTCTTACAGTGAAACCCTTAATAACGAATACATCGAAAGAATTCATCAAATGTCGTATTCTTCACTTTCTGATAATGGAATGTTGGAGATATTTAGTTTTGAATTAAATGATTATATGGAACTTTTTAAACTGTTCCCGCATATTCATGGCTATTTATTTATTTTCAAAAATACTGAAAATTACGTAATATAGTATAAAACTCATTGAAAATTTGTCGAGACGACATTTGATAAAATCTTCCGATGTATTCGTTATTAAGGGTTTCACTGTATGCAATTAAATGTTTATGTCATATGTCTGTCATTACAAATTCGGTGGCTGGCTCGGACTGCGAAAGTTGCAGCCTGCTCTCCTGACCTAGAGACTAGTGATAGTTAATGTTGTTGTTATATTATTGCTGACAAACTAGAGAAGCAACAATATTTTTATAGGAAAACTTATCTTTTTCAAATTCTATTTCTTATTTTTTTTAAATTAAGGAAAACGGGTAGAAATCACAGACTTTTTGTTATAGCTTTGATAAAAGCGTAATTTTCAGTAACCCTCCATACAAAGTTGGCAATGTCCGATTCACATCCGTTATTTCCTCGAAACATTTATCTGATTAGGGAAGGAACCCCCGGACGCCATAAGTCTCTGCTGTGAAGACATCGAGCCTCCCAGATTCGCTAGGCAGACCGAGCCTCCACCATACAGCAAGCTTTTTTTAAATCTTGGTTTTTATGAGTGATGAAAACTTTTAACAATTTTTTTGGACGTAGTGGCATAAGAATTTTACTAAAGATTAGAGTTGTTCATTGATTGTCATGAATAGAAGCATATATGGACTCATAAAGTGGTTTATAAGATTTATTCTAAAACTTTAAACATTTCTTACGATGAAAGGAATTGATCTTTGGAGAAATATTTCTGGAGTAAACTTGGTTTGTTTTGTTGTAATCTTAGATTTAAACAATACCTTTTTTTGAAAAATGTTAAGATTTAATTATGATAATTTATTTATGATAATTAATAAATACTTCTCATCTTTGAGAAGCCTCTCATGCCACTATGTCTAAAAATTAAAAAAAAAAAATTTTATACTTAAACACAAGTTTAAAAAAAACCTCCTGTAAAATGCCCCAGTTTTATAAAATTAAAGTATATAGTGTCAAGTTCTAAGGTAGTGAGATTCATGAAAAAAATAAAAAGTGAGATTTGAAAATCCAAAATGAGAATATAAAATTTAAACTTTTATTTTCAAATTGTGGTATTGGCGGTAGTGAGATTTCAAAAATGAAAAAATGAAAATAAAAGTTGAAATTTTGTATTTGGATTTTTGATTAACAAATCTCACTACCGCCGATACCACAGATTGAAAATAGAAGTTGAAATTTTATATTCTTATTTTGGATTTTCTAATCTCACTACCGCCAATACCACAGTTTGAAAATAGAAGTTTAAATTTTATATTCTCATTTTGGATTTTGAAATCTCACTACCGCCAATAAATTTTATATTCTCATTTTGGATTTTGAAATCTCACTACCGCCAATACCAGAGTTTGAAAATAAAAGTTGAAATTTTTAATTTTGGATTTTGAAATCTCACTACCGCCAATACCAGAGTTTGAAAATAAAAGTTTAAATTTTATATTCTCATTTTGGATTTTCAAGTCTCACCACAGTTTGAAAATAAAAGTTGAAAATACCGGTGTATTGAACCCAGAACTAATTTTCCGAGAGAATAGAAAATTACGAAATTCTTTTAAAGATTTCATTTAAAGACGACATTTGTTCGTCTTCTTACTGGTTACTAATAATGCATGTGGGAAACCCCGTCTGGGTCCGATTTCCGAGCTTGCAAGTTTCCCGGAAGCGCCGAATCCCGAACCTTAGTCTTCACTCATAACCCATGTACTTGCGTGCACCAGTTCCGATCCTTCCTTCGACCGACGCGCGTTGAACTTAAAACTACAATACGCATTGCGTAACACCGGCAAACTCAAGTTTACGCAATTTTAGTGAAGAATCGTGATCTTGAGTATTAAATTTATGAGTCCTTTAAAGTACTTATATTCATAATATATATAGAATTGAAACGAATATGTAATTAACCCTATAATATCCTTGCGTGTAATTATTGCCCCCCTTATATTACCCCTACCCAAGCCAAAGTATCCCCATCTCCCCCCCCCCTATTCCCCGCCCCCTTCCTTACCTTTTTTCTCCGCTAAAATCGCCTAGAGGGGTTTAAGGGGAGGGAAAGGGGAGACACCCCATCCCAAAACATTGGAGGGAAGGCGGGAGGGTACTAAGTTTTAACCCAACAGAGATCCGGATCCAAAATATGGGAGTGAGGGGGTATTTTCTGTAACCCCCCCTCCATCCGTTACTTTTTATAGTGGGACTCATCCCCCGTAGCCCTACCCCTGTAAGGCTTTTTTTTTTATTTTAAAGTATTTAAAAACTTTAAACAGGCTTGACAGTTGAAAGCAATCTTTTGCCTTTGATCTTTTGTGTACACAATGTTTTGTTATCAGCCAGGATGTTTTGTTATCAGCCAGGATGTTTTGTTATCTAAAGCTAAAAATATTTTCTAAGTGATCAATGATTTGTTAGTTCTGTTGTGCAGTCTTAGGCTTAAAGTTATCAACGCACATATATTCCTTCTAATAGACACAACTACAGAGAATAAACAAGAATTAATGGCAACATTGCAAAATCTACATAGATTAGATTGTTTTAAATTCTAAATTTAAATATTAAAGGGGAGAACTAAACATAAACTATTTTTGATATCCAGCACTTCAAAAGACGGAAATATAAATCCTCCCAATCAAAGCAAATATGGTTAAAACTAGTAAATTATACTAGTGTCCCATTTCTTTCCGTAGTAGAGTTTCCAGTGAACGAAAAATTTCGCGAAAAGATGTGAAATTTCCCGAAAAAGTGAATTTTTCGCCTTTTTTCATGAAAATAGAACTCTTATGGGTCTGGATCAATTCCAAAAAGGCTTAGGTTTCAGCCTATACCCTCTTTCATTTTTCCTTTACAGTCCCTTTAAAGAGACTGTAAGTGAAATTTTAAGTGACCCTCCATGCAAAATTGTTTTCTCTTCCAAAGTGACTTGTGCATTACTACTGCAGGAAATCATACAAGAATTATCTGAATTTAACACTTTTGAATCTAGAAGAACGACCATTTTCTTCAACACTATGTATCAGATAAAAGTTTAAAGGGTACCGTTGTGAATTGGGAATCCTCATCTTTGAATGGAATTATTCCTTTAAGTAGTTAAATTTTCTTTCTCATTCTTTCCAAACTTCCTGGCTCCGTGAACCCTTCATTGAATTTAAAATTATTGTTTTCAATCCAATTAATTAAAATCTAATGGACGCATCCCATAACTAGAGCTGGACGCACTGTACCCAACTCTAGCCAGTACATCATGTACCGTATATGCATTTAGTTGTACTGTCCAGTCTGGACTACCGAGCGTATGGTCCACCCAGCAATTTTTCTGAAACAAATGTAGCCTGACAAGATCACAGTGACTATATACCGTTTACCGTTTTCTGATTAAAGAGACTGTTCACATAATTTCATGTGAACCTCAACTTACAGCTTGATTTACAGAGGTACTCCTAAGGTTTTGATAAACACAATTTCTCTATTGTTCCTTTCTTTACTTTCCTTTACGTAACAAGATAAAAGTTTGGGAATTCCAATTAAAAAATAAATCTATTTTGAGATGCGAAATACAGGGAATAACTAACACTGTAAGTCGGGCATGTCACTCATTAAATAAAGAACCTCATTAAATTACGTTTTCAGTACGTTTTTTTGTCTTGGTGTCTGTTTATTTGTATATTCGTTTGTATTCAATAAACAACATCTAAACCAAGAATGTAAGGAAAGGAAAGTTTATTTGAGTCGTGTATACTCTGCGTACATAGAAACCAGTTCTCTTTGGGCGGAATTTGAAAACAAGAATAGATGCATTGATGTGTTCGTTTAGTATCCGAGGAGGTTAAAAGCATTAAATTTTGAAAATTTTGATAATTCACATAATAGTTTCCTATGACCAGAATATTTCATCGATTTTTTGTGTGAAAGATGGATCCCATTTCAGGCTTCGACATCCGTCTTGTGTTTACATTACCGCCCAGAGACAGTGCACTGAAGTACAAAAGATG